ATATGTAAAGTGTTCCCTTACTAATCCTTAAAGGAGCTGCTGTATACTTAGAAAAAAGGTTGTTGAGGACTTGGCCACAACAATCAGCATTTTTAGACACTACATTATGGTCGATTGCAATCTGCCCTATTTGCTCCAACCTCTAATGAGTATTAAAATTAATACCTAGGGTGGGAATTAAACCCATGTATGTTCATTTACTCTTTTGTTCTCTATGTACATACATGTACATATATATGAAATATATCAAATGCAAAAAAATGATGGAATGTAAATATGGTAATTTACATCATGTACATTATACAGCCTCTTTTTTTAAGGACCTAGTAAAGGAGGTCCATGGACCTAGCTAGACCTATTTCTTAGGCAAGGTGTATTATATAACTCTTGAAAGTAGTTAAATGCAATTGTAAAATTAATTTTATCTGCTGTTAAACAATAATAACACGATAATGGTTATTTCTAAGTATTTAGTAACAACAGCGTGCAATTTAGGTAAACAAACATCAATAATCTACCACGTGTTTGTCTGCTGTGCTTGAATATTCAAAACGACCCATCGGGTTTATTTACACGAATTTTTGCTAAAGCAGACAGTTAAACATGTCTGTTTACCTAGTAAGTTCTATAAAAAATGCATTTGCTGTTATGACTTGTGTATGCATGGAAATATAATGAACATTACATTGATTATTTACCGTAAATATTGAATACACATCATTCCTGAGCTATACACACAAAACACATGGCACTGTTGTAACGATGGCTGGTAACGTATAGCCACTTTATAACAGTAAATCCCATTGGATAAGCTACCCTACACAGTACATAATATGCAAATTAATGATTGGATACGAATTTGTGTCAGCTCTCAAATCGATGGAAAAATGTAAACATTGGAATCCGCCATTTTGACATAGGAAACAAACTAATTTTGAATCTTGGATTAAAGGACATTGCGCACATTGCCAGCGTATCATGCATAACCAGTCATGTGCAAATATATCTTTTAATTAGTTTTATACACTTACTTTTCTATGTTTTAGTTAATTTAATGTTTTAATTTACTACAGAACGGAACATCGTTCTCAAAGACGCCGTAAAAAAAATTATAGGTGGCGCTGTCTGTGGGCGTAAACATTTTACATACGGGTACTTTTTTTGTCGACAAATTGACCTCTATCTGTCAGATTCAGGCGTTTGCCGTTCAACTGCATGTTAATTGATTTACAGGTAAAATATAACTTCAGGTAATGTCAGTTACACCAGATGCCTGAGATGTTATGTTGGGCAGAAATTTTTCATTCATGAAAAATTTCATACACGGGATTTTTTCAACGGGAGGGGGGGAGGAGACCCCTGAAAACGGGATTATTATACTCCTGTCGGGAGGTTCACATGTATGCCTATTCAAACCATATCATTATTATTTGCTTTTATATATAAATCAGAAATAACCAATTTAAAATGGAAAATGTTAAAGAAAAAAAAGGAAAAACCCCCCCCCCCCCCCCCCCCCAATTTTTTGAACCCCCTTATGATTCATCGCCCCCAAACTCAATCCCAGCTTTCCCTTTGTGGTATGGTACCTTGCAGTACAATTTCAGAGAGATTCATACACTTGAACACAAGTTATTGTCTGGAAACTAGAAAAATGCTTGTTTTTTGGCCCCTTTTTGGCCCCAAATTCCTAAACGTTTAGGGCAATTACCCCCAAACTCAATTCCAGCTTTTCCTTTGAGATATGGAACCTTGCAGTACAATTTCATAAAGATCCATACACTTACACACAAGTTATTGTCCTGAAACTAGAAAAATGCATGTTTTTTTTGCCCTTTTATGGCCCCTAATTACTAAAATTTTGAGGGAAAACCCCCAAAATCAATCCCAGCCTTCCCTTTGTGATATTGAACCTTGTAGTACAATTTCATAAAGATCCATACACTTACAAACAAGTTATTGTCATGAAACTAGAAAAATGCTTGTTTTTTGCCCCTTTTTGGCCCCTAATTCCTAATATTTGGAGGAAATTACCCCAAAAATCAATCCCAGTATTCCCTTTGTGATATGGAACCTTGTAGTACAATTTCATAAAGATCCATACACTTACAAACAAGTTATTGTCATGAAACTAGAAAAATGCTTGTTTTTTGCCCCTTTTTGGCCCCTAATTCCTAAAATTTGGAGACAATTACCCCCAAAATCAATCCCAGCATTCCCTTAGTGATATGGAACCTTGTGGTACAATGTCAGAGAGATCCATACACTTACACACAAGTTATGTCTGGAAGTTACAAAAATGCTTATTTTTGGCCCCTTTTGGCCCCTAATTCCTTAACTGTTAGTACCATAACCCCCAAAATCAATCCCCACCTTCCTTTTGTGGTATTGAACCTTATGGTAAAATTTCAATGAGATCCATTCACTTAAACTAAAGTTAGAGTGCGAAAACTAATGTGTATTCGGACGACGACGCCGGACGACGACGACGACGACGACGACGACGACGACGCCAACGTCATACCAATATACGACCACAAAAATTTTTTTGCGGTCGTATAAAAACAGTGTGGAAAACTGATTATATGAGGGAATTTTTCAAGTCCAAGGACCATAACTCTGCACAAAATTATTAGACCGAAACAAAAATTTGAACTTGATCTGTAACTTGTCATGATAAAACTATATACCAATTATCAATAAATATCTTATAAGCATGACGAAAAAAAACAATAGATATGATTAATAGTTCTCTAAAATTAGATATGATGTAATACAGTGTATATCTATTTTCAAATTATAATCAAATATAATTAATAGTTCCAAATATTTTTTCTTTCATTTGTCACAAACTAATATAGATTTGTAACTTATCTATAAAATGTCAACAACTTTTATCTACACAATGTAATGTATTGAAATATATACATTAATAAAAATAGATTATTAAAATATATATCTAATTAAAGGATTTCTCTTCATAATTTTTTTTTATATACATAGCATTCAGAAAATTAGTTTATACTAAATAACAAACATACCTGCCAAAAAAATCTTTAAATAATTTAACAAAGAATGTCTTTTAGAAAATGAGTTATCTCCCTTTGTACAGAAATATGGTTTAACATAGTACTCTTAACATTAGATATGGTCCATAACTCTGGTCTAAATCATCAGACCGGAACAAAATTCGAACTTGATCTATAACTTGTCATGATAAAACTATATACCAAATATCAAATCAATATCTTCAAGAACGAAGAAAAAAAGTGTGGAAAGCTTATTTCCCGGACTGACGGATGGATTGACGGACGGACAGACAGAGTGCATACCTAAAGTCCCCTTCGACTTTGTCGGTAGGGGACTAACAACCTTGTAAAACATTTCTGCCAAGGCTATTTGCATTCTGTACAAACCGTGAAATGTGAAGGTATGGAAGAAGAATGATGCCAAGAGCTCATATGGCCCTTGGTCAGGTGAGGTAATAAAATTCAAATGGAATTGACCATTTTGAAATTTCTAATAATAATGCAAGGTCAGAAATAATTATGTCATCTAGTCAGATTGTAAGCCATTAACAAGGCATCTCATTTTGCTAATGGTCATGTTTGGTTTAAATGAAGACGTTAAATTCAAGGTATGCACAAGGAAAACCCAAGGACCTGGGTGTGTTAAAAAACCAGACAAAACTTTTAAGAGGGGTCAACAGGTGACCTGTTCCACCACACTAGATATTCCATCAAAATTATCTACCTGCTATCCTTGTCAAATCAAGTTTAGACCCTGCCTAATGTTTCTTACTCTCTTTCCTGCTTATAAGACCTACACGATCAGCCAGATCTTTTAATGTGCTAGTTCACAAGGTAACATTTTGCAGGAAGACCTGTCACACTACCTATACACATCATTCTGATTTCAAGTTAACCAGTCTTTGCTCTAACTCCTAAATGCTGCCTACTTAGTGGAGAAGCAGCAAATACGAATTTTCAAGTCTGGTTTGACTATAATGCTACAATTAGACCACCAAGGCAGTGTTTCATTAAATTGAAGCATATCATGCCATGATTATTTTTCAATGATTTTTGCTGGTATCAGAATATATGAAGCTGATCATAAACTGTTGATGAGGGTAATGGTCATCAACCTTTCTACAAATCGTCATTCCAGAGTTTCAATGGGAGCAAAGTGCCAAAAATGCCATCATGTTTGCCACACAATTGAACAAGAATTGTTTGTAGAGGGTCTCCCAATCATTAATTCTGTAAAGTTTCAAAACATTTTCCTTGTAGTAGCAGTAGGAAAGTTCTTGAAAAATGGCAATTCACAACCAATGATTGTCTCTAACAGACATGTTTTTCGTCATTCAGAACCAATGATTGTCTCTAACAGACATGTTTTTCGTCATTCAGAACCAATGATTGTCTCTAACAGACATGTTTTTCATCATTCAGAACCAAAAATGGATAGTTTGATGAGGTACTTATAAATCACATTCCTGCCAAGTTTATTTTCATATTGGCCCAGTCATTTCAGAGAACAAAATGGTAATGTGATTTTCCATAGAGTTTCATTGGGAACTATGTGCCACATGATCAAGAATTTGTAGTGTGTCTCCCAACCACTAATCCTGTTAACTGTTGAAACATTTCTCCATGTAGTTTCAGAAGATGTTTTAAATTGGTCAATTATGTTTTTTTTTTCATCTGATCAGAAACCAAAAGTTGTTTTATCTGATCAGAACCAAAAGTTGTTTTATCTGATCAGAACCAAAATAGAGGAAAAAAGATGCTAAACTCAAAGTGATTACAATAGCTCAGCTGGCATGAAAAAAAGAGGAAATCAAACAAAGGATGGTTCACAAAAATCTCAAAGTTGGACAACATAAACCCCACTTAAAATAGGGGGATGGGGCTGTTAAGTGATTTGAAGGAATAAGGAGATAAATAGGAGTAAAACAGGTTATTACTACATGTATTTAAAAAAGAAAGAAAAAACAACTGTTACAGAAAATGTCAATTAATTTATTGAAAATTCCCATCACATCAATCAATGAGAAAATGTCAGATTTCAAATTCATCCAAAAATAAATATCTACACACTTTAACTAGCACATAGGCCATAGTAAAGTCAAGAGATTTCAAACAGAAAACTATACAAATGAAAATGATTATGATAATTTTCTAAACATCATGATTCAGCTCACAAAATCTACTATCAATCACCAGTACATTTCTGTAGCAAGTACAAAAAAACCCACTTTAGTTTAAGAGATTAAGTTATTTTAAAATATCTAAATCTTCAAACTTAAATAAAATTCTGTGAAAAAGATTTTTTGCTAACAACCTTACAGGACCAAGTAATCACATTACTTGAATTAAAAGTTATGTGTTGATAAAATATGACTGATTAAACTTTAGTTAATGAAACGACATAAATTTCCAAGGAAAAACTCTGCATATTCACATCTTTTTTTTTTATTCAACCACAACCGCCAAACAACCGAAGAATATTGTTAATTTTTCAATCCAATCATCTCCAAGTTTTCATTTATCACAACATTTTTTGAATAGAGTCAATTTCAATCTCTTCTTTGCTGAAATCACCCAGAAAGCAACATTTGTTTATGAATATATGTGGCTAGAATGAGTTACGATGGTACACAAGACTTCTTTGTGCTTTTTCTGATGATGAAAAGAAATCATTTTGCCAAGAAGTTTTGATCTCCGGTAGATTTATAATAAAAAATGGAAATGTAATAATACTGCTTTGTCAACAATTCATTCATATATACATTGCAAAACAGATTCCATATGCACCTTTTCTTAAAAAAAATCCATTTACTATTACTGATATTTCAATCACAGAATGTTAATAAAAAATGTGTAAAAAAAAAATTTTGTATAAACAAATTCTTCCAGAGTTCATATATAAATTATCCAGTAAGTAAAACCTGATAAAATTAACAATATATTATCAATTTAGAAATATACCTTAAAATTCAATGACCATAGTAATTAATATCAATATTCCAAAATAACTCATATTTGATGTTTTTAGAAATTTCAAAGCAAAAAAGTTGTCTCGATAAAATAAGTGTACTAATTTAAAATTCAAAAGATAGTTATGAATCAAATTACAGTGAAACCAAACCATAACTTAACAAGACACAATAAAAGCGTGTTTATCATTTAAATCTTTTCAATTAAACTGATCTATGAACCCTATTTTCTTCTTTCATATCTCTGCACCATGTCATCTCCCCACAGTTGAACCTAATTTTTCCAACTGATTTCAATGTAATAATTTCTACACTGAAGCACATAGGTCTAGCATAAGAACAGAGAAACGAAGAAATAAAATTGATAAAGCATAGCCACAACAGGTAAAACATTTGTTTTTGGCATGAATAAATAATCAACTACTAGATAATTAACGATCTTATTGCTAAAGTTCTACCTCCATACTACTTAGTCAATAAATTAAGATGGAATAATAAAGCGGTAAAATGTAATACTTTGAACCCCTGAGATTTCTTATTAATCTTCAATATCTAATGACAAAAAAATCTGACAATGAAGACCACAAATTCACAGTAAAACCTGCCTCTCGAGATATTTTTTTTCAAAATTCCTTGCAAATGTCAAAATTAGATATCTTGAGGTACCCAAATGAAAATCTAAGATATCTTGTGTTACCCAAATGAAAAATATATTTTTTTTTTATTAAAATTTTATAATACGTCAGTTCATATTAAAACAGAAATTATATATATGAGATTTTTGTTGCAGTGGAGAAAATCTGCAATGTTATTTTTAATTTCTAAAAGACAGCTATATATAACCAGAAATACCAGCAATAAGGTGCGTGGTTTTCAATACAAGACCAAAAACAATTATTAGATCTATACCAGGCAACAAGAAACAACTTTAAGCTGTATTTTTCCAATCAAATCATGAAATCATAAATTTGAATCAGTTCCTTAACAGCAGATTCTTGTTAGGATTTCCATCACCTACAAACTGGTAAAGTCTGGCTATATGTATTAAATGCAAGTGCTAATTTAATCAGGAGAAAAATTTGGCTGTGAAAATGTGATGATGTATCTGATAGAATACTTCCTTATACAAAACAATACATAATTAAAAGGTACTTTCTATACTAAAACCAACCCAACCATTTCTGATAAAACTAACAAGTGCACAAAAACATATAAGCAGACAAACTTCCCCCCAAATTTCAAATTCTACTTTAGCTTCATTCTTTTTGAAATATTGATGGCAGTAATTATATGCATTTTTATCAGCCATTCTTTTTTCTTAAAAAAAGAAGCATCTACATGAGCACCTTTGTACTATTTTGCATAAGGTAATTTCTATCAAATGATGAATATGATGAGTATGATGATTATAGGAAACACATTACAATTAGTTTTTGACTGTTTCAAATTGGAATACACAAACAAACAGAAAAAAATTCAGGAATAAGTTATTTTTTTTAACAATAACATGTAAATGTTGTTCAATTGTTGTCAAATTCTATACATCATTATTACAAAAATGTACAAATGTGTAACATCACGCTCCTCAGACCCTTTCTGTCCATTAAATAAACAACAACAAATAAATTATGTACATAAAAATTACCTGAAAAAATGTCCGGCAGGTTTAGTCGAAGTCATATTAATATAAATCACAATTATTCCAAAAATGTTTTTTAAGTACCTTACATACAATAAATAAGATTGTACAAGCTTCAAAACAAGTCATACATCAACAATGTTCAATAAATTATATACAAACAAGATATGGTGGTGGTCAGAATGGGGGAATGACTTCATGGACAAACTGGCCAGTGGTACATTATATAGCAAGTCAACATTTTTCTTCCTCGTCTTTGCTAATATCATCACATTTTGTGTCTGACCCTATACTAAGATCAACAGATCCATCTTCATCCACAGACTTTCTATCTTGGCTTCCTAATTCCTTATCTTCAACCAATTTATTCAAAATACTGTCTAATTTTGATTTTCTATCTTTCCGGGATCTGTCCTCCATTTTGTTAACCTTGTCTTTTAATGTGTCCACAATCTTACTTAATTTAAAAGAACTTTGAATTTTTGGTTTTGATTTGGCAGAATCTGGCGTACTTGGCTTGCTTTTCATTGACAAGTCTGTGGGCTCATCTTGCTGTAAACTAGCACTATATTGTTTGGAGGCACTCAACAATTTGTCATGATCCGAGGAATGTGATGAATGTTTTTTCTCACGACGATGTTTTGCACCGTCATGCTGATGCTTAGCTTTAACACTGAGATCTTGAGGAGCATCCTGTAGTCCACTGCTGCTTCCTCTGCGTTCCTTTTGACTAAAACGTTTTATTTCACCTTCTTCTAAATCAGAATCGGCAGTCGATCCATTCATCAACCCAGAGTGGGCTAAAGCTCCAAATGAAGTCGGTAGACTAGTTGGCAGTGAAAATCCAAGACTTTGTGCTTGCGCAGCAAACAATGGGTTAAGCAGCATTGGATTATACATGAATGGGAATGAAGGATGAGGTATGCTAGGTGATTTTGATTCTGATTTACTTGATTCTTTACATTTAGGTGATTTTCTGTCTTTTGATGATGATTCAGTGTCTTTTGAATGAGAAGCTGTCAAGCCAGGTAAGTAGCCTGCCATTCCAAGAAGTGGGTTCCCAAGTCCAAAATTTGGCAGGGCACCAAATGGCATTCCTAGAGGTAGTTTTGGTAATCCAGACATAGACATTAGACTAGGATTATGAAATCCTGATAGCCCAGCTAACGATGCAGCACTAAATGGAATGTCGGAACCCATCAAAGACGATGATAAACTGTCCTTTGGTTTCCTGCCTCTGGTGGGTGTCACAACACGACTTTGTAATGACTTAGGTAAATTAACCTATAAGAACAAAACAAATAATAATGTAGAAACATCTTGCAGAGACAAGTCAATTTCATCATGTGGTTATCTGAACTTTTACTTCTATAAATGATACAAAAGTGATGGATCTTTCCACAACCCAAGGTGTCACACAATTAATTAACAAGTGTACACACGCTAAAATGTCTCACCTGCTTTACTGACCATTGATTTTATGTTGATAATCCTAAATATAAATTTTACTACAAGTATCATATAAACTTAACATGATCCAATAAAATGAGGTCAAGGTCAGATAAACCAAACCAGAAATACATGTACACCTTACAGGTTGCACTTTGTAAATACAACTGTTTCACAAGCCACACCTCTTTTGGGGAGATATATAATATTCATAGATATGTTAACTTACTGGTTCCCAGATATGATCTCTGTGTTTCATCTCATAGAGACATAACTTGAGAATGTTACCAGTATAAAAAAAAATGGTAGCGCCTAAAATTTAATTCTTAGGAGGTGAAAAAGTGGAGGTAGTATAGAATTTTAGTATAAGTTTAAACTCTTAGAAGTTCAGGGCATATAAATGTTGAAAATATGCCGCACAGCCCTATATTTTGACCTTTGAATAAAATAGTAGTGCATATCAACTTTCCGTTCTGGGATATAATTTTTTACAAAACTTCCTAGTAAAAGTGGCACAGTTTAAGCCGCAAAGGGAGTTCCTATGGGAAATTGCATTGTCTATATTAACAGAATTGCAACCTACAATCATTCCATACACCAGATATAGTTGACATATTGCATATAGTTTCTAAAAAACTAACTAAACTATGAAAACTTAACATTGACCACTGAACCATGAAAATGGGGTCAAGGTCAGATGAACCCTGCCAGACAGACATGTACACCTTACATCTTTCCATGCATCAAATACAGTTAACCTATTGCTTATAGTATCCAAGAAACAAACTTAACCAGGAAAACTTAACATTGACCAATGAACCATGAAAATAAGATCAAGGTCAGATGAAACCTGCCAGACAGACATATACACCTTCCAATCATTCCATACACCAAATATAGTTGACCTATCGCATATAGTATAAGGAAAACAGACCAAAACACAAAACCATAACTTTAACCACTGAACCATGAAAATGAGGTCAAGGTCAGATGACACCTGCCAGTTGGACATGTACACCTTGCAATCATTCCATACACCAAATATAGAAGACCTATTGCTTATAGTATCTGATATATGGACTTGACCATGAAAACTTAACCTTGTTCACTGATCAATGAAATGAGGTCGGGGTCAGATGAAAACTGTCTGACAGGCATGAGGACCTTGCAAGGTACGCACATACTAAATATAGTTGTTTTACTCATAATATGAGAGAAATTAACATTACAAAATCATTAACTTTTTTTTCAAGTTGTCACTGAACCATGAAGATGAGGTCAAGGACAATGGACATATGACAGACTAAAACTTCATAACATAAGGCATCTATATACAAATTATGAAGCATTCAGGTCTTCTACCTTCTGAAATATTAAGCTTTAGTAGTTAGTAAATGCCGCCGTCTCTGCCAGATACTATCTCTATGTCTCGCTTTCTGCAACAGAAGTCCCAGGCTCGACAAAAAAATACCAATACCAAGAAATAGTCAAATTCAGTATTTGATACAATTTTAAAACATTTAAATCTCTTGGGACTAAGTGAAACTTCTTGAAATATAAGAAAAGGGATCATTGCAGTTCTGTTAGAATCGGTCCTCTGGGTACTCTTCTATGCATGTTTAAGAAAATTCTATAATTAATATGAAAAATACACACCTTGCTACGAACAATATCAGACCATTTGGAATCTACATCATAAAGAGGATTTTGTTCTAACCATTCTGTTAAATACTTCAATGGTGGGGCTTTGGCACCAGTAATCTGAAACAAATTCCCATGATTAAAACAACCTTCAATGGCATAATTTTTTAATCAAAATACTGTATCATATATTTTTATATTGTCTAAACTATTTACTATAGCTACACTGTGAGTGGCTTTGTGTTGGCATTTAACATGACACTTACAGAGATAATAGCCAAATATGAGCTAACTATTTTTGTAAAAATAACCAAGAATAGGTGTCTTCCAATATAATCTTTGTAAGCAAGTAGATTCACAAAACATGCTTCCTCTGTGAATATCTTTTTTTTTGGCATTGGTTTTGCTGTATGTTATTTTCAACATTTGTTTCATCATCAAACTGTCAATATAATATGTAATTTGCCCATTGCACTGTATCTTTTGTCATTTCATAATGTGTTACATAGTGCAAGACAATCTTTTCAGTGGAAATAAGCTGGTCTTTATACTGAAGTACATAAATATATTTTATTTAGTTCAGACATTTTTAATTATACTTCATTAAACGGCCAGTTTGACCCCCAAATTGTACATTACCTTCTCTTTTACAAGATTTTTGAAGTAAAATTAAGGAAATTTAATAAATAAACAAATTACCTTCTTGCCAGTTATTCTATTTACAACGGAGACATTTTCTTCACCTGTCATCATCATAGGATCAATCATAGATGGATCTAGACGAGACTTTCTTCCACGTCTTGGTATATCCTATTATTAAAGAATTATTACATTATAAATAATTAAATGTTAGTTTCTAATAACTGAAAATAAATATAGAATTGTTTTCCCAAATTCAAATACTTTGAGTAAAAATATAAGACACCACAGATATAATGTGTACCTTTGGCACTAGGCACTTTTTATTTTTTTAATGTTTCAGTATTTTGTTCTCTGTAGAGTTACATTAGCACTGAATGTAACACATATTTCTCATTACTCCTCTCTTTAATCTTTCATTTATTAATTTTCTTACTTTTCACTTTTTTTTATTTCCACAAAAGGTAAAAAATAAAATGCTTCGCTGGGGCGCAGCTTGATACGACCGCAGAGGTCGAACCCTGAACAGTTGGGGCAAGTATGGACACAACATTCAAGCTTGATACAGCTTTGGATTTGGATTGTGATTAAATATTTGACACAGCATAGGTTTCTAACACAGATTGAATGTGGTCTAAGAACTTAAAAATTTTAAATTGGACATTCACCTATTATGGTCCAATATCCAAAATCTAAATACATGGTTAGATTCAGCATATCAAAGAACCCCAAGAATTCAATTTTTGATGAAATCAAACAAAGTTTAATTTTGGACCCTTTTGACCTCAATGTGGACAAAGTTGATAACGGGGCCCAAAAATCAAAAATCTAAATACATGGTTAGATTCAGCATATCAAAGAACCCCATATATTCAATTTTTGTTGAAATCAAACAAAGTTTAATTTTGGACCCCGATTTGGACCAACTTGAAAACTGGGCCCATAATCAAAAATCTAAATACATGTTTAGATTCAGCATATCAAAGAACCCTAAGAATTCAATTTTTGTTAAAATCAAACTAAGTTTAATTTTGGACCCTTTGGACCTTAATGTAGACCAATTTGAAAACGGAACCAAAAATTAAGAATCTAAATACACGGTTAGATTCGGCATATCAAAGAACCCCAATAATTCAATTTTTGATGAAATCAAACAAAGTTTAATTTTGGACCCTTTTGACCTCAATGTGGACAAAGTTGATAACGGGGCCCAAAAATCAAAAATCTAAATACATGGTTAGATTCAGCATATCAAAGAACCCCATATATTCAATTTTTGTTGAAATCAAACAAAGTTTAATTTTGGACCCTGATTTGGACCAACTTGAAAACTGGGCCCATAATCAAAAATCTAAATACATGTTTAGATTCAGCATATCAAAGAACCCTAAGAATTCAATTTTTGTTAAAATCAAACTAAGTTTAATTTTGGACCCTTTGGACCTTAATGTAGACCAATTTGAAAACGGAACCAAAATTTAAGAATCTAAATACACAGTTAGATTTGGCATATCAAAGAATCCCAATAATTCAATTTTTGATGAAATCAAACAAAGTTTAATTTTGGACCCTTTGGACCTCAATGTGGACCAATTTAAAAACGGGGCCCAAAATCCAAAAACTAAATACACGGTTAGATTCAGCATATTAAAGAACCCCATGAAATCAAGAATAAAACCCCATTGAAATTGGTCAAGAAATAAGCAATTTATAGGAAGTATCTTCTTTTGCACAATCCTGTGCTATTAAATATTTCTTGCTATTGCGCAATACTGTACAATTGACAATTTCTTGCTATTGCGCAATATTGTGCTATTGGATATTTCTTGCTATTGCGCAATACTGTGCAATTGAAGATTTCTTGCTATTGCGCAATACTGTGCAATTGAAGATTTCTTGCTATTGTGCAATACTGTTCAATTGAAAATTTCTTGCTATTGCACAATACTTATTATATAATAATTTACACATCCTGTTTGGTGTGTATCTCCTACCATATCATTTTTATTTGATTTTAAATATAAATCAGAAATAACCAACTTAAAATGGAAAATTTTAAAAGAAACAAAAAAGGAAAAAAAGAAAAAAAAGGAAAAAAAAATAAATCCCCCCCCAAAATTTTTTGAACCCCCATTATGATTCATCACCCCCAAACTCAATCCCAGCCTTCCCTTTGTGGTATGGTACCTTGCAGTACAATTTCAGAGAGATCCATACACTTGAACACAAGTTATTGTCTGGAAACTAGAAAAAAATGTGTTTTTTGGCCCCTTTTTGGCCCCAAATTCCTAAACGTTTAGGGCAATTACCCCCAAACTCAAACCCAGCTTTCCCTTTGTGATATGGAACCTTGTAGTACAATTTCAGAAACATCCATACACTTACACACAAGTTATTGTCATGAAACTAGAAAAATGCTAGTTTTTTGCCCCTTTTTTGGCCCCTAATTCCTAAAATTTGGAGGTAATTACCCCCAAAATCAATCCCAGCATTCCTTTAGTGATATGGAACCTTGTGGTACAATGTCAGAGAGATCCATACACTAACACACAAGTTATGTCTGGAAGTTACAAAAATGCTTATTTTTGGCCCCTTTTTGGCCCCTAATTCCTTTACTGTTATTACCATAACCCCCAAAATCAATCCCAACCTTCCTTTTGTGGTATTGAACCTTGTGGTAAAATTTCATAAAGATCCATTCACTTAAACTAAAGTTAGAGTGCGAAAACCAATGTGTCTTCGGACGACGCCGGACGACGACGACGACGACGCCGGACGACGACGACGCCAACGTCATACCAATATACGACCACAAAAATTTTTTTGCGGTCGTATAAGAAATATATCAGAGAATAAAATGCTTCGCTGAGCACAGCCTGATACGACTGCAGAGGTCGAACCCTGAACAGTTGGGGCAAATTTGGACACAATATTCAAGCTTGATACTGTCTGAATTGTGATCAAATTTTTGACATAAGATAGGTTTCTGACACAAAATAAATGTGGTCAAAGATCTTGCAAATCCATTGCGCAATACAGTGCAATTGAAGATTTCTTCTTGAAACTTTTTCAAAAATTTGAAATTTTAAAAATTTTGAAAAAAAAATATGAATCCCTTAAAAAAATTGGGACCCCCCCCCCCCCCCCCCCCCCCCCCAACTTTTTGAAACCCCCCTTGGAGCAATAACCCCAAAACTCAATCCCAGCCTTTCCTTTGTAGTATGGAACCTTGAAGTACAATTTCAGAGAGATCCATACACTTACACACAAGTTATTGTCTGGAATCTAGAAAAATGCTTCTTTTTGGCCCTTTATTCCTAAACTGTTGGCCCCCATAACCCGTACAATGAATCCCAACCTTCTACTTGTAGTATTAAACATTGTGGTACAATTTCAGAGAAATCGAAATACTTATACACAAGTTATTATCCTGAAACTAGAAAAATGCTTGTTTTGGGTCCCTTTTTGGGCCCCTAATTCCTAAATGGTTAGGACCATCATCCCCAAAATCAATCCCAACCTTCCTTTTGTGGTATTGAACCTTCTTAAAAAATTTCATAGAGATCCATTCACTTAAACTAAAGTTATTGTCCGGAAACCAATGTGTCTTCGGACGCAGACTACGACATCATACCATTATACGATCCCCAAAAATTAAATGTAAGGGATCAAATAAAAAATTTAATTTTTTAAAAAATAATTGAAATAAACTTGCATCATAAAAATCCTCTTCACAATCAGCGATCATGTAGCCAGGATGTTCATCCAACCACTTCTCTAAATCTTTCTTTTGTGGAGCTTCATCGCCTGACAATCTGCTGCCATCCTCTAGATTTATCACAGGAACTCTTGATTCTTGAAAACAAAATTCAGATCAATTTAGCAAATCTTTCCTGTAGAATTTTGAAAATAAATCATTTAATTAAATTAATGTTAACAACAATAATACTCCCCAACCCCCCCTTTCCAAAAAGTGTCTGCAGGTTTGCCTATAATACCTATATGTGTCAAAGAAAAATGGAAAAACAGCCATACCAAATAATCATCATTCTAATATGACGTGCTGCTTTTGCTTTGTAGACAACAGCGTGACAAAATTCTCGATATATCTATACTTAGACATTTAGGTCACTGTTCTCTATTCTTTGCCCATTATCCTCCATTCTTTATATTTTAACACCTCATTATTCTCTATTCTTTATTTTTTGGCCCCATTTTCCTGTAGTATTCTGCCCATTATTCTCTATTCTGTAAACCCCATCCAGACCCTCATTGAGGCTCTTTGATTGATTGATTGGTGTTTAACCCCAATTTCAACATTATTGGGCTATTTCGTGGCTGTCAGTTTTTATTGGTGGAGGAAGCCGGAGTGCCTGGAGAGAACCACCAACCTTTGGTAGGAAAACTGACAATCCTAGTCAATTAAGATTTGAGTCAAGCGCACCTTTCACATGCTGCATTTAAACTCACAACCTCAGTTTTACCGCAGTGTTGACAGGCTAGTGATACAGTACTTCAACTACTTAGACCACTCTGCCACGGAGGCCCCATTTGAGGCTCTTAGAACATGAATATTAGGAAAGAAGCAATTCATTACAGTTCACAGTTAATGCGAATGTTACAGGAATACACAAGGAAGTAAAAAGTAGCCTTTTCTGCCCTTTATCATGCAAACCAAAAAATCTTTTAAGTTCAAACGTCAAATGATGGCTAATTAATGTCCTGCTGCAAACATTACATGACTATTATTTGAGAAGGATAATATATTCATGTATTAGAAATATACCCTCCTTTATACTGAACCACCACACTAGGTCTGATTGTTAATGTGCTAGCTAACAAGGAAACAGTCTACAAGAAGACATGTCACCCAACCTGAACACATTATTCTGACTGTGCTCCACCCAGTCTATGCTCTTATTCCAAATGGCTGCAGGCTTGGTAGAAAAGCAGCAAATACAAATTTTAAAGTCTTTGGTTTGACACAAATGGAGTTTGGTTTGTGAACTCCTGACTTAGAACAAGTACTAATACCTTATAAATAGTTCTTACACTTAAGTCAAATGTCTATACCAGATAATACCAAATTTCCCTATAAACCAACAATGCATTGTCATAAACTGTTAACACAGACACATGTCTGGCCTGTGTGACCTAATCACAAACTTCAACAACTGTTGATGATGCAGATGCCAGAATTAGCATGCCTAAGTAAGTATCACTTTCGTGACTTTCGTCGCAGACAAAACAAAAACTAACCAGGGTCATATCCTCCAACATTCTTTGAATGTTCCCTTCTTGCAAGAGCCTCCTGCATAGCAAGTTCAGCCATCTTCTCAGCTTTCCTTTTTCGTCCCCTTCGTTGTCTGCCTGGGAACATCAAAGCATGTTCCATCTGCAAAGACATCTACAGAAAATCAGAAAAACAAAGTCACCTGCAAATCAAGTTCATTTTTCCTTGATCCCATTTTATTTCATTTTATGAAATAAAATTAAACACCACAAGTAAAAAAAAGGAAGGCCTGACTAAGCCTTAGAAAAACAATCACTTTAATGCTATTACAGGTGATTCTTTTCTTCATTATTTTTATCGGAAAATCTTTGTATTCCATTTTTTCACAACCAAATTAATTTCTTTAAAATGATAAAATTTATACGAAGTTGAACACAATATCATGCAAAGTAAATCTTACAGGTATACAATGAGGAAAAATTCCATGTTCAATGGGTATAGTTAAAACTCAAAGCATCATCATCAAACAGGAAGTGACTGCCTGGCAGACATGATTTAGCTTACATTGTTTAACTCAAAATTTAAAAGTTCCCAACCAAATACCAAACAGAAGTTGAGTAATATGTACACAAGTTATGGATGGACCAAATGATTGCAGTATATCACCAACTCGTAAGCTGGTTGCAGTTTTTTTTATGAAACCTCCCATCTTTTCCCAACTTCTACTAAAACAAGTTAAAACCAAAATTAGTGTAATAATAACTTTTTAGTATGATCCTCTATTCTTTATATAGAATTGATTAAAAAGTAAACATAGTGTATGTTGATAAAAGCTGGTCAGGTAAAACATATTTAGGAAACTTGGAAGATGCATGTGTAATTTCAAATAAATGGAGAATGTGTCCATGGGACACAGATGATGCCTCTGCATGCATATTACATTATAAAGGGACATAACTCAAGAACGGTAAAAGTGATGCCCCTCAAATTCGAACTTGATCCGAGTTTTGTGGTAATAAGCATAGTGTATAAGTTTCATAACATTTTGTTGAGGCAAACTTAAGTTAGAGAAGGGAAACGAAAAATTTGGCAATTTTCCATCCATTTGTAAAGACGCATAACTCTAGAACGGTAAAAGTGACGCCACCCAAATTCAAACATGATCTGCGTTTTGTGGTAATAAGCAATGTGCATAAGTTTCATAAGATTTGGTTGAGGCAAACTAAAGTTAAAGAATGGAAACCAATTTCAAGAGTACCGGCGTACGGACGGACAAGGGTATTACTTAATGCCCCCTCTGCTGCGGCGGGGGCATAAAAAATAAATTCACACAAATTTAAATTTGTATAATTTTGAACTTGTAAGATGTATTTTCAGAACCGAAGCCCAATATAACTGTAACCACAAAAATTTAACTCATCTGCTTAGCGGAAAAATAATAAAAGAAATACAACGATATTAGTTTAAGCATTTTCCCAAGGTGTCACATTTTAAAAATGGACAGACTTATTAACTATTTCAACAACCTTGAAATGAGAATAAAAAGTTGTAGACAAATCCATTATGATATAAGTATTAAAGGAGAACATAAAATAAATATTAATGTGTTATATATGTATTAAAGGAGAACTATTTACTAGTGAAAGGTTATATAAAACAGCAGAGTAAACTTACCATACTCCTTTGAAGGAGAACAGGATCAAATTCAGGACCTGATCCATTGGAAAGTAAATCGGCAGGAGTCTGTTAGAAAAACAAAAAGTGCCCAGTGCCCATTAGTTAAAACAACAGGTATTAGTAAAAGTGAGATTAAAATCAACAATAGGCAACTCAAACTTAGAATTCAAAATTTACATCACTTTTAATTCCAAAATGTTCTATAGTAACTGTATTTTATAAAAGTAAATAGCTTGTTAACAATGGTCTGATAAAATGATCCTGATGTGATTTAAAATAACTTGATTTTTAAACAAATTCCAATTGATTTTACACAACAATTTTACATATTTTTATCAATTTTCCATGGAGTGCAAATGTCTCTTATTGTCCGTTGTGTACTGTGTCAAATTTATAACATGGAATGACATGCATGTATTCACAATGATGAAATGCAACCAACATCTTAGAAAAACAAAGTATCATGTGATTTTTTATGCTTTAAAATTAACCGTGAATATACATTTGCATTAAAACCCTTTTCAACAATGAATAAACAAATTTTAAGAAGTTAAGGAACAACACTGCAAACAAAATCAAGCACTGCATTACAATAATTCCAAAACAAAATCAAAATGTAATAAATGAAGGCTTGTGTGAATAGGTGGGATAGAAAACATCTTATTGCTTCAATGTTTTAAAAATATTCAACTTTCAATCATTTTAATAAATGGAAAAAAAAAATAGATGATAAAACTTTTTTTTTTATGACAGAGTATGTCAAAAGATTTCTTTTAAAACTACACAATGAAGCAATAAGTTGGATGATATGAATAATGGGAAAACTAAAGCTACACACACATCACTAAATAAATATCTTGTTTAAATTGAAAGAAAAGAAACAAAATCATGCATATGCGAAAAAGTAAAAAGGTATAGAGAATAGAAAAAGAAAAGCAGATATAATTTTAAGCGTAACAGATCACACCGGGTATCCCGATCCAAAAATGAGGAGGAATCCAAATCCGGAGAAGCATTAATAAACAATGTGTAACTGAGGGTAAGTAAAATGCTTCCGATTCCCATGGCTCCACGGGATTCCGATCCTGCTGCGAATTTCAGATTGGGATACCTTGTGTTCAGATGTTCATGCAAAAATTTGATTCAATGAACCTCTTTTTCTTTGTCTTATCTTAAAACAGGCTATATGAAGAGGATGCATAATACATATAGAAAAAATCTTTTGGTTTCATTTAATGTGTGTAGCAATAATTGAACGAACCTGTGAGAAGAAATAATGATGAGGTGAGTGTCGTGGGGAATGTCCAGCTACCTGAGATCGTGGGGTCAGAGACTCCGACTGACTGTCGTTATCACTAGAGGCTGCAGACTGATTCAATAGATGGGCCATCCTCCCTGAAATCACAAAATAAAATTATTTTTTTAAGCATTTCAATACTTTTTTATTCCAATTGATCATCAAAGTATATCATGTGCAACACAGTGTTCTTATACAAGCCTGACAATCAAGAGCTTACAAAAGGTAGCCCTTGTAAATGCCCTATATTTTTTGCATGTGTCCTATCATACACAAGCATCAATGTTATTTGGTGGGGAAAAAAATAACTTATTTACAAAAGAGATTATAAAAGGTAGCCCATGTTCAATATATATTTTTTTACTTGTGCTTATTCATACAAGCCCAAATGTTGTTTGTGAATACAATAAAATGTTGTTTTCCATTTTATCAAGGGGAGTAACCACAAAGTTGAACCATACACATTCAAACTGGATCTGTGTGGTCCCAGCAAAATTTCAAAATGATTTGAAAGAGGCTTTCTCAATTTAACAGCATGAAATGCCATACAATTTGAAACAACCAAAAAGTGCTTTAAAGAACATCAGATAGAGAAGTCATCATTGACTGTAAGTGTTGGATCTCTTGTTCATCATATGTTTTCAAGTTAAGTATCAGGTTAATCTTTTCTTATGTTATAAAAGACTTCAGGTTACCAAGTAAACTTTGTCAAATATAAAATGCTGTGTAAATAGTGATTGCAAGACACATCAAGTATTTTTTCTTATCAATTCTATATCAACAATTTGAAGTCACAGACCACAGTCAGGTTACATTTTTCCATTAATAATATTGTATGTTAGAGAACTATGTATCATTTTATTAGTTAAACTTGTCAACTACAAAGATTTCTCACATGGTATAGGTACTTAGTGAGCTGTGAAAAGTTGCTGTAGATAAAACAGTTTTGATTTACACCATCAATTCATGATACTTGTTTACTTTGAGTTTGTATAGATAGGTGATTACACAAGAAGATACTAGTATTAAGGAGATATGACATTGATTGGTGTTTAACTTCGTGCTGGTCTTTTTTTTTTATTGCTGGAAGAAGCTGGATTGCCTAGAGAAAACAACAGACCATCGCAAGGAAAACTTACAATCATAGTCAATTAAGATTGAAGTCAAGTGCACCTGCCACGTGCAGGATTCGAACTCACAACCTTAGTGTTGACAGGCTAGAGATACAGTAGTTGGACTACTTAGGCTACTCGGCCTCAGAGGCCCCTCAATATGACTGTATACTGGAAACTAATATCCATGTAACAGAAACATCAGATAGAGAAGTCATCATTGACTTAAGTGTTGGATCTCTTGTTCATCATATGTTCAAGTTAAGTTTCAGAATAATCTCTTATTTGTTAAAAAACAAAATTATCAATGCCATGTAAATAAAGGGATGAAAGGATAGAGAGATATTCTTCACTTTTGGTTTGAATAAGGGAGGTGATAATAGGGGGCAGTAACTCATATTAATGTGATTTAGCTGATTATATGAAAGTCATATCCATGTTACTGAAACATCAGATAGAGAAGTCATCATTGACTGTAAGTGTTGGATCTCTTGTTCATCATATGTTCTCAAGTTATACATTGAATAATCTTTTCTTATGCTATCAATAGTTATAAAGGAATTCAGTTACCAAGTTCAATTTTCAGATATAATCTTGTGCATGAATAGTTATTTAAGTATTAAATAAACAGCTGCGCCATGAGCGCATGATACGCCCGTCGTCTTGTGTGTGAATTTTTATGCAATAAGCATAAATAGTTTCTGACATATGGCGTGACATGCGAAAACCCCCTTTTTTTTTTACAAAAAACCCAATATCTCTAAAATAAAATTTTGAATCAAAACCAAAAAGTATACAGATCTTTAGATTAATATAACTAAGAAGTGTGTAAAATTTTAAGCAATAATCATAAATCGTTTTTGAGATACAGCGCGACATGTGAAAACACCCCTTTTAAAAAAAAAAACTCAATATCTCAAAAAAAATTTTTTGAATCAAAACCAAAAAGTATACAGATCTTTAGATTAATATAACTAAGAAGTGTGTAAAATTTTAAGCAATAATCATAAATCATTTTTGAGATATGGCACGACATGTGAAAAACCCCTCCCCCTTTTTTTACAAAATACTCAATAACTCAAAAATAAAATTTTGAATCATCACCAAAAAGTATACAGATCTTAAGGTTAATATAACTAAGAAGTGTGTAAAGTTTTAAGCAATAATCATAAACTGTTTTTGAGATACGGCGCGACATGTGAAAAACCCCTCCCCCTTTTTTAACAAAATACTCAATAACTCAAAAATAAAATTTTGAATCATCACCAAAAAGTATAAAGATCTTAAGATTAATATAACTAAGAAGTGTGTAAAGTTTTAAGCAATAATCATAAATTGTTTTTGAGATACGGCGCGACATGTGAAAAAAAACACACACCTGTTTTAGTTACTAAGTCCCGTAACTCAAAAAGTTTTAATCTTATTTTCACCAAAAAGTATACAGATTGTTTGACCATCATAAGAAACAACTATGTTAAGTTTCATGAAATTTGGATAAGTCATTCTCAAGTTACGGTGCGACAGTTTACGCCGGACAGACAGTCGGACAGGCGGACGGACACCGGACATTTGTATAACATAATACGTCCCGTCAAAAATTTGACGGGCGTATAAAAACACATCAAATTTGTATTTATATCAATCCTATATCAACAGTCATCACAGACCTATTCAGGTTAGATTTTCCTCTTTGATAATAATTTATGTTAGAGAATAAGTAGAGATTTCAAATTGACAATGTAGATCTTTTTTAATTTTAACTAATTTTCTACAAAGATGTCATTGTATATGTACTTCTTGGGCTGTGAAAAGTTGCTGTAGATAAAAAGTTTTGATTTACACTATCAATTCAGGATACCTATTTACTTCTTGGGCTGTGAAAAGTTGCTGTAGATAAAAAGTTTTGATTTACACTATCAATTCAGGATACCTATTTACTTTTGGTTTGAGTAGTGAAGAGGTGAATACAGGGGAATAGTCTCATATTAAGGTGATTTGGCTCAATAGATGAATTTCAAGTTCTTTTTTATGAAAGAGTCACCCAGCTAACCCTATGTAAATCGGCAAAAATGAGATTGAACAATCAACTCTTATTGTGACGTACAATTTAATTATATAAAGCTTTGTGACATTGCATTTGTACAGAAAAACTGCATGAATGTGAAAGTTGTATCCATGTTACTGAAACATCAGATAGAGAAGTCATCATTGACTTAAGTGTTGGATCTCTTGTTCATCATATGTTCACAGTTATGTATCAGGTTAATCTTTTCCTTTATATTCAGAAACTAAGTCTACCAAATAAAAAGTTGTCAGATATATATTATGTAAAAGTGAAAAAGGGGTTGTAAGATATGTCAAGTCTGTGTTCACATCAACAAAGGATTTAGTCACAGACCTCACTAAGGTGAGACATTTTAAATCTAATAATAATGAATGTCATAGAATAAATAGAGAGGAAATGTCAAATTTTATTTAATGTTGAACTTGTCAAAAAGAAAAGTTGTCATTAAAAATATATATGTATTTCTGAGTCCATAAAAGTTGATGCTGGTATAATTGATTATTTGGTGTTTTAAAGCCACTTTCAGCACTATTAGCCATCTTGCGGCAGCCAGTTTTATTGGTGTAGGAAGAGCCTTGGTGCCCTGAGAGAACCAGACCTTCAATTAGGAAAACTGGCAATCCTAGTCAATTAAGATTGGAGTAAATGCACCTGCCACTTGTGAGCTTCAAATTCACAACCTCAGTGTTGACAGGCTAGCGATACAGTAGATGAACTACTTAGACCACTTGGAAAATGAGGCCCCTTGATGTACCGTATAAACTTGTCTAATAGTCGATCCTACTATAAGTTGGGGGCCCTTTTCAGCTCCAAATTCTAAGGATTTAGTCTTGACCCTCGTATAAGTCGGACAAAATTTGGGCATTTTTTTTTTCAGCTGACAGTAACTGAACGCCGGTAGAACCAATGCAAATCCAGGAATAATATTCATTTCTGCATTAATGTTTGGTTTGAATTTAGTTGATGCTCATCATGATAATTTATATTGCTGTTAATAATAAAGATGTATTCATTTCTCTTGTTTTGTTCACTGTTCAAATGTTAGATTAGCCATGTGTTGTTTACGTAATGCATCAATGATTTTGTAGGGTATGACTAACAACCTATTGTTTGAGAAAAGCAAATATAAACCAATATGAACCTGAAAAATTTAAAGTCAATCAACACTTGATGAAAATATTTTTCACAGCATACATAACTCGGTGTTAAATGAGCATGTACACTTCATAATTCTTATTATATTGTGATGATTAAAGGATTAAAATAAAATGCTCCGCTGGGGCGCAGCTTGATACGACCGCAGAGGTCGAACCCTGAACAGTTGGGGCAAGTATGGACACAACATTCAAGCTTGATACAGCACTGAATTTTGATTGTAATTAAATATTTGACACAGCATAGGTTTCTGACACAGAATGAATGTGGTCTAAGAACTTAAAAAAATTTAATTTATCTATTCAAACCATATCATTATTATTTGCTTTTATATATAAATCAGAAATAACCAATTTAAAATGGAAAATTTTAAAGAAAAAAAGGGAAAAAAATCCCCCCCCCCCCAAATTTTTTGAACCCCCTTATGATTCATCACCCCCAAACTCAATCCCAGCCTTCCCTTTGTGGTATGGTACCTTGCAGTACACATACATGTGATGGACTGTGAAACTAAGATCAGGAGTTTTGGAGATTAGGACTGAGATCAGGATGTTTTTAATCGACATAAATTCTGTCGTAAATGTAACCGTGTGCTGTAGAAATTGTCTGTTAAAGTGTGTTTTCTTCAACTTTCCATCCGAATGTATTATGTTTATAGTACCTTTGTACTTATAAATTTTCTCTATCTTTTTAAACTTTCAACTTGTTCAATCTAACATTCTTCTTTTTCAGTATGTTCTTTAAATTTTTTAGGTCATATCTTTTTTACCATTATTCATTGCAATCAGATCATTTGCTTATCTATCTGCAAGTAGATCTTTTATATTTATCTTCATGCAAGTAGATTTATAATGCATGATAAGTAACACATTCAAACAAACATGGGTCATAGTTATTATATAAATTTCAATTTAAGCCTTGAAAGGAAGTATAGAACCCTCAAATAATTTTCAAATTATTATTTTTTTATTTGTCCTAAAACATTTAAAATCATTTAATTACCATCCTTTTATGATTATTTGTTCATTTTATATTTTATTTATATTCTTTTAAAAATTTACATTATTTAAAGGTAAGTAACTTAAAAACAGGATAAATCAAGGGAAGTAACCCAACATTCATTTTAAATAAACAAAGTTTTATTACACAACGGCAGTTAGCCTGAGGTAAAAATCGTTGATTACCAGTATGTTTGACACCCAAGGTGACAAATGAGGCCATATAATTATGCATGTTAATTGATATACAGGTAAAATATAACTTCAGTAATGTCAGTTACACCAGATATGTTGGGCTGAAATTTTTCATTCATGAAATATTTCATACACAGGATTTTTTTGTCTTCAACGGGAGGTCGGGAGGAGACCCCTGAAAACGGGATTATTGTACTCCCGTCGGGAGGTTCACATGTATGAACTGTACAATTTCAGAGAGATCCATACACTTGAACACAAGTTATTGTCTGGAAACAAGAAAAATGCTTGTTTTTTGGCCCCAAATTCCTAAACATTTAGGGCAATTACCCCCAAACTCAAACCCAGCTTTCCCTTTGTGATATGGAACCTTGCAGTACAATTTCATAAAGATACATACAACTACACACAAGTTATTGTCCTGAAACTAGAAAAATGCTTGTTTTTTTGCCCCTTTATGGCCCCTAATTCCTCAAGTTTCTAGGGAATTACCCCCAAAATCAATCCCAGCCTTCCCTTTGTGGTTTGGTACCTTGCAGTACAATTTCAGAGAGATCCATACACTTGAACACAAGTTATTGTCTGGAAACTAGAAAAATGCTTATTTTTGGCCCCTTATTCCTAAACGTTGTGGGCAATTACCCCCAAAATCAATTCCAGCTTTCCCTTTGTGATATGGAACCTTGTAGTACAATTTCATAAAGATCCATACACTTACACACAAGTTATTGTCATGAAACTAGAAAAATGCTTGTTTTTCGCCCCTTTTTGGCCCCTAATTCCTAAACTTTTAGGGCAATTACCCCCAAACTCAAACCCAGCTTTCCCTTTGTGATATGGAACCTTGTAGTACAATTTCAGAAAGATCCAAACACTTACACACAAGTTATTGTCATGAAACTAGAAAAATGCTTGTTTTTTTCCCCTTTTTGGCCCCTAATTCCTAAAATTTGGAGGCAATTACCCCCAAAAATCAATCAAGCATTCCCTTTGTGATATGGAACCTTGTGGTACAATGTCAGAGAGATCCATACACTAACACACAAGTTATGTCTGGAAGTTACAAAAATGCTTATTTTTGGCCCCTAATTCCTTAACTGTTGGTACCATAACCCCCAAAATCAATCCCCACCTTCCTTTTGTGGTATTGAACCTTATGGTAAAAATTCATAGAGATCCATTCACTTAAACTAAAGTTAGAGTGCGAAAACCAATGTGTATTCGGACGACGACGCCGACGACGACGCCAACGTCATACCAATATACGACCACAAAATTTTTTTGCGGTCGTATAAAAATTAAGTGAAGCTTATCAATATATTAAAATAACTAACTCCAACTCATTAGTGTCATCTGTTTACCTATCACTGATAGTTTTCACACCTTTAGTAAATACAACTCTTTGTCTCTTAATTGGGGTTATCAATGGATTATATTGGCTTGTCAATCAATTTTGTAATTTTTGTTTACCTGAGACACTTTAATGAATAATATTTTGATTTTGGGAATGAATCTTAAAATTATTTTTTGATTATTATATGATTTATAAGCATTGAATTGATATCATGATATCACAATAATGACACAATAACACCGCTGAAAACATCCTTTCACATATTTGGTACATTGTTATCTCCTTTTCATTTTTGGTTCTTGGCTCTTCTTTTGGGTTTATAGGAAAACCATATGACCATGAAAATCAATACACAAACTGGAAACAGTAGAATTTCAACACGAATTTGCAGAAAGTGTTTACCAAAGAACAAATAAAACACAAAGACAGTATTGTAGTCATTTATTTTCAACAAAAACTTTTTATTTATTGATTTATGTAGGTTTGGCAATCAAAAACGTAGTTTTGACCAGGAAATTCACTCCTGACCACTTTTCTCAAGCTTGGATTTTTCCTCTGGTCGCTAGATCTCGTCTATTAGTCGGTCCCCCTCTCTGGATTATGAATTTTACTCCCAATTTTCCGACTAATAAGCGAGTAGGTACGGTAGATACAACTTAAGAACAGTTTTGATTTACACAATCAAGGAGGTAATTACAGGGGCTAGGACTTACATTAAGGTGATTTAGCTGAATATTGGAAACTCATATACAAGTTACTGAAACATCAGATAGAGAAGTCATCATTGATTATAAGTGTTGGATCTCTTGTTCATCATATGTTCAAGTTAAGTATCAAACTATCTTTCCCTTTGTCTAAAGGAATTAATTCCACCAAGTAAAAGTTGTCAGATATAATATGAAATGATATATTGCTAAAAACTGAGGGTGCACTTGCCGTTGTCAATGTAAACATCAACAACATCATAGGCAAAATAGCAATAAACAGATTAACAATGGCTTTCAAACTTGAGGATGTTTCTCTGACAAATCCCATCTCAAGGCTGTCGCCCTTCGATGAGATTGTAGCTGGGAAACACCCTCTCGTTTGAAAAACCATCAATTATCTATCATTACATAAATAGTGATAAAAGGATTGCAAGATAATCGTGTATCTTTTCATATTATTTCAATTTATATCAATAAACTGAAGTCACAGAAAACCCTCAGGTTAGATTTTCTCCTTTAATAATGTTGTAGGTTAGAGAAGTCAAAAGAGAAAAAAAATGCAGAATTTTATTTAAGGATAAACTAATCAAGTACAAAAATGTAACAGTATAGGTACTTGTTTAGCTGTAAAAAGTTGTGTTAGTAAAGAACAGTTTTGATAAACACCATCAATTTAGGATACTTTGTTTGAGTAGAGAGGAGGTGAATACAGGTCAGTTTATCATATTTAGGCTATTTTGCCGAGTATGGCAGACTCATATACAAGTTACTGAAACATCAGATAGAGAAGTCATCATTGATTATAAGTGTTGGATCTCTTGTTCATCATATGTTCCCAAGTCAAATGATACTGTAGTACTTCACACTTACCATCAAATTTTTGTTCTTTAGCATTGCGTTTGTGGAATGTCATTTTTAATCCATCACCCTGGAAATAGAAGGAAAAGAAATTACAAAAATGTGAAACAGTCTTCATATATTAAAATAATTACTATTCCTAAATAATATGTTAATTCGGTATATGCATTTACAAATATCATCAACAAAATTTTTATTTAAAGTTAACAAGGTCATTATTTTTATTTTAACGACATTTCATTCATATCTAAATGTAAAACAAATGAATTGCTATGAAATCAAATGTATGCATAAAATCTAAATAAAATTTATTAGGACTTTTCATTACTTTTAAGTTCATACATTTGTTAAAATACTTGATTAAAACCTATACAGAACACATTATCTAGGATTTTAATAATCATATTTACATTTATTTTTACTGCACTTTCAAAATGTGGTATGAAAAATTAAGAAACATCAAAAGAGATATGATAACACAAATCAAGATGAAATAATAGTGAAGATGATATGATTTTAGTTCTGAGTTAAAATTATATTAGCATTGTTAAAATTTATAAATGAATTAAAATGATTTTATCTCTTTTTTTTCAATACTTTTTTCTACAGACCTAACAAAGGCTTATTATACCCTGCATACAAATGGTCAACTCATAGAACATTAGTAACAGACTGGTAAGAGCCAAACATATATATAATATGTTACTGTTTTCTGAATTTGACTCCCTACGTTTATAGATAGTGATTAATGGCATCACTCTTGTATCTCCAGTAAGCCCTGCATTTTCTTCACATCCCATTAAGCAGATGTACTTAAGGAGAACATTTAACAGCATTGCTACAGCTGAATGGAGTTGCACGATAAAGATAAGAAGTATAATTTATAACCCAGTTCTTATCTGTATACAGGGTGCATGTGATTATATTTTAGTATTACTTGAATAGAAATATCATTATTGATTACTGTAAATTCAGAAATTATTGTGAGCATTCATTCTTGCGAAACACTGATTACTGCCAAAAATGCAACATCTAATTAATGCGACTGCAAGAATTTTTGAAGGAAAATCAATACTGAAATTAAGTTTTTAATAATTGTGAACCTGATACTGTTGCATTTTTCACATTAATAAAAACAAGGCAATATTTTCTGAATTTATAGAATATTTTTTTCCTAAATATTTTCCTTGAAACAGGTTTCAAACAAATGCCTTTGCTGTGTAAATAAACATAAATGGAAGCTTCCTCATCCGTGGGATTCCACTGAATTAAAGTGACAAAGAAACACCACATCACCCTGCAGAGAGAATAGAAAAGCTGCTGTGCTCATACACCCAACCACAATTTACTCTACCTCGGTAAATTGAACTTCAAAATCCTTATCAATATCATTTATCCCTTTGTTCACCTTGATCCCATCATAAACAGAATCTCCAGCGTCTGACTGGCTCAGATCTTGGTCATCTCTGGGTGTCGATGATCCGAGGGGTGTGGCACTTCTGGAGTCATAGTTCATAGGAATGTTAGACATCCTCTTTGGGAATGGCCATTCTCCAGTCTCAACACAGTAACATATATGTTCTAGACGATGGAAGATTACCCTGTCCTAAAAAAGGAAAACACATTCATTATTATACAGTCGACGACAATTCTGAGTCTTTGAGTCGTTATAAGCTTTTGTTCCAGTGCTCATTTCTATGATTACATTGGTTCTGAATATTCAAACTTTGATACAATCAAGCTAACTAACTCTTACAAACATTCAAATGTTATCAATAAAATCAATTTGTATTATAAATTTAAAAAACCTCTTGGAATAAATCTTTTTTTAGATGAACTACAGAATTATCACTGAATCTCAAATTCTTTTAAATTTCTCAAAATGACATGTTCCATCCTAGTATCCATTCCTGAAGAGTATATTTTTACTCAATAGTGTAAATTATTATTGAAACGAGATTTCTAAGCAAATTTTGTGCTTGTCCATTAATGATTTTTTTTTGCATTTAGAGACTCTTCTCACTGTAATGAAGCACTATCACACTGTTTTCAACAAAGCTCAGTTTTACAATAAATTTATCAAATTGATAACTAAAATAATTGATTTAATCAGAATTGATTCTGATAACTAAAAAAAATTTGGTCTATTTAAAAATTAACTTTTGAAAACAAATGGCTTGAAAATCATGCCAAAACTTTGTTCTTGAATTTTCAGATTACTTTAAATTTCATATAAATATCTTCTCTTACCTTTGGCCATTGTAGAAAATCTGCTGGAATGGCTGACGATCTGGAATCTAAATTATCCTCTTCATTTATAAGCTTCTGTAACTCCTGAAAATGTTGGTTATATGTATTACATATGTTGATTATTTTGGTTTGCAGTATGCAAAATGCTTTGGATCAATTGCTCTAGACTTTAAAAGTAATCAATATCTATTTATAAATCAAATACACATCAATTTTTGTTATTGCTTAGAGCTATTTCCCTAATGCTTGTAGTTTAAAGGTCTAGTTGGCTTGCTTGCTTTGTTTGAATAAATGTTTGTTCAAGCTTTGTAATTAAGATTGACATCTGCAATCAATAGATAGGCAGAGCTTCAGCTTGTATACATTATACTTTGCATTATATTATTGTCAAATCCATGTACCCTTTAGTCTTTCAAATCATGAAATATGAAGAGGTGTGACAACTTCAAATGGTCTTCCAAACAATTAGTTTTGAAACAGTAACAGAATTAAGATTCACTGAGTATCAGTGTATTCAATTAAATTCAGGCGGTGCTTACCTTTTGAATTGACAAAAGTATGCTATTTTTGGACACTACTTATCACATATATATACATTTTATGATTTCTTTATAACTATGGTTTGATTCTACCCAGAAAATCAAAAGCATATGCCTTTTATTTATGCACATAGATAAATTACTCATCATCAATTTCAATAGTTTGACAGTTTAAAACATACCACATCTTCTTTGGTGAACTTCTCGCCATCTTCTACCTTTACTTTTTCCTTTTCTTTTGTCACTTCAGTTGATTCATCGTTCACATCCTTTTCCTCATCCTCTGTTTTAATTTCTCCAGGAGACTTAACTTTTTCTGGAGACTTTTCTGATTTTACTTTCCCTTGAGATTTCTCACTTTCATTTTGATTTTCAGATTTCACTTCATTCTCATTAGCAGTTTCATTGTCAGAAACATCATGTTCGATATCAGTGGCTTCGTCATCTTCATTATCTACAGCAGATTTCTTAGCTACAGATAAATCACAACTCTCTTCCTGAAAATCATGTTCTGAATGGGCTTCCTCTTTTACGTCACTTTCACTTTCATTTTCTTCTTTCACTTCAGTTTTGATATCCTTCTGCAGTTCTTTTTTACTATCAGGACTACCAGTTCTATTTTCTTCCTCTGCATCATGTTCAATGTCATTCATTTTTTTATCAGGAGAAATCACTTCCTTTTTCACATCCTTGCCAAAGTCTTGTTCAAGGTCTTCAGACTTTTTATCAGGAGATACTGGTTCCTTTTTCACATCTTGAGGATCAATTTCTGATTTATCTTTATTAGACTCCCTTTTGATTTTCTCTATCATTGCTTTTATTTCCAATTCAGTTTCTTCTTCCTTATCTATAAGAATATTTGATAAACATCTTTATGTTCAAAGTGCCCATTTAGTTTTCAGAAACTTAAAATGTTTCCTCTTAAACATAATATAAACTATCAACATGTACACATGAAACACAGGTCATAAATTTCAAACTTTTTCTTCTTGAAATATTTATCAGTATGCCAACTATGTGCTTCTAAAATTACATTATTTTCAAATAAATTTGTATACAAGTGAGGAAGTTTTATACAGATATTAAGTTTCATATTTTTTATGAAGCTTATAAGTTAAGTCTTTGTCTTTTAAATCTTTCTTTTTGGCTTAATAGTTATGCTATCATGTTATCCTGTTGATGTCTTTTTTTTGTGTATTTTAGTTGCTGTATCATTAATGTATTACCCCTACCCCCATCATCTCCTTTTCTATAAAACTTTAAATGTATGGTATGTCTCAATAACTTACTTTTAACTTTAACTGGTGTCTGACTGGCACCAGGTGACTGCATAAAATGAGGGGAATTTACATATGGACGTTTATTTCTGAACACATCTTTGAAAGACAATGCTGGGTCATTAAGTATAAATTCATCAGTGCGCACAACACCATGCCTGAAATTGAAAATATGTAATTATCAAATTAATAGTGTAAAATTTAAACATTAACAATTTAATCTACATAATACAGAGACTAAAGAGTCATATTTTAGTCTAGTTATAAACATCTAAGCACTAATAGTCATATGTTATTGAATTTATCTATGACCTTGCAGGATAATTTTTGAACTTCCATGTATCTACCCACTGTAAATGGACAAACCATAAATTAATAAAATGCTTCGCTGGGCGCAGCTTGATACGACCGCAGAGGTCGAACCCTGAACAGTTGGGGCAAGTATGGACACAACATTCAAGCTTGATACAGCTCTGAATTTGGATTGTGATAAAAAATTTGACACAGCATAGGTTTCTGACACAGAAAGAATGTGGTCTAAGAACTTCAATTTTTTTAATTTACCTATTATGGTCCAATGTCCAAAATCAAAATACATGGTTAGATTCAGCATATCAAAGAACCCCATATATTCAATTTTTGTTGAAATCAAACAAAGTTTAATTTTGGACCCCAACTTGGACAAACTTGAAAACTGGTCCCATAATCAAATATCTAAACACATGTTTAGATTCAGCATATCAAAGTACCCGAAGAATTCAATTTTTGTTAAAATCAAACTAAGTTTAATTTTGGACCCTTTGGACCTTAATGTAGACAAATTTAAAAAACGGGACCCAAAATAAAAAATCTAAAAACACGGTTAGATTTGGCATATCAAAGAACCCCAATAATTAAATTTTTGATGAAATCAAACAAAGTTTAATTTTGGACCCTTTTGACCTCAATATGAACCAATTTGATAGCGGGCCCACAAATAAAAAATCTAAATACATGGTAAGATTCAGCATATCAAAGAACCCCATATATTCAATTTTTGTTGAAATCAAACAAAGTTTAATTTTGGACCCCAATTTGGACCAACTTGAAAACTGGGCCAAAAATCTAAAATCTGAATACATGTTTAGATTCAGCAGATCAAAGAACCCCATATATTCAATTTTTGTTGAAATCAAACAAAGTTTAATTTTGGACCCCAACTTGGACAAACTTGAAAACTGGTCCCATAATCAAAAATCTAAACACATGTTTAGATTCAGCATATCAAAGAACCCCAAAAATTCAATTTTTGTTAAAATCAAACTAAGTCTAATTTTGGACCCTTTGGACCTTAATTTAGACCAATTTAAAAAACAGGACCCAAAATTAAAAATCTAAACACACGGTTAGATTTGGCATATCAAAGAACCCCAATAATTCAATTTTTGATGAAATCAAACAAAGTTTAATTTTGGACCCTTTTGACCTCAATATGAACCAATTTGATAGCGGGCCCACAAATAAAAAATCTAAATACATGGTAAGATTCAGCATATCAAAGAACCCCATATATTCAATTTTTGTTGAAATCAAACAAAGTTTAATTTTGGACCCCAATTTGGACCAACTTGAAAACTGGGCCAAAAATCTAAAATCTAAATACATGTTTAGATTCAGCATATCAAAGAACCCCATATATTCAATTTTTGTTGAAATCAAACAAAGTTTAATTTTGGACCCAACTTGGACCAACTTGAAAACTGGACCCATAATCAAAAATCTAAACACATGTTTAGATTCAGCATATCAAAGAACCCCAAGAATTCAATTTTTGTTAAAATCAAACTAAGTTTAATTTTGGACCCTTTGGACCTTAATGTCGACCAATTTAAAAAACGGGACCCAAAATTAAAAATCTAAATACACGGTTAGATTCGGCATATCAAAGAACCCCAATAATTCAATTTTTGATGAAATCAAACAAAGTTTAATTTTGGACCCTTTGGACCTCAATGTGGACCAATTTAAAAACGGGGCCCAAAATCCAAAAACTTAATACACGGTTAGATTCAGCATATTAAAGAACCCCAAGAATTCAAGAATAAAACCCCATTGAAATTGATCAAGAAATAAGCAATTTATACGAAGTATCTTCTTTTGCACAATACTGTGCAATTGAATATTTCTTGCTATTGCGCAATACTGTACAATTGACAATTTCTTGCTATTGCGCAATATTGTGCTTTTGGATATTTCTTGCTATTGCGCAATACTGTGCAATTGAAGATTTCTTGCTATTGCGCAATACTGTGCAATTGAAGATTTCTTGCTATTGTGCAATTGAAAATTTCTTGCTATTGCACAATACTTATTATATAATAATTTACATATCCTGTTTGGTGTGTATCTCCTACCATATCATTATTATTTGCTTTTAAATATAAATCAGAAATAACCAACTTAAAATGGAAAATTTTAAAAGAAAAAAAAAAAGAAAAAAAGAAAAAAAAAAAAAAAAAAATCCCCCCCCCCCCCCCAAATTTTTTGAACCCCCTTATGATTCATCACCCCCAAACTCAATCCCAGCCTTCCCTTTGTGGTATGGTACCTTGCAGTACAATTTCAGAGAGATCCATACACTTGAACACAAGTTATTGTCTGGAAACTAGAAAAATGCTTATTTTTGGCCCCTTTTTGGCCCCCAATTCCTAAACGTTTCGGGCAATTACCCCCAAACTCAATTCCAGCTTTCCCTTTGTGATATGGAACCTTGTAGTACAATTTCAGAAATATCCAAACACTTACACACAAGTTATTGTCATGAAACTAGAAAAATGCTTGTTTTTTGCCCCTTTTTTGGCCCCTAATTCCTAAAATTTTGAGGCAATTACCCCCAAAATCAATTACAGCCTTCCCTTTGTGATATGGAACCTTGTGGTACAATGTCAGAGAGATCCATACACTTACACACAAGTTATTGTCTGAAAGTTACAAAAATGCTTATTTTTGGCCCCTTTTTGGCCCCTAATTCCTTAACTGTTGGTACCATAACCCCCAAAATCAATCCCAACCTTCCTTTTGTGGTATTGAACCTTATGGTGAAATTTCATGGAGATCCATTCACTTAAACTAAAGTTAGAGTGCGAAAACCAATGTGTCTTCGGACGACGCCGGACGACGACGACGACGACGACGACGACAACGACGACGACGACGACGCCAACGTCATACCAATATACGACCAAAAAATTTTTAATTTTTGCGGTCGTATAAAAATAACCAAAGATTTCAATATCTATGCTCTTAAAGTGTTAAAACGTTTAAACCTGCTGCGTTTTTATGCACCTGTCCTAAGTCAGGAGCCTGTTGTTCAGTGGTTGTCATTTGTTGGTGTGGTTAATAAGTGTTTGTCGTTTCTCTTTTTTTATATAGATTAGACCGTTGGTTTTCCTGATTGAATGGTTTTACACTAGTCTTTTTAGGGCCCTTTATAGCTTGCTGTTTGATGTGAGCCAAGGCTCCATGTTGAAGGCCAGACTTAGACCTATAATTGTTTACTTTTTATACATTGTGACTTGGATGGATAGTTGTCTCATTGGCACTCATACCACATCTTCTTATTTATATATCTTAGCTTTAACTTGAGTATCTGTATCATGTTGTTTCACATATATATATTTATTTTAAATGATGATTAAACAATTTTTAGTCCTCTAATATATATTTAGTTTTATTCATTCTGACCATTTTAATTTCAGCCTATAAAGTCTTACCTAGCAGCTCCTCTGAGTAGATCTTTGTCATGTTTGCCACAAATCCACCATGATGGCAGATCATAAGACGTTTGACACAACTTGACACGCTCATCAAATTTGGGATGTGCCAATGTTTCAGTTCGTATTTTATTGAGAAGATCAATTCGGGCAAGACTGCGACTAGCTCTCTCTTCAGATATTGGTTCCACATAAATATTGTTCGGAGGCAGTGCTAAAAAAATAAAAAGGACATGATATTAAAGATCACTTTATTTCTGAATTGTGCACTATTCTTGGCCCATCTGGGAATTGCATAACAGAATTGAAATTTGAATCAACCTTTTTCATTTTACAAATGGTAATAATATCATATTATAAATTATTTCACTGATTTTGAATTTTGATGACTTTAAAATTTCAAGCAACATCTATAATGGAATAATTTAAACCAAAATTTCATGAAAAAAAACAGACGAACAAGATGAACATATGCTACTTTCTACAAATGAGAGTAACACAAACAATTATTGCTTTTCTGTATACCTTAAAATTATTTCAAAAGGGTGTAAAATGTGCAAGAAAATTACCATCATCATCATTTTTAAATTTCTTGCAGACTCGCATGCACATGTGGTAAAATGCCTGGAAATACTCTGTTAATGTGTCATCATGTTTCTTCTCCAACCTAGCTAAAGTTCTGAATCTATCCCACTTATATCGTCCTGTAAACAAGTCAAATTCCACTCCAAATGTAGATATAATACGATAGAAATCAGACTCCTCTCTCCGCGTCCAGTGACTGCAAAAATGTAAACAGTAGTTTTCAATTTTTTACATGTTTTCTCTGTCTCTCTATTCATTTATTTATTTAATAATTATAACACACATCATAAAAAAGTATTACCAGATTTCAATAAGGCAATAGAAAAATAATACAATAGGTTTAACAATCTTGCATACATGCCTCACAGTTTAAACAAAAAATACACTTATTTCTTGTGTTAATGTCAATTATACTTGATGGTCCATGAATTCAGGTTTTAAATAGACAAAAGAGGGCCTGGGAAGCAACATTGATTATTCATTTTCCCAACAAGTTTCAGTTTCTACTAGTTCTCGAGGTATCAAAATCAAAGAAGGTAAACAATATTGAAATGATTTGTGTTTTAAAATTTTGGAGTTTGAGAATTTACATAACTGGTATTAGAAAAATTCTGTGCATGCAATATTTTACAAAAATTAAGTTATGGATACAAATGTTACCAGATCATTTCATGCAATTTATTTGCCCAAAATCAAAATAAGCTTTTATATATATACATACATCCATGCGTTTACAAAATAAACATAAAACAATGAAGAAAACAGCAAAATAAAATTTAATGTGTTCTATCAGAAAATGTGCAGAATCTGAACGCATAAAACCTAATGACCAGCACATCTGGTAAATATTAGGTTTTCAGTATTAGCATGGCAAATCATCATGAACACAAAATTTTTCAAATATTAAAAGTAATAAGTCAACATCTCATAGGCCAAAAAAACAGAATAATTAATTGCTTCTACTATTTTCAAGCGTATCCATTAGCCTACCTTCAAATTTTGAGATTCTGGTTTTTAAGTGAATTCAGAACAAGAATGCATGTGCTGTTGTGGTAAACATACACTCACTCGTAATTCAAAATATCGGAAACAAAATAATGATGTCCGACAGATCCGAAAATTGTAATATCTTTCAACTCATCAATAAAAAGCTGCTGACCAAATACGAAGTCATTCTGTTCGGTATTAACAGAGAAATGTGTGACAAATTTTTTTTAAGTTCATATAAAATATTGAAAAATTCAAAGTATTGGTAAACCGGAAGTAGATATGACAGATCTTAAAAGAAATTACAAGTTACAACTCATCACTGTCAAGTCCCTGACCAAATATGAAGTAGTTCTGTTCAGTAGTACACGAGAAAAGTGTGATGGAAATATTTGTTGGATGAACAAAGGAAAGACATGGTGACTGCAATATAACCCACACTCCTACAATGAGGATTATTTTCATTTCTTTTTTTAATTTATTCATCATTTCCAATCTGTTTCAATGTCATTTCATTTTATTCCACAAAACAACCAGTCAAAGGTTACATATAAAGGGTAATGGATAGATTATAAATGCCACATACTCTAAACTAAATGAAAATAAAACATTTTACACATGTAGATCATGCAATGTCAAATTTCCTACCTTTCCCAACATCCAAAAAAACTGTCAAAGATAAATATTTACTTGTCAGCATTTCATCTTTTTAAAATAAATGGGAAAATAACTGACAAATGTGTTGAAATAACTTCAGATAACAATCCTTTCAGAAACTTAACAGTGGATTCATAATTATTTGTTGCAAACTAATTTTTAATGATTTTCATAGGTAAAGTTGAACAATGAAATTCAAGAGTTTTTCAAAATACACAATCTCTTTTAGTCTTTTATGGAGAATTTTACAAAACCACAATATCATGTATCCAAGAAAATATAATTTTTCCTCAATTAACAAAAAATTTTCCCCACAGAAATAAATGAATCCACGACATTTAAGGCATCTGTACAATATTGAGATTTGTTTTTTTATCAAAAATATCTGGTAGATAAAATTAATTTATAAAAATTCAGATTCATATATTGACATTTGGCATAGTCAACTGACCCCTTTAAGAAAATATTGCCCTTGAAAGATGATTTTTGAATTACTTGCAGAAACTATTATCATATTAACCCAAAGCTGACCGAGAAAAGCTAAAGTTGAACCAATTTGTCTTAAAGATTTTGTACTTCATACCAATCCACAACATGGTAAAGACTCCTTAAGCACTTAATTCAATAAAATTACTTAGCTCAAAATAATATGTATTGAAGAAACAAACCTTTGTTGGTACTGAATTTTCTCTTCATCCTTGTATCTGCTTACTATGTCATATCTCTCTCTTCTTTCCATCCTCTGAGATAATAAAAACATGGTGTGATTTTCACAATAATTTTAAGTAGTTTTGTAATAAGTCACCCAATCATAAAGTATGCTGGCATAACATAACTGATGAATCAAATTTTATGACAGGAACATGTATGTCTTGTAGCAATAATTCAAATGAATGATTTGTAGTCTTCAATGTCCAGCTGAAAATATTTCATGCATATTCAGATCAAGAACAATGTAAGATATGAAAATGCATTAAATATTTGCAAATGGACATTGAACTACTAAACATTATTCATCAGATATATCTTACAAGTAATAGTCATCCTTCTGTAATTCTTAATATCGTTCTTCTTTCTTGAAAGTCAATGAGACCTCAGCAAGTCAAACATTAAAATGAAAAAAGAATTTATTCATTATTAGAAATTTTTCAACCAAATTAACATATACGAGAAAAGTCTGTTGGTCTTTAAATAATAAAATTATTGAAAGGTCCTTTCAAAACGTTAATATGCATCAGAAAATCTACAAATTTGTGAATTAAAAAGAAATTCAATGAATTAAAAAAAAAAACAAAAAAACTGAAGAATACAGAAACTACATATTAACTGTAAGCACATTTTTAAATTTACCTTTGCTCTCTGTGCATCCTTTAACATTTGTCGTTTATGACTACGCTGGAAGCTGGTGATAATTCTCCTGAGCCTTGTGTTTAGATCAGACATGGTAGGCCATGGTAACTTCTCCCCCTCATCATCTCCTCCTTCAGGTGTAATAGTAGTCTCCTTAGCCATGTTACTGTCCTGATTAGAGATCACTGAGGTACATGTGTCTTCATCCTCATCCTTCAATGTACTCATATTACCCTTAGTATCATCCATGTCGTCACTATAATACAATTATTATCTTCTATATACTGTGGGTTAATTATTAATGATGGGATACCAAATTTCATGGATTTGCGTGGGTATATGTGAACCACATTTTAAATAATTCAAAAAAGTATTATCTTTTATAGGTTTGTGTGCACTTTGACATAACCACATAAAATAATCATACAAAAACAAATGGGGAATGTGTCCATGGGACATAGGTAATGCCCCACTTGCATATTAAGTTATAAAGGGACATAACTCAAGAACAGTAAAAGTGATGCTACCCAAATTCGTACTTGATCAGAGTTTTGTGGTAATAAGCATTGTGTATAAGTTTCATGACATTTGGTTGAGGTAAACTAGTTAGAGAATTGAAACCAATTTCAAGACGTACGGATGGACATACATTTGTGTACAGACGGACAAGGGTAAAACTTAACGCCCACTCCGCTACGGCGGGCATAAAAAAAACACACTTTTCTTGAATTCACAAAAAATTGGTACCTACGATAATAAATGAATCCACAGTACTAGTAATGCTTTTTACACTGAACTGATACTGTGGCTGACATTGGTTTCCTGTGCAATTTCAATGGGTGGGTAATATGCTAAATCCATATCAGCCCTCTTCTGGTTCAGATAGTAAATTTGCAGGACTTGCTTTGTCTGGAATTAACCCTGCTGTTTATAAAACTGGATAACCACTGCATTGTTACTTTCTTAATATTTTTAAAATAATGTCAAATATTGCTAGAAATAATGTTTTTGTTGGACGTGGGAAAAGACCAGATATGGTTAAGAGAATCATTTGAACGTTAAACCTGGTCACTTTTTAATTTCCCTGCTGATGATGAGTTAAAATAAACCTATGATATATGTGAAATAATACTACTTGTACAAGTACATACTTTACTAATGTGAAACTATCCATTTCTCATCAACATTTCATTGACTGAAAATAAATTAACCTAGTCTGTTGGGAGTGTCCCCATCCAAATTAGTATCAACAATAGACATATGTCTATCCCTCTACCAAATTAGTATCAACAATAGACACATGTCTGTCCCCTACAAATGATAGCCCACTACTTACTCATCATCATCATTTTGTTCTGCAGCAAGGGCAGCCCCTGCTGGTGGTCCACAACGTGACAGGAAACACAACAAAGGATCATTCCTCATTCGGTTGTATTTCTCATAACCTGAAATTCAAAAGAATGATTATAAGTAATGTACACTGGCCTTTACTTCCATTTCATACATATTCAATTTACAATGTCATATGATTTTTATGTTCTGATATTTATTTTATAGTTTCAATTTGATTTTTTTTAAATTTGTTAAAATATCATATATAAAGAACTTTTACAGATAATATGTTAAATAAACTGTTGACACAGAGATATGTCTCGCCTATTTGTAATTTTGATAAATGCAAATGTTGAAATTAAAATAGCAATACTTTAACATGTAAGTTATGCAAATATTCAAAGTCAATGAATCATGACTGAAGGCACATGGCTAAACAATCTGCATGGAAATGAGATGTGTCAATGCTAATACAAATGCATACCAAATACCATTGACCTACCACTAGTAGTTCCCCATAAACTGACCTAATCACAAACTAATACATGTAAACTAAGCAAAGTTTCAAAGTCAACAGACCTTGACTGAAGGGGCGGGGCCAAATAATCTCCATGATAATGAGATGTGCCAATGCTAATACAACTGCATACCAAATATCATTGACCTACCAGTAGTGGTTCACCACAAACTAGACCTAATCACAAACTAATACTGTCGCCGGAAACAGCATACCTATGTCTCGCTTTTTGACTCCGTCTATGCCAAAAAACTGTTTTAGATTGCAGTTCACTGGACAGACTTTTCTGGTGAACAGCTTTCTACTTGAAGCAGGTTCTTCATTTATCATCTGGAAACCAAAAACTATTGAATTTATCCAACAATCCAGTACCATAACTTTGGAATGGTAAAAGTGAAAACGATGAAAATCCAACTTTCCCTTAAAATTTCAATTAATCTCAAAAAGCAGTTCTCTATTCATCATCTGCAAACCAAAAGTGGGACAGACAGACAAATGGACAGTCATAAGGATTCCTATATACTCCAATCTGTTGAGCAGAAAATATATATATATAAAATAACATACTGCTAAGCTGACAATAGAATTTTTTTTATAGATGTTATTAATATTCTTACCATGTTTAAATACACCAATCAACAAAGACCTGTCTGATAATTCATCCCACCATAAAGTTGGTGGATCACCTTCTACATTTGCTCTTGGTATTTCTATTTCACTGTAAAGACAAAACATACATAAATGACATTAGAAAATTTCAAAAACATCTGCCCAACAATAATGTCTGCTTTAATTATAGACTAAAGCTATTTGATACAAAAACAATTATAAATTTTGTAAAGAGTTGGCTTGAAACTAATATTTTTCAAAACCCAAGTCTTTTCGCTGAAACAGCCCTAATAGATACTTTACTAATAATTGACTGCAAAAATACAGTGCATGAACAAAGCTAACACATCCCCCTCCCATGCATGTTGTTTATTGCTGTGATATGGATATTCATTTAACATTTAAAGTGAAACATCAGACTAAATTGATCTTCATTAAATATTATCAGATCGGATTGGTGTTATGTTCATCATCTGTTTCACTCTCAAAACTTTTAAATTAAATGCAGCACAATAATCTGACAGTATTTAGTACTTTAAACTGTGGATTTATTTATTTTAGTGAATACCAATTTTCATAGATTGAGGAAAACTTGTATTTTGATGGATATTTGATTTCATGGATTTGCCATAAAAGCCTTTAGAAAATCAGCACTTTGTTGAACATTTAAAATCGTGGTTAACTTATATCCACAAAATCAACGAATAATAATGAATCCATAGTAAGTTATAAAATAAATACTCGACTGATTAAATTATTTCAAATAAATTGTTTACCTGACATCAAGTCCTTTATTAATTTTGTCTGCAGCATGACCAATGATTTCTTCTCGAAGGTAATACAGTAGTCTAACTCGCAGTAAAACCCTGTAAATAAAATATGTTACCATTAATATCCAAATATCAAGTAGGTTTATAGAAGTTTAAAACAGAAATGAACTGTATACAGCAGAAGTCTGGTCCTTCTTTAGCATACAATTAATACTAACAGGTCACATCTAAAAAAAAGTTTTTTCTTTTGTTCATCTTTAAATCTATAGTTTCTTGTGCATGAAAAAAATATACTACTCTGTTTTGTCAATTCAACTTTTTTCAAAAAGAAATCTACAATTTATAGAAAGTAGAACAGAATTTAGTTCAATATCAATGTGCTATATTGTCATAAGTATACATGTAAAATTTGTCACTTGCACTGACTTACTTGTTGGCATGGCGATGAAGATGTCTTTTGTAACCAGTGTCTTTCAGAACAGACTCAGGATCAATGTGATATTTAGCCATTTCTATTTCATGTTCTGACTCTTTCTCTTTTTTTGTTGGTTTATTTTTACCTTTTCTCCCTCTAGGAACTGGTGCAGATAAACCTTAAAAATAAGGTTGAAACAAATAACTACTTAAATTTATAATATTTTATTTCAAAGCATTTATTATATAAAAAGAAAAGAATGTGATTTGGAAAAGGTTTTCGATTCTTGATTCCAGAAGTTAAAAAAATAACCCATTTAATTCAATATCATCATGCAAATTTGTGGTGGAGGCTATCTTGTATTTTTTATTCACAGCACTGAAGCAGTTTTTTGGCTTATTCATTTTTTTACATGTCCCAAAAACAAATGGTTAAATAGTAATGTCACAAATCTGGTCTACCTCAGCAAGTAACTCAACTTATAAAACATTCTACTATATTAACTGACACATTAGAGAATACAAGTACCTGAATGATTTTTCAAGGAACCATCATTTGCAGGAGATATCAAATCCCATATAAATTCTTTTATCTTCTCATCTCCTTTGTAAACTTTCAATGAATACATAAGCTGAAAAAAATCTCACATTTTAATATTGCATTGTACATTATATACTATTACCTGATTCCAAATAATTATTGTTTAAATTAGTATCATTTATTAAGATACATATAGGCTATTTCTGCAGGTCATTTTTGTTTTTAAGAAGATAATATGTTACAACATGGTTTCCAAAACTGTCATATTTTCTGGACATACCTGTTTAATTCCATATTTTTCCTGATAGAAGATCATTGGACCTGACCTGCAGATTATTTCATATGAATACATTATACAGAAAATAAAATGCTTCGCTGGGCGCAGCTTGATACGACCGCAGAGGTCGAACCCTGAACAGTTGGGGCAAGTATGGACACAACATTCAAGCTTGATACAGCTCTGAATTTGGATTGTGATTAAATATTTGACACAGCATAGGTTTCTGACACAGAAAGAATGTGGTCTAAGAACTTCATTTTTTTTAATTTACCTATTATGGTCCAATGTCCAAAATCAAAATACATGGTTAGATTCAGCATATCAAAGAACCCCATATATTCAATTTTTGTTGAAATCAAACAAAGTTTAATTTTGGACCCCAAGTTGGACAAACTTGAAAACTGGTCCCATAATCAAAAATCTAAACACATGTTTAGATTCAGCATATCAAAGTACCCCAAGAATTCAATTTTTGTTAAAATCAAACTAAGTTTAATTTTGGACCCTTTGGACCTTAATGTAGACCAATTTAAAAAACGGGACCCAAAATTAAAAATCTAAAAACACGGTTACATTTGGCATATCAAAGAACCCCAATAATTCAATTTTTGATGAAATCAAACAAAGTTTAATTTTGGACCATTTTGACCACAATATGAACCAATTTGATAGCGGGCCTACAAAATAAAAAATCTAAATAAATGGTAAGATTCAGCATATCAAAGAACCCCATATTTTCAATTTTTGTTGAAATCAAATAAAGTTTAATTTTGGACCCCAATTTGGACCAACTTGAAAACTGGGCCAAAAATCTAAAATCTAAATACATGTTTAGAGTCAGCATATCAAAGAACCCCATATATTCAATTTTTGTTGAAATCAAACAAAGTTTAATTTTGAACCCTAACTTGGACCAACTTGAAAACTGGTCCCATAATCAAAAATCTAAACACATGTTTAGATTCAGCATATCAAAGAACCCCAAAAATTCAATTTTTGTTAAAATCAAACTAAGTTTAATTTTGGACCCTTTGGACCTTAATGTAGACCAATTTAAAAAACGGGACCCAAAATTAAAAATCTAAATACACGGTTAGATTTGGCATATCAAAGAACCCCAATAATTCAATTTTTGATGAAATCAAACATAGTTTAATTTTGGACCCTTTTGACCTCAATATGAACCAATTTGATAGCGGGTCCACAAATAAAAAATCTAAATACATGGTTAGATTCAGCATATCAAAGAACCCCAAGAATTCAATTTTTGATGAAATCAAACAAAGTTTAATTTTGGACCCTTTGGACCTTAATGTAGACCAATTTAAAAAACGGGACCCAAAATTAAAAATCTAAAAACACGGTTACATTTGGCATATCAAAGAACCCCAATAATTCAATTTTTGATGAAATCAAACAAAGTTTAATTTTGGACCCTTTTGACCACAATATGAACCAATTTGATAGCGGGCCTACAAAATAAAAAATCTAAATAAATGGTAAGATTCAGCATATCAAAGAACCCCATATATTCAATTTTTGTTGAAATCAAACAAAGTTTAATTTTGGACCCCAATTTGGACCAACTTGAAAACTGGGCCAAAAATCTAAAATCTAAATACATGTTTAGAGTCAGCATATCAAAGAACCCCATATATTCAATTTTTGTTGAAATCAAACAAAGTTTAATTTTGGACCCCAACTTGGACCAACTTGAAAACTGGTCCCATAATCAAAAATCTAAACACATGTTTAGATTCAGCATATCAAAGAACCCCAAAAATTCAATTTTTGTTAAAATCAAACTAAGTTTAATTTTGGACCCTTTGGACCTTAATGTAGACCAATTTAAAAAACGGGACCCAAAATTAAAAATCTAAATACACGGTTAGATTTGGCATATCAAAGAACCCCAATAATTAAATTTTTGATGAAATCAAACAAAGTTTAATTTTGGACCCTTTTAACCTCAATATGAACCAATTTGATAGCGGGCCCACAAATAAAAAATCTAAATACATGGTAAGATTCAGCATATCAAAGAACCCCATATATTCAATTTTTGTTGAAATCAAACAAAGTTTAATTTTGGACCCCAATTTGGACCAACTTGAAAACTGGGCCAAAAATCTAAAATCTAAATACATGTTTAGATTCAGCATATCAATGAACCCCATATATTCAATTTTTGTTGAAATCAAACAAAGTTTAATTTTGGACCCCAACTTGGACCAACTTGAAAACTGGGCCCATAATCAAAATTCTAAACACATGTTTAGATTCAGCATATCAAAGAACCCCAAGAATTCAATTTTTGTTAAAATCAAACTAAGTTTAATTTTGGACCCTTTGGACCTTAATGTAGACCAATTTAAAAACGGGACCCAAAATTAAAAATCTAAATACACGGTTAGATTTGGCATATCAAAGAACCCCAATAATTCAATTTTTGATGAAATCAAACAAAGTTTAATTTTGGACCCTTTTGACCTCAATATGAACCAATTTGATAGCGGGTCCACAAATAAAAAATCTAAATACATGGTTAGATTCAGCATATCAAAGAACCCCAAGAATTCAATTTTTGATGAAATCAAACAAAGTTTAATTTTGGACCCTTTTGACCTCAATGTGGACAAAGTTGATAACGGGGCCCAAAAATCAAAAATCTAAATACATGGTTAGATTCAGCATATCAAAGAACCCCATATATTCAATTTTTGTTGAAATCAAACAAAGTTTAATTTTGGACCCTGATTTGGACCAACTTGAAAACTGGGCCCATAATCAAAAATCTAAATACATGTTTAGATTCAGCATATCAAAGAACCCTAAAAATTCAATTTTTGTTAAAATCAAACTAAGTTTAATTTCGGACCCTTTTGACCTTAATGTAGACCAATTTGAAAACGGAACCAAAAATTAAGAATCTAAATACACGGTTAGATTCGGCATATCAAAGAACCCCAATAATTCAATTTTTGATGAAATCAAACAAAGTTAAATTTTGGACCCTTTGGACCTCAATGTGGACCAATTTAAAAACGGGGCCCAAAATCCAAAAACTTAATACACGGTTAGATTCAGCATATTAAAGAACCCCAAGAATTCAAGAATAAAACCCCATTGAAATTGATCAAGAAATAAGCAATTTATATGAAGTATCTTCTTTTGCACAATACTGTGCAATTGAATATTTCTTGCTATTGTGCAATACTGTACAATTGACAATTTCTTGCTATTGCGCAATATTGTGCTATTGGATATTTCTTGCTATTGCGCAATACTGTGCAATTGAAGATTTCTTGCTATTGCGCAATACTGTGCAATTGAAGATTTCTTGCAATTGTGCAATACTGTGCAATTGAAAATTTCTTGCTATTGCACAATACTTATTATATAATAATTTACACATCCTGTTTGGTGTGTATCTCCTACCATATCATTATTATTTGCTTTTAAATATTAATCAGAAATAACCAACTTAAAATGGAAAATTTTAAAAGAAAAAAAAAAGGAAAAAAAGAAAAAAAAAAGAAACCCCCACACCCCCCCAAATTTTTTGAACCCCCTTATGATTCATCACCCCCAAACTCAATCCCAGCCTTCCCTTTGTGGTATGGTACCTTGCAGTACAATTTCAGAGAGATCCATACACTTGAACACAAGTTATTGTCTGGAAACTAGAAAAATGCTTATTTTTGGCCCCTTTTTGGCCCCCAATTCCTAAACGTTTCAGGCAATTACCCCCAAACTCAATTCCAGCTTTCCCTTTGTGATATGGAACCTTGTAGTACAATTTCAGAAATATCCAAACACTTACACACAAGTTATTGTCATGAAACTAGAAAAATGCTTGTTTTTTGCCCCTTTTTTGGCCCCTAATTCCTAAAATTTTGAGGCAATTACCCCCAAAATCAATTACAGCCTTCCCTTTGTGATATGGAACCTTGTGGTACAATGTCAGAGAGATCCATACACTTACACACAAGTTATTGTCTGGAAGTTACAAAAATGCTTATTTTTGGCCCCTTATTCCTTAACTGTTGGTACCATAACCCCCAAAATCAATCCCAACCTTCCTTTCGTGGTATTGAACCTTATGGTAAAATTTCATGGAGATCCATTCACTTAAACTAAAGTTAGAGTGCGAAAACCAATGTGTCTTCGGACGACGCCGGACGACGCCAGACGACGACGACGACGCCAACGTCATACCAATATACGACCAAAAAATTTTCAATTTTTGCGGTCGTATAAAAATAAATGGGGAATGTGTCCATGGGACACAGATGAGATGATGCCCCCGCTTGCATATAATGTTATAAAGGGACATAACTCAAGAACTGTAAAAGTAACAATACCCAAACTTGTACTTGATCTGAGTTTTGTGGTAATAAGCATTGTTTATAAGTTTCATAACATTTAGTTGAGGCAAACTAAAATAAGAACGGAAACGAAAAATTCAGCAATTTTTCCATTTGTAAAGGGGCATAACTCTAGAACAGTTTAAGTGATGCTACCAAAATTCAAACTTGATCTGTGTTTTGTGGTAGTAAGCTTTTGTACAAGTTTGATAACATTTGGTTGAGGCAAACTAAAATAAGAACGGAAACGAAAAATTCAGGAATTATTCCATTTGTATAGGGGCATAACTCTAGAACGGTAAAAGTGACACCACCAAACTGTGTTTTGTAGTAATAAGCATTGTATATAAGTTTCATAACATTTGATTGAGGCAAACCTAAGTTAGAGAACGGAAAACAATTTTGGTACATACGTGCAGACGGACAAGGGTAAAACTTAATGCCCCCTCCGCTACGGCGGGGCATATAAATCAGGTTTATATCTTTGGGCTGGACAATTTTCCCTAAAAGTCACATGAAAAGTAATCACTGTAAAACTAGATCTAATAAACATCAGTCACTAGTAAATGCTTTTTTCATAGCAGACAGCTGCGATTTACCTGTTCACATGACAGTACAAGTTATTATTCCTATCCTTTGAACAAAAAGTCTGCAGAGCCAAGTGTTTACATAGTTACAAAGGTGTGAAACATACAAAGGCTTTCAAAATAAATAGATCAGTTCTATTCTCTAGGGTTATTTTCATAAAATGTTTTCTTTTGTGCATCTTAGTTTAATTCTTACCAAAGCTCTTGCAATTGTTTCAACATCCTTAGCTGCTAGTGTTCTCTTGAATCTGCCATGACTAACAATATCTGTCCATCTTCCCCAACTGCAAAATAAAACTCAATGAAACTATATAGACTAATCAGGCATTTGCTGTTATATATTAAAATCCATACATCCATCTTATGTAAAATGTTGCGCTGACAAGAGCTTATCTTTCTCTTAAGAGTATTTAAAAGGCTCTTTACCTCATCTCAGAAAAGTACTATAGTTATTTTGAACAATAGGTGCACCATAAATACAATGGTACATTCAAAGCAAAATTACATTGTCTCCTTTAATCAATTAAAAATAAATTGCAGTATCCTTTAATAACAGATTTCTTTACAATTAAATACTAATATGCAACACAATTGTTCAAGCTTAGAAATAAGTTTATACATACCCATAAACTAAGAGATTCTTCTCCACTTTGAAACAATCTGATCTTGAATACATCTCTCCTACAGCACCACGAGCATCAAAATCATCATCAGAATCTCTGCCCCTACCCCTTCTACCTTTCTTGCCCTTCTTTCCTCTGCCACGCCCTCTTCCTTCACCGTCTTCATCATCTCCTCCCTCTTCCTCATCTGAAGAGGATTCTAATTCAGACATTTCCATGGCTGCCTCATCATTTCCATAACGCGCCGTTTGCTTCCTCATTCTAGGCACCTCAACTATCAGCTCATTCTGAAGTAAAAAGTATCTTATAGAAAATGCAAGATTTTTTTTTAATAATATATCTATGTATTGTAATTAAAAAGTATAGCATTGAACTGATAGTTGTTATAGATAGAATGTCTGAAACTAATATTTACAAGTTTAAAAAAAAAAATGCAAGCTCATGTCGTTTTTGTAAATTCTCAAAAGTCTGGCATATCAATTTTTTAAATTTCACAAACACAGGAATTCCTTACTGTATAATAGTTAATACAATACCTTGTCCTCATCTGCATTCACATCTGCCTTCTTTGCCCATTTCTGCCAGAAGTTTGGATCGTTAATGTCAATGTCATCCCTGTTCTCACTCATGGTAAAACTTGCCTATTGAAACACATATAGTAGTTTATTTTTAAATGTAAAAACCCACAATTCAACTCTCTTCAATAATATGAGATAAGTTTGCACATAAATAATTATCTGAGGGCTATTCCAGAACTAACTGTATGGGGGTTGGAAGACACGAAATATTAATATAAAATAAAGTAATGTGGTTCAAAACATTTTTCCACATAATAATCAATTAAAATTCTTCATAAAACTGCCATCCAACCACCTAATACATTTAGTTTTGGAATACCCTTAATAGCAAAATCCTATCACATGGTATACATATTAATTGCGGGTATTTCTACAATAGCATGTTTATCAAAAGGATGGATAATATGCTTGCTATGTGTGTCAGGAAGTTTGTTCTGACACACATCGAAATAAAATTGACACATCTGTATTATCTAACCAATTAAACTTCAATATTTATCACAACCAGACTGAAAATCTGCCTATCTCATTGGTTGCAAGTGTCAATTTTAAATTTCAGTATTTTCTAAAACCAGATTGAAACTCATAGAATGCATGATTCCATTTTAAGGACAATGCTGAGCAAATGTTATAACAAACATGGCAAGTGCATGCAACAAAATAGTTTTTAACATAACTTTGCAGAACAGCCTTAAGATATTACAAACCTCAGACCATTTGTAATATTTAAAATCTTATCTATTCTAATGATGATATCCTTGGAAACTATACTACAATCGCCACTGTGTAAGCACATCATGTTCTTACCTTGGAAAACGTGGACCCTTTGCCTTCGGATTCTATCTGTATAACCTGTGTTCTCCTTTGTAGAATCTGGTCAATATCTTCCTCACAGAAATCATCTCCAGCTTTGTCGTCATCCATTAATGCACCATAGGCTCCCTTTCTCAATAGTTCCTCTATTTCTTTTTTTGTTAACTGTTCCCTCTAAAAACAAAAGAAAGGATCAGTATGAAAATAATTTTAATTTTCTGTCATCTAGCATATCAAAAATCCTCAGACCTGATAGCAATTATTCCTTTCAAGACGAACTATTTACAGGTGAAATTTTGTGCAGTTAGAATACCAGAAGTTATCAACACTATGGCTGATAAAATAATTTACTACCTATGATTTTTTTTTATATTTACAATGTCATAAGAGGCAGAAGTTGAATGGTCTTTAGCAAACATATTTTTCCATTTGAAAATTTGACAGTACAAACTTACGGGATTGGCAGCCTTATCTCCTCCCATAGATTGCAATACAGCCTTGTCTAAACCCAACTTCAGGGAAGCTCTGTCAAACATTTCTCTCTCATAGGAATTTCTGGTGATTAATCTGTACACCTTCACTGCTTTGCTCTGCCCTATTCTGTGACATCTAGCTTGGGCCTATAACAACAGGATCAATAATACAATAAGAACTATAACAGACCTAACTTTAAAACAATGACTTGAACCTCCCTGTCTCTTTACCTGGGCAATTACTGTATAAAATAATTAACTTAGTATGTCATATTATTCTTACTTGAAATTTATTCTAAATTATTCTACATCCAATCATTCCTAACAACCTCATACAGTCATTTCAAGAACAGTTCCACTTTTGGTTAAAATAAAAACCAGATATAGAAGTTTGGTTCCCTGTTCAATAATATACCTGCAAGTCATTCTGTGGGTTCCAGTCAGAGTCATAGATAATAACAGTATCAGCTGCAGTCAGATTAATACCTAAACCACCAGCTCTTGTACACAGTAAGAATACAAATCTATCTGAATCAGGCTTAGAGAATCTGTCAATGGCTTCTTGTCTCATAATTCCTGTTATTCTACCATCTAATCTTTCATATAAATACCTAAACAAAGAATACGATCATTATTGTCAGCAAATATTTTCTATTTCATTTCATTTTCTGACTTCAACTGATTTTTTTATTCCCTATTCCATTATTAGTCTACAATTTATTGAAAACTAACACAAACAGCTTGTGAGCAATGAAGGGTAAAGATTGCTTTTATTTAGCAATGACACACATTAATTTTAGCAACCTATATATTTAAAATTTGAGTTATCTTCCTTTGTACATAATTGTACAATTGTAGTTGAACCTATTTTATAACATATATATTCATATGCCATGCACAACTTATGTAAACCAAATCAAATATATTTTTACAAGTATGGTTATTCAAATACACATTATCTTTTGAGCATAACATATTATTAACAGGCATTCTGAGGGTATTGCATGGCAATACATAGTCCAATACCGGGTAAAAATTCATTTTTACTGGAACAAAATGCTAACTTGTTCTATAACTTGTCATGGTGTAAACAAAAAGTAAATATCATGTCAATATCTTCAAGCATGACTAAAAACAGTGTGGAAAACTGATTATATGAGTGAAAAAAACATTAGATATGTTTAATAGTTCTCTAAAATTAGATATGATGTAATATAGTGTATATCTATTTTCAAATTATAATCAAATATAATTAATAGTTCCAAATATTTTTTCTTTCATTTGTCACAAACTAATATAGATTTGTAACTTATCTATAAAATGTCAACAACATTTATCTACACAATATCATGAATATAATGTATTGAAATATATACATTAATAAAAATAGATTATTATCTAATTAAAGGATTTCTCTTCATAATTTCTTTATATATATATAGCATTCAGAAAATTAGTTTATACTAAATAACAAACAAACCTGCTAAAAAATTCTTCAAATAATTTAACAATGAATGTCTTCTAAAAAATGAGTTATCCCCCTTTGTACAGAAATATGGTTTATCATAGTACCCTAACATTAGATATGGTCCCGAGTTATGATCCATAACTCGGGACTAAATCATCAGACCGGAACAAAATTTGAACTTGATCTATAACTTGTCATGATAAAACTATATACCAAATATCAAATCAATATCTTCAAGAACGAAGAAAAAAAGTGTGGAAAGCTGATTTGCTGGACTGACGGATGGACAGACGGACAGAGTGCAAACCTAAAGTCCCCTTCAACTTCGTCGGTTGGGGACTAATAAGATGCATGACATTGGCTAGATCGGATCTAAAGAATGTTCACCTCACAGCATTATGTTGTTTTAACATAGGTGTCAAGTCAGTAGTATTAGGGTTTTGATTGCATGAAACCTTGAATTAAAAATCAACAATCAAGGAAGATGTAAACATTGTAAGATGTCCAATCCCATAACACAATTTTTTTTTCTTCATTTTTTTATTGCTAGCATTCCTCTGCAAACTTCTAATCCTACCATCATTTTTAATTAGAATTGGGGCACATATTTACCTTCTTTGAATCAAATAGTCCTCTAAAATATCTAGCACTTTTATCATTTGAGAGAATATCAGCACTTTATGTCCACCTTGTTTAAGCTTTGGTAAAAGTTTGTCCATTAGTACAAGTTTTCCAGAAGATTGCACCATTAATCTATGTATATCAAACATATCCAATTCTGGTTTCTTTTCCTTTTCCTTAGTTTCCCTTATGATCATGTCTTCAGCACCTGTAATAAACAAAATTTAATTATTAACAACCGCTAAAATTTTGACCCAAGAAATCATAAGTTTCTTTCAAGATATTCACAAGTCCAGTGTATAGAGCATATTAAAGTAATATTTTGAAATTTCTATAATATTTGTGGACTAAAACATGATGGCTAGCTGAAAACTTCTGAACTCCTCTCTGAACAATAATGTTACTGAGCTGCCTTCCAAACTTTCAACATGTTTAGTATAAGTATACATCTATTACAAAATAAATGGAGAATGTGTCAATGCGATTAAGATGATACCCCTGTTTGCATATATATAAAGGGGCATAACTTGAGAACGGTAAAAGTGATGACATCCAAATTCAAAATAGATCTGTGTTTTGTGGTATTAAGCATGGTGTATAAGTTTCATAACATTTGGTTGAGGCAAACTTAAGAGAATGGACACAAAAAATTCAGCAATTTCTCCATTACTAAAGGGGCATAACTCATGAACGGTAAAAGTGACTCCAAAAAAATTCGAACTTGATCTATGTTGTCATAACTTTTATTTGAGGCAAACTAAAGTTAGAGAACATAAACTAATTTTGGGACGTATGTATGGACGGACATACAAGGGCAACACTTAATGCTCCCTCTGCCATGGTCGTATACGTTATAAACAAGCATCTTGGAATCAACATTTTCTCATATTTCAATCTTGGAATACTGTAAAATAACCACTCCTGCGGATTATACACAATTTACAATTTCCTATGGTTCCCCAAAATCATTTTTGTTTTGTCTAGAGATTTGTAATTGCAATTCAGTGAAACCTGTCTAAACCTTACCTCTTTATCACTTAAGATTTTGTTCATATAAGGTTTTTCAATTTATACAGGTTAAATAACTGAAAATATTCACTGAAAGTCCTGACACAACAGTTCAGTTTACACAGAATTCTTTTTGGCTAATGCAGGGTTTGGTTTGAACTGGTTTTGGATGCAATATACAAAATACTGTTGCTTTTTTTATTTTCAAATTTGCATCTTAAGCTTTGAGTACATATAGACAATATTCATTTCGTCTGTTTGGATTTTCAAACATGATGCAGCTATTGTAATATTTTATGTGGTTTGTTTGCTAGATCTAGCATGAAATTATACAAACCTTTGACTAGATAGGGATGATTACAACACTTTCTCAACTCCATCATTGTGTTTAGAAGATTTGGTACATTAGCAGAGGTAGTCGAACCTTTAGACAAGAATGTAAAATTCCTTTCAAGAATAGCACGATAATATTTCTTTTGTATGTTAGTCAATTCCACTTCAATGATTGTTTCTTCCTTTGCTGCTAGAGAGGTTTCTACATCTTCTTTTAATCGCCTAAGCATCATAGGTTTCAGAAGTGCTTTTAACTTGTCGACCTGATCATCAGTTCTTAAATTGCCAAACTCTGCTAAGAAAGTTTGTGAAGAATTAAACTGTTCAGGTTCTAAGAAGTTGAGTAAACTGAATAATTCCTCAACATTGTTTTGTAGGGGAGTTCCTGTAAGTAACACACGATGTTCCTGTAAAATAAAAAAGAATACATTATTCATCACCTTGTAAATATTAATTGAAAAAATAAAGTTTGATTGATTTTCTCCATTTCTAGATCCTGATCATCATTTGTACATTCTGAATTTCTAGATCCTGATCATCATTTGTACATTCTGAATGAAATATAGATTCTGTGTTTACATTTAGCTTACAAGGATCTGATAACACAATATTCAAAAAATATCTTACGCCATAAATTACAGAAAAGAAGGAAAATGTAGATCAAAAACTGAATTCATAATAAAATCTGTTCTATTTAAGTGTTCCTGTGATGGAGAAAGCAAACTCTTTATTATTATGAGAGGGCTTCTGTCTTCTTAATTATATATCATATATAAAAAGAATGTTTTCAACAAAGAATATTTACTGGTTAATACTTACACAATCCACATATCTTAATCCTTCCATTAATTTACATTTTTTATTTTTCAGCCTGTGTGCTTCGTCAATAATTAAACATCTCCAGTCTATAGAACTTAATAATTCACAGTCAGATATTATAATCTCAAATGTTGTCACTAACACAGTGAATTTACACAGATCTGGTATCCTTTGTCTTTCTTCATCTTTGTAAAACATTTCATATTCTTGTAACATGAACTTACTGGTATTACTAAAAATGGAATTATAATGTTAATTAAATCTATCTCACACATTTCAACTATTTCAATGTTTTACCAGGAATATTTGAATAATGAAGACCAAAAGATAAACCTGATTTAGGATTAGTTGATGTTTGCAAATATAATTTCATAAATGGGATAAAGTAAAACAAAAATATTCTCTATATGACACAATTAGTAATAGAAATTTTCAGTGTCTTCAGGAATGTTCTAGAAGTACTTTTTCTTGGTTTACAATTACTGTCCTCCTCATTATGCTGACCTTTTCATTTTTTGTAATGTCATTTACATATTATCCTCATATTCATGCATATGTCCAATGACGAGCCTTTTGGCAAACTTGTACATGATGTTTGCATGTATTAGGACATTCAGCACTTTCTCCATGTCTACTTCTCAGAACAAGATATTAACATAAGGGTCACAAAATAATCACATTTAAAATCTAATCCATCTAACTCTAGTGGTTTTCTTTGTCACATATTTGCAATGTTAATTTTTGTCAAGTACAGTGTTTGCAATGATGTTAAAATTATCTCTTCTAAATAATATATTGAAATAATGCTGTCACTATTTTCCTGAGATAATCTCTATAAACAGCCATTTTTGCTGCAAAATTTTCTGTTTTAACAACTTGCCTTCCATGATATACAATAGCATTCATATCAGTCCAGGTCTCAAATTCTCTTTGCCAGTTACCCAATGTTGACAGTGGTACAACCACTAGAAATGGTCCCTTAATTCCATATTCTACAATCTCATGCAGGAATGTTATACTCTGGATGGTCTTACCCAGACCCATCTCGTCAGCTAATATACAATTTTGACTGAAAAACACATTTATAAACAATTTTTTATGCATTTCTTTAAAGGGTTGTTTCAATAATATATATATACACAGTACCAAAGAAAGGCACTTTAAAATAGGGGTAGCCAAACATTCACTGCATCCACTTTGAAAAAAGGGAAAATAATAACATTCACATTAATCAATTGGATCTGTTTTTATTTATTATTTATTTATCTTTTATAATATCCATCACCAAACTTTCATTCATTTGAGTTTTAAACTTCCGAAATTATAAATTATTAATTTCTTTTCTATATAATGACACCTGTTATACGCTATATTTTCATAAAGGTTACAAGAATTTTTACCCTTTAAGAAATGCTAAAATATTTGTCGGTTAACTTACTGTTTATACCAGTTGAATGTCAACCAATTTACACCTTCCAATTGATATTCCCTCAAAGTGTTGCCTCCTTTATAGGTTTTTGTTTCAGGAATTTGTGTCCATTCATCTCTGCTAGGTCTTGCAGGAACCTAAATACCAAAATATATACTTACTTCAGTGATTTTGCTAGCGTTTGTCACTTTCGTAATTTACGAAACTGTTTTCAAAATGACGAAAGTATTTCAAATCAATTTCGTCACTTAAATTTGGAAAGTGTAAAAATATTTTCGCATGAAAATACTATAATTCTACCTGTCTACCCGTTTCTGACAAGTTTATGACCCTCAGCTAATTAACATTTACAACAGGTGTTAAAAAGTTGTGATTACAGCTAATCCGCTTTCGCCATCGGATGACCCACGGGTCACTAATCCGTTTAATTATTTTCCCCAGTAAAATTAGTCAGTCTGCATTTTAATTTCAATATTTCTCAAGGCTAACGACCACAACTTGCAGTTCGCTTGTTGTAGTTTCATCATTTGAACAAAATTGTTTTCCCCTGGACAGTTCGCATTTTAATTTCAATATTTCTAAAACAATCATAATTTGCAGTTCGTTTGTCGTAGTTTCGTCAAATGATCGTATTTTCGTCATCTTTGATATAAAACGTTCAATTTCTATTAAAAAGATAGAACTTTATTCAAAACATTCAGAAATGTTTTCAGGTTAAAAACTTCCATCATCATCAACGAGTCAAACAGGTGCTTGCTTTACGATATACTGCGCATGCGTGAAAGTATTCCTATGAATTTATAGACATTAAAACGTAAAATACGTTTTCGAAAAAATTTTAGTGCCAAAATAAATGAGAGAGACAAATATAGTTCTTACTAAGCAAATTGAAATAAGAAAATGATAATTTCCTGCCTTTTTTAAACACGAACCAATCCGTAGATGAATCCGAATTCATTCTGAATTTATTATCTAATTGTCACTTCCCGTTTACATTTCATTTGAAAATCCAAAGTAAACGTGATCAATTCTTGATTAATTTACAATTTACAGTTATTGGAATCGTTCCATGTGAATTTGTACAAATCCTTGGTTCCAACTTTATAGAAATTAATTCAAAATATCGATTTTAATGTCTTATAAGGATAATGATTATGCAGTGTAATAGTCTTACAAAGTTCAACAAGTTCATTTATACTGTGATTCCTCGTTTTAAACTTTTGTTGATCAGGAATGTCCCCTGAAACTAATTGAAGTAAATTTTTGAACTAGATTTTCAGATCTTATATCCTAATCTTCAAATTTAAGTGACAAATCAGTCAAGTCATGCAATTACTGCCTAGTAAATTTATGCCTTAGTCCTTCAAAGTCTGACAAAGATGTATAGCTAGTAATATACATACATCCTTGGTCCCTTGCTGTTACCCAAAATAATGTTGATTTTCATCGCGCGCAAAAGATACTAAAGCCCTAAAAATCCTAGCTTAAACCCTGCTTACTTATCATAAATCAAAGGAAAAAATGGGATAACTTTGATGAAGCAACATCAATTATCAGGTTTTGTTCTATTTACATTTTTGCCTCGGTTGCAATTTCATTCTCACATAAAATGATATAAGATTTCTATATTTTTGGTGAAAAAATAAGCAAATTGCCACAAAAGTTATTCAACCTAAAGATTGTAACTTTATCCCCCAAAAGCTTAAAAAAAGACTAGAGAACACAGGATTAATTTCTCCAATCCACAATTTTCCATGTCCATTTTTTTACTTTCATACAGGTACCAAACATCAACAATAAGTATTTCCAACCATGTTTTTGGGATGAGAAACATATATACATGTACCTTTCAAGGCAATCCTGATAAGCTCATTAAGAAGTACATTCAATCTTGATAGACCAGAAATCATCAGTGAAGAGGTTAACTAACTTCCAAACCTACTAAGCTGGGTTTATACATTATGCATCAGACCAGTTTTTTAAGTGCAAGTTCTCACTATTTATAATTGATCCTTAGGCCTATCATGTCCAGATTATACAAGAGTTAAAAAAATATATATTCACCTGTCTGTCTTCCTCTGGAGGAGGGTCTCTGAATTTATAAAACAATTTAACTTTTTCTGGATCTACATCTTGCTGTAGTTCCCAAGTACTGTCCTCATATGGCAGACCTCGCCATTTTACAAGGAAGTGAGTCACCTCTTCCTCCGTTATTGGATCAGACGTTACAGAAACTTCCATTACACGGTCAACCTCTACATAATCTGGATTGAATAATTCATCCTCATCCACCTGAAATATACATTCATACATATATTTTTACTTAGCAAACTACTGAGGGTCTTTTCATAGTCAAAAACATCCTGCATATTTAAAGTACATAATTTCTGCATGCACACAAAAACAAACTAGAACGGTCCGCTGCTACAATTTTTTGTTAGCCCCAAGGGGAAAGGGGGGATAATATGTGTTGCTCATTTATACACTATAAAGGAAACAACGATTTGCAGCAGATTTTATATTTTCAACCTCTATTTACAAAACAGGTAAAACAGTTTTATAATAGATTGATGAATGTTTAATGCCTAGAGTGTAATCTGTAAACAGTATACAGAATTTCATGTAAATAAGCATGTCTCTACTAGTCAAACATACAAAGCTGACTTTTTAAGGTTAGCTCAAAAGGTAACAGTCTAAAGGAAGATAAGTCATCATACCTGGACAAACTGTTCTAAATACAAGCTCGGTAGTCCTTTGATTTCCTCCTAAATGCATCTAAGTCAGTTAAAAAGTTCAAACTATCAATTCTAAAGTCTTTTGTTTAGTCTTGTCTTGATCTAACCTTTGACCTCAAGGCTCAAGCAAATAAGTATAACAAGGTTCAGTGAAAGAAGTGAAGCAGTTAAAACTTTTAATAAAATTTACCGTTTCAAAAAGATCCAAATGCTCCCTTTTAGACCTGAATCTTTTAAGTTTCATGTGAATTCTTTTGTCTCTTTCTAGTTCTGTTATTGTTTTCCATTCACAATGCAAGTATGAGCTGAAATTATACAAATTTTCAAAACTTAAATTTGCAAACAATTACATGAATTTTGAGTATCATATTAATCAGAAACAAAATTCCTCATAGATAAATTTTTGAGATAACAACTTGGCTAGAGTAGCAGGGTTGTCAGTTTTAAATTTTTTACTGATTCATTGTTTATGTCTTTTACTTGCATACATATGTTAAAATTAAAGTAGTGTACTGTGGACTCATAAATTTTTTCATGGATTGAGTAAAAAAGGTATTTTCTAGAACATTAGATTTCATGGTTTTGTCAAATTCTGCAAACAATCCTATACAAAATTCACACTTCATTGAACTATTAAAATCGTGATTCACCTACACCCTTGAAAATTGATATCCCATGAATTAATGAATCCACAATTGGGCCTTATCATTTGACATGCAAATCTTTACAGAAGCAGTAATGTATATCTGGTAAGAGACTTATTCCATAAAAATCTAACTTGTTCCTATTTCATCAGTTTACAAGCAAGAACTATATAAAAATGTAAAGTTGACATACAAGTTTTTGTATTTGACAAAGTACTCTTCCACCTCTTCCTCTGGTTGAGCTTCCTCTTCATCATTGACAACATCAATCTAAAAGAAAATTTGAATTTACAATTTACAATTATAAGTATCATAATTTGGTGTTTTTGTTTACAAAAAGCAACTGGATATCTTCAGGAATATAAATTTCCTTAGTGGTGTAAATTCGATATTCCATTCAATAAAATTACAAAGTTTGTTTCTACGGTTTAGTCAGATGATCGCCAAGTTACTGTTTTACTGACTGTAAACAAACTAATTTAACTTGAGTAGAAAATAACACTACTATAAATCGTTGTGTTTACGTAAAACATTGATGTTCCTTTATATAAATACATCAAGAAAATCAGAAAATCGCCAAAATTGTAATTGCAAAGTTGGCTTGAAATTGTGAAACCTGGAATAAAGTATCCGCTAAATTACGTTGGTCTACAGTATCTGTTAAGTTTAATGGGAGCTACACTTGATGAAATCAACATGAATAGAAATGTAGCTAGCTAATAACACAATAGTCTTTCAAAACAAAATAGTAATTACATCTTTATCAAGCTTTCTCATCCTCACGCCTAGAATTTTCTCAACAACCAAAGATTCTTCTTCTGGAGGTAGAACAACAGTTGTTTCCTGGAAAAAAATAAGATATAAGCCATGTTTTTTTTTTTTTTTATTTTATTCCATTCTAATCAAATGTACATGTATACCTGAAACTTTTACAATTCTTAAACAGACAAACTTATTTTTTAATTCTTTAAACCATCAAAATCATTATTTATCACATTTGAAATTCTTCCAGTATTAAAAATAGCAATTTAAAACTATTTAATTTAAGAACTATTTGCTGTTCCTTTGTTTTGTGTGTGTTTTTTGCTGTGCATGTAATGATTTTGTGCCATGGATGGATACCTCATATCCTTTGTTTTTTAATTATTCTTATGATTTTTTTTTAGAACTTAAGAATTATGGCAAATTTCTTAAGTATTTGTTCTGCTATCAAAAAAAGGGGGAAATCAGGAAATTGATGAAACCTAGTGGAATTCGAATATCACATATATCTATAAATAATATGTTACATATACATTAATGTTAGACAATTTTGATACATGTTATTGCAAATTTCACAAGTTTCTGTAAAATTTTCTATCTAACGACACCTTAATCTTAAATGAACTAGAAAGACAATGCTCTAAACATGATAACCAGACGTTAAAACAATTGCAAAGACCATGATTTGCTATGGGAAACAAATCTAAGTCAAATTGACCAAACCGCTTTAAAAATAATCTGAAGAAAATGTAGCAGTCGTATTAAACACTTCTTTCATCTAGTATCAGCAAAAAAACTTAGTCTTTCAATTTTAACTCTATAGTTTCACAGCAACCGGCCATTGCAATTTGATAATATGACTAACTAAATTATTTGGATGCAAATTATTACAACATCTAAACAACATCAAATAGTTAATACTTGTGACTTGGTGCAGAACTAAACACATATGTGCAAGTGTGTCATAAAGTAATTTGACTACTGACTTTATGTAGAGATAACGACCATCTTCAAAACAAGCTGTCAAATTCTTACCATTATCAACTATACTGTCAAACTTGTTTTTAATGCTGAAGTTTTACTATTTAAATCTAAACAGAATTTTAGGTTTATCTAAAATTTAGGGTAAATATTGAAAATTTCAATTCACATGTATGTATACCATTATACCATACTAAATATATGCTAAGTAGGCAAAAAATTTAAATGAAAATTTCTTTGATTTTAATTTAAAAGACAAGATTTATCATATGCTGCACAAAGTCAATAAAAATACTGATTCTAAACTTAGTACAACTTACTTTTCCTCAGCCTACGAATAACTTTAGAGACGACAGTTCATAATGCATTTACTTTTACTACATTTTGACAAACAAAAAAGTCACTTTTAGCAATCAAAACCTATTTTATACTCATTCCATTCACTTTATTCCCAGCAATGTCATTTTGGACAAAATCTAGTATTGTTAATCCAAGGACTGGCTGCTATCAAGGTAATCTCAAAGATTTCTCAAAATTAGAATTCCATTATCAAATTTCTGCTCTTTATATTAACAATTATCTGCATGGTAACAGTGAATAATAGCACTTATTCTTTAACACAAACAGAATTAAAATTTTGTACTAGTATAATTAATTAATCTTGTAAGTCTAATGGCACTTTGTTTTCATTAGTTTCTTGCATACTTTCTAAATGAATTCCAAAGTAGTGCCAAAACTACCTCTCAATTATGTCACTTAAACCATCTCCTTAATGGGAATAAATACAAATAAATCTAGAATTTTTCAACCTAGTGTTTAAAGTTCAGTCGCTTGATTAGACAACAAACATGCAGCATGCACCTACCACAGACAGAAACGGTACCGGTTTTGTTACAGCTCCTCCTGTGGCATTAACAGTGGCACCAACAACAGCCTCAGCCTCTACGTCCAAAGTATCATCATCAGAAAGGTTCAGGTCAACTTCATCATGATATTTCTTTCTCTTGGTATTTCTAGCTGATCTTCTTTTCTGAAAATGGATACAGCAATTGATCTTAAAAATGATCAAAACATGCTTTAAAATCTTACAAATCTTTAGTCTTTTAACATTCATATGCTCATGTCTCAATTTTCATTTTGTAAAAAATTTATAAATCAAAATTATCAAGAAATTAAATATATTTATCTAACACTGTTTCTCTTATTGTGTCGACATGTAAGCTTAAAACAGCAATAAACAGTTACCATAAATCACACAAAATGCCAAAACAATGACTTTTAATCATGTTAATTATCTAAAAACAAGAATATGTGTCCATAGGACATCATGCCCAGCTTGCACTTTCACATTTCTTTTTTAAGTGAATCATGAAATTAAGGTCAAAACTGTAATTTAGCATCTGATCTAAAATGTTCACATAATAATGTCCATCAGTAATAATTTTTCAAGATGATGTGATCATAACTTCATGACTACCTTAACCAAAAACTTCAATTTGATATGGGATGGATAAACAGATGAACGGCCCAAATATCAGAAAACAAAATTCCCCTTCTACACTAGGCATGGCATAATGTTTGTACCTGTATACCACTATCTTCATCATTTTCTGGTGATGGTGGTGGTGTAATTTTAATTTCAACATCTGATCCATCTGAAGATCCATTTCGTCTCCTTTTCTTGCTTTTCAAGAATGTTGCTGGTGGTCTGAAAAATACAAATCAAAATATTGTCTTTCAGCTATACATTTAAGTTTTCATAGTTCTTACATAAGGATTTAGAACAAATAAATTAGCAGAAATAGTAACTGTCTTAGAAAAGGGTATACTAGTAAACCGTCCAAGCTCTAGTAATATTCTCTTCTTATTGGGATTACAGTCAAGACACTTAGTTCAGGAAAGGAATATGTGCAAAAAGAACATTTCACCGAGATAAATGATATACAATGGAATCATTACCCAGACGTTCTAGAAAGCTAGATTTAATTGAGACAATACCACTTACTGCACGTTTTACTAAGTGGTGCTGCTTTACATTAATAAGTAAAGACTATAATTGAAAGTGAACATTTCTAAAAATTTGTAAACAATTCAGATGTTGAAAATATCATGAAATCAAACATCTTATAATTAAGATCATGGTTACCCTTCAACCACACTGCCAAATAAAGACCTTACAACACCTTCTTTAGCATCATATTATGATGACAGTGTGCACGTGTTATGAATATTCATTATGAAATTTTAATTTAATCAGGAAAAAGGTTTGTAAAAGTATTCTAGTGTCCTTTCAGATTTTTCTGTTCAATTTTTTCACCCGTAAATAAAGAAAAAGAAAAATATATCATGTTGTTCCCCCATTCAAATCTGCCTTCCATAAACTAAACTAAATATGGAAGATTGATTGACAAAGGTTATGGCACAGGGTCCCTAAACACTGTGCTTTAAAAGGTCTTTTGAGTACCTAAGTAAAGCACCGTACTTTAAAAGGTCTTTTGAGTACCTAAGTGGACAAGTGAAGAAGATCTTATTTCAATAAGAACAAAAATAACAGGACTTAGGGACAATTTAAAAAAAATTATTTTGGCCTTATTCAAAATAGACAGGAACAAATCAAATTATCTAATATATTTGAATTCATAAAAAACAATACTATCCTAGTCCTTATCAATTAAATTATTAGTTCCTTTCCAACAGATTGTCAACATGTTACTGTAATCAATAGGTTTTAGTGTCATAACTGGTACATGTATCTCTAAGTCAATGCCAGTCCTTAAAGAGTGTGAACTGAACTCAGTTGTTAAATTATTTAAAAAACAAATATGTTTTATGTGATAATCACATGCATCAAGATTCAGATACTTCTCCATTTGCACTCATTTAGGATAGCAACTCGTATATTAAAAAAAAAAGATGTAGTGAAATTGGAAATGAGTTATTTGCCAACCAAAGATTTTGATTTTGATTTTTGGTGTTTTAACGCCACTTTTAAGCACCGCTTTTGGGCTATTTCATGGCGGCCAGTTTTTATTGGTGGAGGAAGCCGGAGTGCCCGGAGAAAACCACCGACCTTCGATAGGAAAACTGACAATCCTAGTCAATTAAGATATGAGTCGAGTGCACCCGCACGAGCGGGATTCGAACTCACAACCTCAGTGTTGACTGGCTAGTGATTACAGTAGTAACTACTTAGACCACTCGGCCACCGAGGTCCCCCAACCAAAGATCATTCCCGAAACAACTGTTAACATCTAAATGTCATCTTATGGCCTATAACAATGAGCAAGAACCATTACTGCCTGGAAAGCTCTTCAACAATGAGCATGACCTAATTTTGTATGGCAAGCTCTCCAACAATGAGCTTTGATCAAAACCAAATATAGTATAGACTGCTCTAAATGTCCCCAGTCCCATTTACTTATCCTTAATATATATGACCTTGAACATGAACACATTTATACGCAATAACCTTAAGTCTGAAAATGAGAAGACACATGACAATAGTTTTAAGCAGGTGTAAAAAAACCTGTCAATAAAGGTATGATACATATATGACCTATATACTTATATAAAACGATTCATGTTTTTTTTTTCATTAAGTCAGGTGTGACAAGATGTTTTATTATATACATGCTGAATACATGTATCATAAATTATCTAACATTTTATCAATACACTTTCATTTATATGTTAGAATTGAAAAGAGAATGTCGATGTAAAAAATAATAGTTGGATTTAATTAGGACTATTGAATACTTGAGATATGCTGATCTTTTTCTATGCATGCAAAGGACTATAATGCAGCTCTAGTCAATTGTCAAAGACAAGAAATCTCCTAACTTAAATATAAATATTGTTAACATTTTCCTCTTGACAATTTTGTTTAGCAAAAATATATGATAAAAGATATCATGCAGAAGTTAATTTTTAATTTATAATTGGAAATATGACAAATAATCTGCAGACCAATCAACCTCTTTCACAACGTTTTCTCAACAACATGCATGATAAATGGATGATCACTTTGTTTATTAATTTATTACATCTGGATAGAAAAGCGAATGCACTACATCATTCTTGTATAAACATACAGAGAAATATTTATTCTTCACATTATAAGTCTTAATAACTTGTCAGTCAGATTTATAATTAGTAAGATAGTATTTATATTGCATATTAAACACTGCCATGACTGCTTACTAAGCAACAAAATTTAAGAGAAAACCAGACTATTGTTACAAAATTAAAATGTAAATGTTTTTGACATTTTTATTAAAATGAAATCAATAATTGGAAACAGACACCTGACAGGAACACTTGTAAAATGACTTTTGTAAATTTATCCTATTCATGCACATTTTCATTTACCTGTTCCAAAAATAAAGTCTTCTAAGAATCTTATTTTATTATTAAGTAATATCAAATTTTATTCACTAATGTATAATTATGGGTTTGACACCAAAAATACCTATTTACAGCTAGTATTTATAGATTATCGTTGATCATCTCAAAGAGATTGATTTTCTCGCTTGAGCCAGTACAAAATGAAAGTAAGAAAAGCAATCGAGTTGAGATGACCAATGATAATTTGTTTATCGCTATTTTACCTATGACGACATTGTCAATTTCATTAGCAACGCCACATGCCCCCTTAGTTTCTAGCGATAATTTTTCATATCACTCGACTCCGCTGAGAAAGGAAATTATCAGTCAGCAAGATCAAATGGAAATCTCGTAAAATTGCGATAATGGGACTTATATTACTTTCATATTTAATGTGAGACACAAGCAAAACTTTCACACAAAAGTGCACACGCAGAAATTTCTCGCCTGATTTGGTTATCATTAAATTTATGTTGAAAGTCTGTAATATGAAGATTTTACTACAAGTGTCACATAAACTTAACATTATTATATATTGTTCTATGAAAATGAAGTAACCAACAGATGAACCATGCCAGACAGACATGTACACCTTACAATCATTCCATACACCAAATATAGCGGTCCTATCACTCATAGTACATGAAAAACAGATCAAACCACAAAATCTTTACATTGACCAACGATCCACAAAAATGAGGTCAAGGTCATGTGAACCCTGCAAGACAGACATGTACACTTTACAATCATTATTTATTCCATTCACCAAACATAAAATTGAGAATGGAAATGGGGAATGTGTCAAAGAGACAACAACCCGACCATAGAGCAGACAACAGCCGAAGGCCACCAATGGGTCTTCAATGCAGCGAGAAACTCCCGCACCCGGAGGCGTCCTTCAGCTGGCCCCTAAACAAATATGTATACTAGTTCAGTGATGATGGACGTCATACTAAACTCCAAATTATACACAGGAACTAAAATTAAAAATTTGTAAGGGTTCCACGGAACCCAGTGTCTCGCCTACTTTTTCCGTTACTCGCAGGCTCAACAAAAATGAGGAAGTAAATCAATAAAAATATTCCTCTTGATACTATCTTTTGATTGAAAGAAACTTCTGTCCAAGTTTGGTAAAAATCCAGGATTAATTTATGAATCTAATAAATGTTTAAAAACTTTAACTGCAGACTGAATGTAATGTTAACTGGAAGAAAACAAAACTTCCTTCTGATACTAGCATTTGATCATAAACAAGCTTCTGTCCAAGTTTGGTACAAATCCAAAATAGTATAAGAAAGTTATTAAAATTTTTAAAAACTTTAACCACAGAGTGAATGTGTTGTTTCCTGGCAGAAAATCTAAGTCCATTTAAAAGTAAAATAAGGAAAAAATGGATTTATTTTTTTACAAAATTTACTTCTAGATACTAGCTTATGATCATAAACAAGCTTCTGTCCAAGTTTGGTACAAACCCAGGATAGTTTAAGAAAGTTATTAAAATTTTAAAAACTTTAACCACAGAGTGAATGTAATATTTCCTGGCAGAAAAACTAAGTCCATTTATAAGTAAAATACGGAAAAAATGGAATTTTTTTTTTACAAAATTTGCTTCTGGATACTATCTTATGATCATAAACAAGCTTCTCTCCAAGTTTGGTAGAAATCCAGGATAGTTTAAGAAAGTTATTAAAATTTCAAAAAACTTTAACCACAGAGTGAATATTTGTGGACGCCGCCGACAGAATGTAGGATCGCTATGTCCCGCTTTTTCGACTAAAGTCAAAGGCTCGACAAAAATGATACAAGACTAACAAAGGCCAGAGGCTCCTGACTTGGGACAGGCGCAAAAATGCGGAGGGGTTAAACAGTTGATTTTATTGCTAATAGTATATGACAAACTAACAAAAACTTATCATTGACCAATGAACCATGAAATGAGGTGAAGGTCATATGAACCCTGCCAGACATACATGTACACCTTACAATCGTTCCATACACAAAATTTATTGATTTACTGCTTAAAATATCTGAGAAATAGACCAGACCACAAAAACTAAACATTGTCCAATGAACCATGAAAATGAGGTCAAGGTCAGATGAAGCATGCCAGATGATACACCTTACAATTATTCCAAAAACCAAATATAGTGGCCCTATTGCTTATTTTATCTATTAAATAGACCAAAACACAAATGATCAATGAACATTGAAATTGAGGTCAAGGTCAGGTGATACCTGCCAGTCAGACATGTACACCTTACAATCATTCCATACACCAAATATTGTTGACTTAGTGCTTATTGTTTATGAGATAAGGACTTGTTGTCTCATTGGCACTCATACCACATCTTCTTATATCTATTGACCGTGCATCACATCCACAAACTCTACCTTACAGACATGTAGACATTGCAAGGAACCCTTATACCAAAAATTTAAATTGCTGGGAGATTATTTGCCCATAATCAAAAATATTGAGATTTATTAGGTCCAGTAAGTTTACTTGATCTGATAATTACTAATCTTTTTTCTTTACTAGACTGAATGTCCAGTGAAACTTAAGACTTTAATATGTTGAAAAATAATGTTTTTTGACAGTTGTTAAGCAGCTTCCAATCAGTCAGTCAACAATTTGATGACCCAGACAACAAACTAACTTAGTTGTAGTTATATGTACATGTACTTTAAGTGAACAATGTAGAGTTAAAATCAGTGCTAAATTGTAATTTTTTAGTAACCAATTACAAGTGATGGTTTCAGTATTGGTTAAGTGACTTGATTTTTCCATGAAATAGGAGGATCAGCTGGGTAAGCAGGAATACATTTCATTTATGGAAATGAAACACTTTCAAAAACATGGATGGCAAACGTTACAAACAGCAGGACATTCCTTTAAAGCCTGGCACCTCTATTCTATTTAACATTAATAAATCATGCTGTGTGCTCTTCTTCTTAGCATTTAATGAAATGATCAGTATACAGCAATATTATATTAAAACTTGTTTTTACATCATTTCGACTTATTCTAAAGCTATTTTGTCTAAATTGCTGGTTATAGGCTATAGGTTTTTGGGTAAATTGGCTAAGCTAGATATGACGAAATCCTTGGGGAAAATTGGCTAAGCTAGATATGACGAAATCCTTGGTTAAATTGGCTAAGCTAGATATGACGAAATCCTTGGGGAAAATTGGCTAAGCTAATTATGACGAAACCCTTGGTTAAATTGGCTAAGCTAGATATGACGAAATCCTTGGGGAAAATTGGCTAAGCTAGATATGACGAAATCCTTTGGGTAAATTGGCTAAGCTAGATATGACGAAATCCTTTGGGTAAATTGGCTAAGCTAGATATGATGAATCCTTGGGGAAAATTGGCTAAGCTAGATATGACGAAATCCTTGGGGAAAATTGGCTAAGCTAGATATGACGAAATCCTTGGGGAAAATTGGCTAAGCTAGATATGACGAAATCCTTGGTTAAATTGGCTAAGCTAGATATGACGAAATCCTTGGGGAAAATTGGCTAAGCTAATTATGACGAAACCCTTGGTTAAATTGGCTAAGCTAGATATGACGAAATCCTTGGGGAAAATTGGCTAAGCTAGATATGACGAAATCCTTTGGGTAAATTGGCTAAGCTAGATATGACGAAATCCTTTGGGTAAATTGGCTAAGCTAGATATGATGAATCCTTGGGGAAAATTGGCTAAGCTAGATATGACGAAATCCTTGGGGAAAATTGGCTAAGCTAGATATGACGAAATCCTTGGGGAAAATTGGCTAAGCTAGATATGACGAAATCCTTATAACTATTAATATTGTTACTCACTTTTTCTTTTTCTTAACAGACTTTGGCCTTTCTACTTTAGATTTCTTTTCCTTTGATTCGCCATCTTCATCCAATTCTTTCTTATCCTTTGGTGTTTTGCCTTTCTTTTTTGGTCTTTTCTTTGCTGATTTTTTCTTACTATCATCGTCACTAATGGGTGCTTCAGCATCACCAACAGTTGAAGGAATAGGTGGTGGAGTCATTACCTTTGGAATTTGTGTATTTCCAGCAGCCTGAGCTTTAGCAACAGCTTCTGCCACAATTTGATTGGCTTTCTCTTGTGCTTTCACTTTCTGTACTGATTTGTCTTCTTCTTCATCTTCTAGTTTAGGTAGAATATCTGTTTTCTGTGGTAACTGGATCTGCACAACAGACATTGGAACATTACCACTACCTATGGCCATAGATGATGGTGGCATCTGATTCTGTGGTTGTCCTTGGGCAATCAATCTGATCTGCTGTCCTGGCTGCGCTTGTTGCTGCTAAAAAAATATATCAAAAATGATAAGCACTTGGTTAAACTTTTCTTGATTCAAATTCATTCAACTGTAGATTACGGGTTTCAGCATTAATTTTTTGAACCATGTGGTTTCTTCCAGGGTTTTTTTATTACAATTAAACCCAATAGGGCTTTTCCATTAAAATGGTTGTGAGAGGATAGGATGGTTTGGGTTATTTTGAATACCCCTGGTACATCAAATAGACATATATTGTACATGTTCCACCAAAATAAACATGACCCTGTCCAAAACCAAAACTTCCCTTCATACCCTCCCAAATTTATTCAAATGGAATAGCATTCCTAGCTCATAAGTTTGTCAATCACAGTTAATGGCAATACTAGCGAGTGATTTGATCCCTAAACCATTCATGAAATGCAATGTACAACAAATACAATGCTAATATATGCATACGGTTAAGCAAACAATTCTTCTTGTTAATAATGAAAATTAGGGCAAGAACATTGTGTGCATAAGGGGTTAGAAAATGTGCAAGTCTAACAATCTATTTCATCAGAATATAATTTTGGACACTGCATGCACACAGGTGAAAGTTATTTTTACCTGAATCAATACAACCTTTTGTTGTGGCTGTTGAACAAACTGTTGACCAGGAGCCTGTGACATGGTTTGCAGAAATCTTGTAGGCTGACCTGCCATGTTATTGGATACAAGCAGAATTCTCTGTCCTTGAGGCTGCATTTGTTGTTGTTGAATGGGTTGCTGCTGGTTTGGAAATGGTTGCTGAATCTGAACAATCTGTTGTCTTGGTTGCAACTGTGGCTGTTGAACTTGAATTATAGCTGGTCTCTGAGGACTTTGTTGCATTTGTTGATTTTGAATCTGATACGCTGGAAATGATTGTGCAGCCTGTTGTTTTTGGCTTTGACTATTGAGTTCTTGTTGTGCTCGTAATGTCCGAACACGTTCTTGCAAGTCCAACATTTGTTGCTGAGTTTGTTGTGTCTGAGGCTGATTATGCAGCTGTTGAATTTGTTGCTGAAGCTGATAGATTTCCACGTTTACATTTTTTACTTGTCCTACATTTGGACTCATCTGTCCCATGCTATTTAAATTAGTTTGACTTACACTCACAGACATCAGCTGATTTGGTATTGTATTGCTCTGACTATTTACAGATACAGTATTAGTATTGCTTATATTTCCAAACGAGTTTGTAAGAATCTGTGCCTGACTTACTGAAATATTAGCATCAGACCGGTTAGGTAGATGGAACGGACTAGACGCAGGTGTTGTGTTCGGTCTAGAGACCATTGTAGGTGAGACAAGTTGATTTACATTTCCCTGAGAATTTGGAGAAGTGTGAGCATTCTGATCAGGCGTGCAAGCTGGAGAAGGGATTGGTCTAGGAGAAGCTGATGGTGTAATTGTCCTTTGAGGTGTACCAACTGTGTAAGCTGGTCTGAACTGTACATTCTGGTTGGGACTAGTATTTTGGAATGGAATCATATTAGAAGATTTATCGTTCAAATTTTGAGACATTTGTATTTCACTTGCCATTGTATTTTGATTTGGCATTTGCTGCTGTGGCTGTTGATATGTAAACTGCTGGAAAGACGAACTTGGAACATTGACACTACCAGGATTTAACTGTCCTACATTCTGAATATTTGGTAGATTGAAACTGTTTTGGAACGGCTGTTGAACTTGTTGTTGACTAGAGCTGAAGTTTGGTATATTTACAGAGTTAATATTTTGTTGGGTCTGGAATGTCGAAGTCCTATTAATCATCATTTGCCCCTGAGGAGGCCTAGGACTCTGACTTATATTGCTTACATTTTTTACCAAATTATTGTTTGGACTGGACATTGGCACATTTGGTCTCATGTTACCTGTAGGGGACTTCATTCCTTGCATAAACACATTTGCATTAGGTGTTGAGGGCATACCGTCTTGGTATCGATTCTGTGGGATATTATTATCTTTAGATAAGGCATAGTCGTGATGAGTGAGGTAGGTTGTCTGTAAGCCATTCCCTGGTATTTGTTGTATGTTTTGCAATCGGGGCTGTTGATTTGGCAGTTGTTGTACATATGCTGGCTGACTAGGTCCATTCTGGTTAGGGTTCCACATTCTTGGCATGTTCTGTTGTATTCCAATTTGTTGCTGGTGTGGGTTTGGCAACCGTGGACCGTTTGCCGTAGTCATGCTTCCGTAATTTTGAAATCCAGGTGATGGTTGCATGTTAGCGCGAACAACCTGCATCGGTGATCGTTGTGCCATAGGTTGGTTGTTCTGTTGAAGAACCATGATATGAGCTGCAGTTCCCGGCTGCTGTTGTTGACTACCAAAATGATGCAGTTTGGTGGTATTAAATTGATTCTGTTGTTGACCAAAAGTATTTGTCATGAACTGATTTTGCTGAGCAATATTTGGAGGCTGCATCTGCATGTTGTTGAATTGGTTTGTTGGCATGCCACCCATTTGCTGATTAAACATTTGAGTCTGCTGTGGCTGAGTATTCATAACTGGGTTCATTTGGCCCAAAATTCCACCTGCATCCAACAATGATCCAGTCCCAGCCAAACCATTATCTGAGGCCAAATCTTCAAGAAAGCCTCCATCAGTATCAAATAAACTAAGCATTCCATTATCTGACATTGTAGCTATCCACTTTCAGCCAGTCTGGCTGGTTTCAGCTGTGAATGAAGCTGTTGTTATTCTATCTACACGTTATCCATCTTCTGTAGCCTTGAATATACTGGTGCAGTTGTTCTTCTCAACAGCACCTGAAAAATGTCAAATGCCAATCATGATACATATCAAAGTAACCATTAAAACTGTATGCTTTTAAATTCAAAATGGCAAACCAAAAAAATCCATTTTCAACTGATTTTTATAGTGTGTTCTTATGTTGTGCTGTAACACCACTGTCCCAGGTAAGGGGGATGGTTGAGCGCTAACAGACATGTTTAACCCCACCAAATTCTCTAAGTGTCTGTAGTTCAGTGGTTGTTGTTGGTTCATGTCTGTCATATTTGTTTTTTGTAAATAGGTTTGTTGTAAATTAGGCCGTTAGTTTTCTCAATTGAATTTTTCATGTCAGGCCTTTTATAGCTGACTAAACAGTATGCATTTTTCTTATTGTTGAAGGTTGACAGTTGCCTATATTTCCTTTCATCCACTTCATTTGATCTTGGATTCAGTAGCTAAAATACTTGGAAATTGTGACATTTTGGATGAACCATCAGGCAAAACAAATTTAAGAAAGGTGGAGGGGACACATGTTCATGTATTGCACGATACTCTCAAAAAGTCAGTAGTATCTAACAGATTCTTAAATGGTACAATGCTGATTCTATTCTGGCAAACTGGTCATTGTATAACAAATTGACCATCAGACAGATTTTCATAACTCTAAATTCAAATTACCGGTCCTGTTAACTCAGAAATTAATGCTTGCATTTATCATTGTGAATCCTTGACCTCTTGCAAAAATGTCAAATCTATGTGAATGCAAAATTTTATACAGGAAGATCACTACTGGAAGTTTATATTAGTGCAAACCTGATACTGTCGATTTTTTTGCATTTATAAAAACATGACAATAATTTCTGAATTTAAAGTACTAGTTCTTAATTTCTATCATAGTCATTTTTGATTGGAAAATAAAATTGATAAATTGTTCCCTTGGCCATGGTTGAAACTTTTGAAAAGTAACTGAAGCTACTCTATAGGGACCACCAAAATTTTATCAGATTCGTCATTATAACATTTATTCTCAGGTCAGATTGTCCGAATGGTTAATACTGACAAAAAGGGTTGTTGTTGTTGTAACAATGTTAGGTAGTTAATCAGATCATAAGGCACTGGATTCAAGTTTTAACTGATATATAAATTTGTCGCTAAAACCATTTATTTAAAACCAGTTAAAGGAATTTCCATGGATTAAGGTGGTGTGTCATATTTGATTGCCAAGGATGCAAGGCCAATAAAATGATAGACATGATAACTGAAAATCTTTTTTTATATTTTCCATTAAGAATTTAAATTTAAAGATTTCTAAAAGGATGCTTACACACTAATTTCAAAAATGTAAGACAATTTTTTGTGGGACCAGCAGCATCGGCATGGTCTGACAATCAAATTTGAAATCAGCAAACTTTGTTAGGCCAGGGTTTTAATTTATTGGTTTACAGATTTTTAAAGATGTTGGGCAAAATGTTGGGTCGGTTGGTCGAAAATGAAAAAAAATTATTAAATTTTACAAGACATAAATAGGTATAGAATTACTGTGTACTTCAGTCATATCACAATATTTTTCCAATCCCTTTTTTTCATCATTCCTTAAATTTTAGTGCCAGACATATTTTTAAGCTGTTTTAAACATACAATGCATTTCTGTTTATGATTAAATATGATGCAATAATACACATTTTGAGATAAATGCTAGTAAACAGATAGGTTCAATTACATTTCAGGGATAATGAATTTGGTAGAACATGGTAGGCGGGTATAGAAAAGAAATGAATTTAATTTTTTTTTCACTTTTTTCTGAAATTCAGAAAAGTAATGGTTGGCGGATCCGTAAACCAACAAATTAAAAAAACCATATGCCTTTTTGACGATATCAAAAATTTTCCCTTAACATCTGATCAAGTGGTATATTATTACATAATTAATGATAACCTCACATTTTTTTCTCTCTCTTTTCTCTATCTTTTTTTACAAATGCCGATTTAAATTTGTATCTGGAAATATTGTTCAGGTAAGCATACATTTTCTTACAATAGACAAATTTTGAGTTCCTTTTTATGAACGCCATGAATTTGTTACGCCAAATGTTTGTTGGTGTGAATGGCTTTATTGAATGATCAACTTTTACTGCTTTATGTTATAACATACACTATACAAGTAGCCTGATCATCTATTTTAATTTTATTTCAGTCAAGGTAATGGGATAAACAGTTTTATATGTCCATAATATGGATTGAATTTGCTTGGTTTTTCTTTAATATACAACTTTTATCTGTCAGAAGTAAGCTACATGTAGCTTTCATATAATTTGGATCAGGACTTAAAATGTCATAAATGAGGAATCCGGGTTCGTTCGCCTTGGGTCCGTTCGCCCTAATTCCTGTTCGCACTAAGTCCGTTCGCCCTGATTTCTATTAAAGTTTGTTGAAAATTCCCCCGAAATATTTGGTTAGATCATACATTTTCGTACCTCATATGAATTCGTACTATGCATGCTTTTTCAATGGAAATTGTGACGTCACAATGCATTCTTAATAGCACGATAACCCATGAGATGAGGATTTATGTTGTATTGATGCTACCAGATAATGATTTTTCTTTTGATTTGCATTGAATATTCTTGCATCATGTTGAATGTGGACAGTATTTTGAAGAAGTGTTCAGGAACTGGAGACCAAAAAGTTATCTGTATGAATTTATCTTTTTTTTGAAACCTTGTAACAATTTCAAAACAATCCAAACAGGTATAACAAGATCCAACTCACTCAACACCTTGAGAGCAAAGAAGCCAATTAAGCGGCGAAAACAATTTCTCTTTAATGTCTTACAATTCATACATCATTGTTTTAACTCATTCCAAGCTGACTTGTTTATTTAAAAAAAACAATTTCATTATTAATCCACCAAAATAATAACTACAACAATCAGTGAGACCAAAGACATCGTAATCATATCTAATCAGCATTCTAAATTACAAAACTTTGAATTTTCGGAATACTAAGGCTTTTCCACCTCAGAAATATATTACCTTAGCTGTATTTGGCAAAACTTTAAGAAATGTTGGGTCCTCAATGCTCTTCAACTTCATACTTTATTTGGCCTTATAAACTTTTTTGATTCGAGCGTCACTGATGAGTCTTTTGAAGACGAAATGTGTGTCTGGCGTACAAAGTTTCAATCTTGGATCTATGATGAGTTTAAATACAATCAACAGTCATTAAAAGTAATTCTGAATAAAAACAAATGTAACAATGAAGCCAATTTGGAGTTTAGTATGACGTCCATTATCACTGAACTAGTATACATATTTGTTTAGGGGCCAGCTGAAGGACGCCTCTGGGTGCGGGAGTCTCTCGCTGCATTGAAGACCCATTGGTGGCCTTCAGCTGTTGACTGCTATATGGTCGGGATGTTGTCTCTTTGACACATTCCCCATTTCCATTCTCAATTTTATAATTACTAGCCTGATTAATGCTTCAAAACAAAAACCTTTTTTTTTTATTTTCAATGTTTATTCATGAATTTGGAGATATATTTTTTAATATTAATCATTTAAATATCTGAATAAGATTACAAAACTTTAAATTAAACCACTAATATTATTTTTTTTATAAAAATTAGGGCGAACGGACCCAGGGCGAACATGTAATTAGGGCGAACGGACCCGATACCATAAATGAGAGAATACTCAAATTTTGTGTACTCAACATGCAAAAATAGTACAATTAGAGGTTTACGGGAGGTAACTCTTGATACCTTTTTCATATGCAAAGAGTGTTTCATAGAAAAAATTATGGAAATGCACGAAAAGAGAAAAAACACAAAAAAAACAAACTATTAACCAGCTAGTGCTGATAAAGCATGACAATCCTGAATTTGCCCATCAGCTGTTTACAAATAAATTCTAAAATATAGTTATTTCCTCTTTGCTGCCAGGCGATAAATGTACAGACTATATCACATACATGCAAGCATTGTGACATCTGAAATGTACGGGAAATTGCACAAATGAGGTGAAAGTTGTCTCTTTTTTCTTTCTTGAATGGAGGTCAATATTTTGTCTATTTTAACAAAATTGAGCTGGTAAAATATATTATTACATATTAAGTGTATGGATTCCATTTTTTCCGTCATGTTATATTTGTATCATTATGAAAATATCATTCAAATTCAGCTTTCAGTTTTACTTTCTATTATGGTAAACCCCATTCTGACCCCCTAACATCATCACAAATGAAACTGAATTAAATTATTACTTAACTTTCCAATAAAAAGTTACAAACCATGTATGTATAAACTTTATTGTGTTCAGATATAACAACATTCTAAAATATCTTTTTTTAAGATAACCTCTGTCGAGGAAAACGTCCTTTTGTTGTCCATTAGCTGGGCCCACCAACGGGAAAATCCAAGTTTTCTGTTCTCAAACACGTGCAAGGAAGCAAAATGAAAACAAACCAAGAAAACTCTCTGAAATCACCATTAAAGTGTTAACAACCACCTCATAATCGAATGTTACACAATGCATCACATAACTAAGTGACACAAAGAAAAGTTGTCTTTGAACGCCATTTCTATTTGTAGTTTTTAAGAAATTATTGAACAGAAGCCAACTGAATGGGACCCTTCCCGGGGGTGTTAGAAAAAATCGATGACAAAAATGTTCTTAAACATAAAGATAGAAGACCAATTGACAAAATTAACATAAAATTGTTGCCTTACCTGTCATATAATGTCAAAATATCAAATTTATATACAAGTTAATTTTGTTGATTTAGACCGCTTATAACCTCAACATCATGCAGTCGTGTGAAAGCATTCTAATTTTGAATCGAACGTTTTGATTGGATATCAAATAAACCATATCAAATCATTTTTTACAAATTACATGAACATTTTAATTTATATACACTATTATATATTGTTTTTATTGCCAAGAATTGAAGTTTTCATTAATTGCAACTAACAAATTTATTTTTCTTCATCTGGTAAAATGAAACAATGACATTCATCAAATATTGCCTTTGATGTTATTATCCAATCAGAATGCCTGTTTGAAGAACGCGTTGACCAGGTGCTTTATAACAATAGCCAATCACAATAGGTAATTTTTCATCAAATGCCCGGATGATGTTACGAAATTAGTGAATTTATTTTCAATAATTATTTTTAATTGATTTGTATCAATTGATTCAACGATCTTTGGTGGTCTAAAAAAAATACACAACTTCATGTAATTAAGGATTACAAAGTTTGATTAAAAATCGAAACTACATATTTTGTTAATTCTAGCTGGGACTTTTATAATAGTCCCAGATTCTATAAAGCACATTTTATGACTCATAAGTTACTATACAAATCCTTGCTCATATATAAATTGTGTATTTAAATAAAAAAATAATAAAAAATCTGTTGTTTCTTTTAAATTTAGCCGGTATGGTCAAGTTCGAATGTCCTAAGCATATCAATAACCGTGTTTTATAGTTACAGTCTGTCACGTTAGACTTTGTGCTTTTCAAGTTATAAACACACATATAGCTGCGTAGTTTGAAAATTTTAATATGATATATTAAAACAGCAATTACAATGAATGCATTTTATAATAGGACTTCTATTTAAGTTAATTTATGCTGATGGTGGGTTGCTGTCTAATTTGTGGTTATCCGATTTTACCATTCAACAACATGATTAACTATAACTATATATTATACGTCCATTGCTTTTAATAATTTTATGTAGAATTTAAAACACATATAATGAACCAAGACGGCTTCTCGAGATCTTTGAATCCGTGCATCAACTATTTATGATCTGCTTACCCTTCCGGAGCACCTGAGACCACCCCGGTTTTAAGTAGGGTTGGTGTTGCTTAGTCTTTAATTATCTATGTTGTGTTTTGTGTACTGTTGTTTGTCTTTTTGTCTTTTTCTTTTTTTTCTTTTTTTTGCCATGGCGTTGTCAGTTTATTTTCGACTTATAAGTTTGAAATGTCCCTTTGGTATCTTTCGCCTCTCTTTTAGGAAGGACACCAACTTTTGGTCGCCCTTTATCGTATTTTGAAGATGAAAAAATGTTATGAATGATGCTTAGTTTCCAAACGCATTTTCAATTTCCGAACCATTCTTAGACTATACTGAATGTTAAAAATACATTTTTCACAATTTAGGGTTTTCTAAATGTTTGACTTTTTTCAACAAGTAAATTCAACACAAGTAAAGTACTTATTAAGTTTTTACTGTTTCTATTCATTTCAAAGCCAATCGAAAACAGGCTGATATCCAGTTGAAATTAAACAAAAGAAATGGAACTCTTTATTAGAGAAGGAAAAAATCCAAGTTGGTATATTTGAATTGTTTACATCTGTTTCTATGGACTTTAAGAGTTTAATGTAGGTCAGTGGATTATTTAGGATTTTTTTTTTTTTTTGCCTCTTTGTGTTTTTACTTGAATTATAGTATGGTACTTCGAGATATTTAATTGTGACCTTTTAATTTAAAGACAAATTTTCAAAAAAACAGTTGATTGTGGTAGAAAACATGTGGATCTTTTTTGTGCATAAGCATTACGTGCATAAAAGTTACGCCAAAAAAATTCCACAGAAAGATAAAAGAATGATCTTTTTTAAAGCATTCTCTGCCATGACAGTTTTTTAAAAAAAATCTTAAAAATGGACAATAATCATATCGAAAAGAGAAGGTCGACTGAGTACACCTTTTTATGTTCAGGCGTGTTTGAGTTGACTGTTTTGTCTTGAAAACGTATAAAGCAAACATATTTGTTACATCATCTCGCTTCAGATTCTATTATTTTTATATATTTAGTCTACAGGTTGATATAATAACATTAAAAATTCACAGTACTAAAAAATGAAATATATGGGTCAAGTGAAATGTCTTTCTAATGAGTCATTATAACAGAGGAGGTGTGTTTGAATGACAAATTTTAACTAAAAGTACTCGACAAACTTTACAAGTGGATCTTAAAAATGCATAACTTAAAAAAAATATATATTTGTTTGTGTGTGGTATCTAGGTTAATAAGTCTTCGACCTCTGAAAATATTTAGTCTACTCTTCCCTTCCAAGAAATATTCAATAAGATTTTTTTTAGTTTTTCATGATTTTCTATTCATAATATTATTTTTGGTTTTGTTTGTAGTGTTTTTATATAAAAGTAAGAAGATGTGGTATGATTGCCGTTAACAACCATAGGTCACCGTACTGCCTTCAACATTTATGATGAGTAAAACTGATATTGTAAGGAAGTTATTTGAAAACCCTCAAAACAAAAAATGCAAAATAATTCATACAAAAAAAAACAACGACCTGATCGATAAAAACAATTACCAATACAGCAAGTTTTAAATTTCGAAAATCCCCCCTGACAACCGATCAGAAAATTGTTTTAAGTTGACAAAATGCCTTACAGTACATTAAATGATGCTTAATTACAAGTAGATACGTTTGTCTTTTAAAATACAACTGTCATGTAAGAATCGTAATGAAGCTATGAGGATAAATTTATCGGTTTTTAAGAGCTAAACTGACATCGAGTCATCCCTACAATGGATTCCATTTTCACGATTAAAAAACTTAGGTGGCGTAATGGGGAGATAGTTTTGACGAAGAAGAATCCTGACTGAAAAGAGGCAGATGATACCACAAATTATTTGTTTGCGTTCAGTGGAAAATAGTTTATGCTTATTAAGGACGAGAACAAAATGATAATAAATCAAATAGGTAAGTTCTGCAATAAATTGATCAAAAGGACAAGAACTTTGACTGCCGCTTGACAAGAAAGTATGTTGGATAGGGACAGATGTTCCAGCAAAACCCATGCCTCTCCAAAGCATTGGTTTCACCATACAAGGTCGTGTTTGGTTGTAAAGTAAAGATATGAGTATACTCATCTTCACTGCCTCAAGGACATTCTTAGGTCTTTATAATCTGACGAGTTATAAGGTGACCGTAGTGTACTGATGCTAGAATAAAACAATGAACAAAGAAGAGACAAATCAAGGTGCTGTTTGCGAAACCCCATGTTTTTATAAACGTTTAAATGTTGACAGAGCTGAAAAAGTCATGGTCCGGGTTTCACAAAATGTGGTTGTAGTGCTAAGATCAGATTTAACGCCAAACGATATATTTGCCAAAAATTCAGGACAAATGTGCAACATAACCTGCCATCCAAATATTTTATGAAATAACAAAAAATTGTCGAGTTCAGTATTTGTGGGAATTTTAAATTATCCAGTTGAATTTATTTTTGATAAATGAATTTCTTTGAATGCAAGCGTTAAAATTCAGTTATTATCATAGATAAGTCTGTTGTTTTGTTCTATACTTTCAACGGCTCAGTTTTTGTGTACATTTCAGTCGATTAAATAATTCAGGCATTTTGTAAAATGCCTTTCATTTTTTCTAGGCATTATGTAAAGTGCCTGAAAAAAAATAGTCAAAATATAAATTGCCTAAATCGTACAGGCGCTTATTTTAGAAAATGTCTAAAGTTTTCAGGCATTTTAAAAAATGCCTAAATTAAGAAAATGCGGCGCCTGTAACATATACATAGATCTGGTGTCCAGAATATACATGAAGAAGATAACACAGCACAACATATATGATGATGACCGTACTACATAGGCAGGAAACTTAAACAGGTATGAAAATAATGGTATTAATTATTTTTGGAGTGTTAATTTTTTTTTAGAGGTTTTAGATAAAATACATGCTTTTGATGGTCCTTTTAATTCTGTTGACAGTTATGATGTTTCTACTCTCTATACTACACTTCCACACAATCTTATCAAGAAAAAGTTTTCATATTTAATTAAATGGTCTTTTGAAAAATCTCATTACAAATTTATTTGCTTTAACTCGTTTAAAGCCTTTTTCTGTAACGAAAAAGGAAAGTATGCAAGATACACTTACTGGAAATGTGAAGATATGATTGAAGCTTTAAATTTTCTACTGGACAACATATATGTACGTTTCGGCAATAAAGTGTATCGACAAGTAGTAGATATTCCTATGGGCACTAACTGCGCCTCTTTAATAGCAGATTTATTCCTGTATTGCTATGAATCTCAGTTTATGACCAAACTCAGTAAAGACACGTCATTGTTACATTTGGTTGATACATTCAACAATACCTTCCGTTATGTAGATGATATTTTTTCGTTAAATAATCCAGAGTTCTCTAAATATACTACCGAAATTTACCCAAAAGAACTTACTTTAACTAAATCTAACATAAATAGCAGTAGTTGTCCTTTTCTAGATTTGGACATTTCAATCTCTAAAGGAAAACTCCATACTAAAATTTACGACAAGAGAGACGACTTTTCATTCCCTATTGTTAATTTTCCTTTTTTAGACGGCGATGTTCCTTTGGCTCCATCATACGGTGTTTATATATCCCAACTCGTTCGTTATGCCCGTGTGTGTAGTGATGCAATAGATTTTAACGAACGTAATTAATGCATTACTAGTAAATTATTAAGTCGGGGATTTCGTTACCATAAATTACGTAAAACTTGCCTGTCGATACATTTTTAGTTTTGGCATTGCACAAGTCATGTCTTCTTTGACTGTCCATGACGTTAAAATACTAAATCCCTGGGATGTGTTTTAGTTGATTTTAGTCTCTGATGCATGATTTTTTATTATTAATTGTTTTTGGCTTTTAACTAGCTGTCAGTAACTGCGAATACTCTCAAATCGTACTTTCTTGTTTATTTGACCTGTTGATACTAATTGTAATGCTATTTTGCTATTTAATGTTATTCAGGGTTATATCTGGTCTATATACAAGCTTTGCTAACTGTTTGGTATTACTATAAATGTCCACTTCTTCGTACTATGATCATCAAAATTATTTATTTTGTTAAAATATTTCCTTTCTCCATTTGAACTGTGTACGTATTTTCATTTACCTGTGTTTAAAGTAATTGCAAATGGCTGATATTTTTGTTCAAGCATATTGATTTTCTTAAATTGTTTAACAGTTCACAGCGGTATAACATGTTACTTTAATTATTCTTCCCTTAGTTTATTTAGTTTGTATTTACATTGTATCATAGATCAAATTTATTTGTTCAGTGTATGTTCACTGGTGTTAATATGTCTTTTGGTTGAGTTAAGCCATTTCAATTGAGATTTTATAGTGTGCCTTTCTATGTTGTGATGTTACACTATTGTTTCAGATTAGGGTGAAGGTTTGGTACCATTAAAACGTTTAAACCCGCTGCAATTGTTTCCACCTGTCCTAAGTCAGGAACCTGATGTTCAGTAGTTTTCGTTTGTTGATGTGGTTCATAAGTGTTTCTCGTTTCTCGTTTTTTATATAGATTAGACCGTTGGTTTTCCCGTTTGAATGGTTTTATACTAGTAATTTTTGGGACCCTTTATAGCTTGCTGTTCGGTGTGAACCAAGGCTCCGTGGAAGACCGTACTTTGACCTATAATGGTTTGCTTTTATAAATTTTGACTTGGATGGAGAGTTGTCTCATTGATACTCATACCACATCTTCTTATATCTATGTATACACTGATCTGGTGTATACAACATCCGTGATTACTGAAGAAGACCACACAGTACAACAGATGAGATGATGACAATGGGTGTACTGTATAGGAAGGAATCAGGTTGTATATACTGATCTGGCGTATAGAACATCCGTGAAGTACACCACATAGAACAAACAGATATGATGATGACTGGACTGTATAGGAAGGATGTAAATTGTATACACTGAACTGGTGTATAGAAAACCCTGAAAGTAGATCACACAGGACAAACAGATATGATTATGACAAAGAGTGTACTGTATAGGAAGGATTAGGAAGCAGGTTGTATACACTAATCTGGGACATAGATCATCCGTGCAGTAGATCACACAGAATAAACAGATGAGATGATGACAAGTGTACTGTATAGGTATAAACTGATCTAGCGTATGGCACATCGGTGAAGTGCACCACATAGAACAAACAGATATGAAGATGGATGTACTGTATAGGAAGGAAGAAGGTTGTATACACTGATCTAGTGTATGGCACATCCGTGAAGTAGATCACACAGAACAAACAGATATGACGAATAGATGACTGTACTGCATAGTAAAGTAGTTGATTGTATACACTTATCTAGTGTTTAGAACATCCGTGAAATAGATCACACTGAACAAACAGATATGAAGGTGACTGTACTGTATAGGATGGAAGTAAGTTGTATACACTTATCTGGTGTATACAACATCCGTGAAATAGATCACACTGAACAAACAGATATGAAGGTGACTGTACTGTATAGGATGGAAGTAAGTTATATACACTTATCTGGTGTAAACAACATCCGTGAAATAGATCACACTGAACAAACAGATATGAAGGTGACTGTACTGTATAAAGGTAGTAAGTTGTATACACTGATCTAGTGTTTAGAACATCCGTGAAGAAGACCACAGTGAACAAACAGATATGAAGATGACTGTCTTGTATAGAATGGTAGTAGATCGTATACACTGATCAGACATGAAGTAGATCATACAGAACAAACAAAGTTTGTTCTTATGTTTTACTGTTTCACCACTGTCCGATGTGAAGGGAGGGTTTGCCACCAGCAAACTAGTTTAACCCAGCCACATTCTGTGTGTACCTGTCCCAAGTCAGGAGCCTGTAATTCAGTGCTAGTCGTTTGTTACTGTATATCATATTTGGTTTTCGTTCATTGTTTTGTACATAAATCAGGTAGCAAGTTTTCTTGTTTGGATTGTTTGTCGTTTTAGGGCCTTTTATAGCTGACTATGAGGTATGCATTTTGCTGTTTGTTGAATGCTGTACAGTGACTTATAGTAAGTTGGTAACTTTTATATCATTTGGTCTCTGGTGGAGAGTTGTCTCACTGGCAATAATACCACATCTTCTTATTTTGAGATATGCTGAATGGTGTATTGTTTAGGAAGGTTACTTTGAATAAACTTATATTTCATGATTATCAAGTAAACAATAGAGGCCACATGTGGAGCATGATCTCTCGTACTCTTAGATCTTTACTTTGTGTCTTTTTATTTTGTGCATTGTGTTGATCTGAGGGGTCAAGATCTTTAAAAATGATTTTGACAATTTGTTCTTATGTTGTACTGTTACACCACTGTCCCAGGTAATGTGAATATTTGAGTGCTCACAAGCATGTTTACAACCCGCCACATTCTGTATGTGCCTGTTCCAAGTAAGGAACCTGTAATTCAGTGGTTTTCATTGGTTGGTATCTGCCAAATTGTTGACATCTGTACAGAGACCATCTATTGCTTACATCCACATCCTTTGGTCTCTTGTGGACAATTGTGTCATTTGCCAATCATATATAATACTTAGCTATGGCATTGTCAGTTTATTTTTTTACTTATGAGTTAGAATGTACCTTTGGTATCTGTCACCTCTCTTTTGCAATCTACAACTTCTCATTGCTAAATGTACACCTTAAAATAATTTTATATACCAAATATGATGTATTGCTTAAAGTATCTGAGAGATGGTCCTAATCCCAAAACTTCAATCTGATCATTGAACCATGAAAATGAGGTTAAGGTTATTTGAAAACTACCAGACAGACTTGTACACTTTACAACTCTATATACTCAATAGCGTTGACCTATTGCTGATAGTAAATGAGAAAAGGAATCATAAAAGGTCAACATGAAATAAATAAAGATCAGGTGAACCCTACTTGACTGACATGATTTCCTTGCAATGATCCTATATATACTGAGCTGACATGCATACATTTTGTATTGGAGTTATCTTCCTTTGTTCATAATTGTACATTTGTAGTTGAACCTATTTTTATGACAGATTCAAACACCAGGCACAACTTAAATACTTTTTAATAAAATAGTTTTCTTGACAAGTATGGTTATACAAATACACATAACTTTGTAACTTGTATATCTAAGTATTATCTATCATTTGCAAAATTGATTGACATTTGCTGGATAGGAACTTAAGAATGTTCACCTCATTGCACTATATTGTTTTATTTATCAAAAGTAATGATAAAACCTGAAAGATCTAGAGACCAAGCCAGTAGCAAAAGGGTCATGCAATCTTTACCCAGAAATCTTTCAAAAACAGGTGACTGTGAGGTTAGGTTGAATGTAACTCTACTGCATATCCGTCATGCTTGATTTTTTTAAATCAAAAGAAACATTAACTTTAAGACTCTCTACACTGCACTTCCACACATATTTATTAAACAAAACTATCCTATTCAATTTAAAAGTTCTTTGAAAAATCTGATTGTATATTTATTTGCAGCAACTCATAAGCTTGAAGCTGCTGCTTTCTTTCTGAATGAAATGGGGAAATATGCTAGATATACATTATGAAATTACTCATAGCTGTCATTTACGTGCGTTTCAGCAATAAAGTTTATCGAAAGGGTGTAGGTATTCCCATAAGCACCAAATGCTCCCCTTTAGTAGCAGACTTGTATCTACTTTAAATAATCAAGAACTCTATAAATATACAGTTGAAATTTACCCGAGGGAACTAACTTTAAATAAATCTAATACAAACAGCAATAACTTCCCTTTCCTTGATAAAAATATTTGAGTTTCACATGGGAAACTCTCAAATAAAATTTAAGACAAAAGGGACAATTTCCCTATTGTTAATTTTTCTTTTTGGACATAAATGTTCCTTTAACCCCAACTTAAGAGTTTATATATCCAAATTCAATCGCTATGCCTGTGTCTGTAGTGACATTTTAGATTTCAAGACATGAATTTTGTTACCACAAGTTTCTGAAAACCTTTACTAAATTCTTTTATAGATAAAAAGATTTGGTTTGGAAGTTTGGCTGTATATGTAGAAAACTTACCACTAAATCGATATCCTTATTTTTATGGTGATATTATTTTTTGGACCCATAGTGTTTTTGTTAGTTTTTGTTTTGTTTTGAGCTTTGCATCATTCTGATGAGTCAAGTCCTATTCAACAGATTTTTATAGATTGTTCTTATATTATGCTGTTTCATCGGGAGAGGGTTGGGTCCCTGCAAAAATGTTAAACGCCATCACATTCTTTATGTGCATGTCCCAAGTCAGGAGCCTGTAATTCAGTGGTTGTCGTTTGTAGCTTTTTATCCTTTTTGTTTTTCCTTTGCTGTTTTGTACAAAATCAAGTTTTGGTTTTCTTGTTCGAGTTTTTGTCATGTTAGGGCCTTTTACAGCTTGCTTTGCGATATGGGTTTTCCTCATTGTTGAAGGCTGTACAGGGACCTATAGTTGCTAACATCTACATCATTTGGTCTCTGGTAGATAGTTGTCTCATTAGCAATCATACTACATCTCCTTATTTCATATATCAATTTCACTTTGAAAAATTCAGTTATTACAAGGAATTGTATAATAATAAAAAAAAATAATCATACTATTTTTATTGACATATATAAACAATGTTATTTGCACACATACATGTAAACAGAAATCAGCACATAACCCAAGGAAAAATGAAAATTTGTGTAAAGAATGTTCTTTTAGAATACTGTAAATTCAAAAAGTATTGAGATGTTTTTAATATTGTGTAAAAAGAGTAGCAGGAATAATATCACAATAACAAGAACTCACATTTAAAATTCTAATCATGCATTACATGTATTCTACATTTTCTGAAATAGCAGTAGTTTATTTTGTTTGTTTTCCTGTTGATCAACAATAACATTCATAAATGCAGACATTAATTTTTAAATTTACAGTATTTTATAACAGCACTTTTTTTCTAAAACGGGAATATTAAATGGATTTCTTGATCAATGTCTTTCACATGCAACAGTTAGTTTTACTCATCCAATAATGGAAAAAACTGGCCTATCTAAACATACATAGTATGGAGTAACTATCATAAAAAGCAATTTTTAAATTTCTAAAAAGTATTATTAGACACCAACCTGGGTGCCAAGTACTTTAACAGCCACAACCTTTTAAACATAACTGTCTAGTTTAAAACAGTACATTAAATTGAAAGAAATTTTTTTTTTTTAATTTTGTCTTTTCAGACAGCTTTTTTTGTTTGTTTTTGAAAACCACCTTCTCCACATCAAGAACAAAAAAAATTTCTGGGAAAATGAGATAGGTTTTGTATCTTTGGGTGTAAAATCTATTTTACACATTACATAAGTAGTTTTACAATATACAGATCAATTCCTGGCAGTATTGGCATCTTTAAAAAACTTACTTATGTCAGAATAATGTACATTAAAAATAATTATGATATTTAAAATAGACTTTGTTAGCATCATGTATTTATGATTTAAATAGTACACTAATAACTAGTACACAATCATTCGTTTTACACATTCAAAATGGCTTTTAAGATAAATGACTCAGAAATGAATACACAAACTTTTACAACCCTAAAATGAACATAGTATAAAAATAGAACAAAATATGAAATTGTACATCGCAGGTAAATCAAGAAAACTCGGGTATTAATGGTTACTCTTATAAATAAATAAAACAAAATAAAATCACATGTGAGGCTAGCTTTTTATCAAATTAAATGAGAGAAAAAATGAACCACAATTTTGTGATCGTTAAACCTTTGCTGTAATCATGTTATGAAAAGAAAAATTATATAAATTTCTGCTATGCAAGTTTTACACTATTTGCTTAGTACAGTTTTCCCCTTTTTATGTCTGGTATTCATCTCCAACTTTATACCAGGTACATGAATTTCTCTATGATGAAAAATTTGTCCTATCACGGTGAACAGAAAAATATAAATTGAAAAATTTGAAAGGTTTGATACAATTTTGCTCATGTGAGGTGTTATTAAAGAGATTTTCATAAGGAAAACTTTCTAGGGGTTATGGGACAAATGATTTGTTTAATTCAATGATGTGCAATCTTAAAATATATTATTCATTTCATATCATAAAGATTATATATTTAAGTATCTACAATTTTTGCTTTAATTATATTTCTTCATTAAGCTGCAGAGATAAATAAAGACTTTATGTACATTTACAAGAGTTAACAACATTAAAGATTAAAACAAAACATAAACAACATCAACAAAGTAACTTCCAAACAGTATGTAAAGTCCTTTAGTTTTCCTTCTATAACTGTTCTAAAAAACAAATAAATTTTACTGTTTCCCTTTTATCAACATCCTCGCAAAATACTTGAAATTTCAGATTTCGCAACAATAAGTGCATTCTTAACCCAAATTTACCAAAGAAACTGTGACATCGAAAAATACTAATGAGATGTAAAAACCATTCCATTGCACTATACATCAACTCTTACAGTTATCATATTATTCAAAATTTAGTGACAGGCTTAAAATGTGAAAGTACATGCAGACTTTTTTCCAGATAAATGATAAATCAAATGAACTTAAAATAATTGAGACCATCACAATCATACGGTTAAGTTCATTAACAAAACAATCACTGAAAAGCATACAGTCAATTCCAATTTCATTTAGCTGATAACAAAAGTATGAACAAAATCAGTTGAAATATGTTGTTTTGACAAAACATTTCACATGTGACCCGTTTTCTTAAACATTTTACAAGCTATTTAAATAGACAAAATTAAGACAATGTTTATGGTCCAGACAATTTTTTTATGTTATTTTCATTTATAGAACCAGATTTTACCAAATATGTGCATAGGGCAAGTGACTTAAATTACAGATGTTACCCAGAAAAAGTTTAGTCAATGAACTTTATAAGATCACATTTTAATTTCTAATGCCCTAAAATTGCAATCGATAAATGCATTGTTTGCACAAAAGAAAAGTTGCAAACAACACAAGTAGCAATTACAACTTATAACTGTTAGTTGTAACTTTTTCTATCTATAGAATGATATGAGTTTTTTTACAATCAATGATGACTTTCAAATTGTGTCTTTACACAGAAAAATATTAACTCCACTTACGTTACCAATCAACAAATAAAAATGTTGTTGTTTTAGTTGCATTTATTATAAAAATCCTTTTTAAAGTTATACTTCTGAAACATATTTGGAATGTAAAATATGTAAAATCTTCTTTTTTTAACAATATCATGATTAAAACTGAGACAAATACAAGAAAAGATGCAGACGTAAAATCATAACACATGTATGCAACATCGACATATAAACACAGCTTTATCCCCCTACCCAATTGTGCTATAGGTTTTTAATTACAATGAAAGAAATTTTCTAATTTTTGTCATTTAAACACATGATGTAGTTTTCTCCCTTGGTGCATTTGACCATTGCAAAATTTATATATGCAAATGTATTCAGAAATGAAAAGCTATAAATGAAAACTATTCACCTATCACATCCTAAGTCTTCAACAAATCATACCAAATAATATTATAAAACTACTTGTGACATATAATATTTAAATCTCTTTTTAATAAAAAGTGTGAACTTTAGTAATGAGTCTGTATGTTGTCATCGAGCCTGCTATGCATGAATATATAATATTTAAGAAAAAAATTATCATAAAGATAAATAACGTTACCAATCACAAGATCTTTTGCAAATTTTGAACTAAAGATATTCATAATTAATGATCTATATCCTTCCTTAAGTATTTTATCTCTAAAAATACATTTGACTATTAAGCATTCAAAGGAATAGTAATCTAGAAGTTCAGACCCTATGAATTTTGTAAGTAGTTTAATAATATAATTTAAACACTCAAGACATTTATAGTCTTCTACAAACATCCCTTGCATACTTTCACTTTTTCGTAATGATCACAACAATGTCAGTCCTATATTTAGCAACATCCACCTCCTTGGTTAGCTCCACCTCCTCCTGATGGCATGTTTGGATTGTTTGGTGAATGTTGTGGTCCAATCTTAATACCATTAGCCTACAAACAAAACCAGTCATGTTATAAAAAATTTCATTTGAATTTAATTTCAAAGTTTCTCATTAATATTCAATTTCGTCATTTCTCATCTTCCAAATATATTCATTTTTTCACAAAGGTTTTTTTTTTGGAACAAGCAATTTAATAATAAGGTATGCATATTTTATCCAAAAGAAAATTAAGAAGAAGATGTGCCTATAGATAGCTTTCGATTAACACAATTTGAGCACAAATTCCTTCATGAATCAGCCAAATTCAACTTGTTACACTTCTTACACTAATTACTAGACTTCGGAAAAAGTTGTTTTATGAACAATTTTAATTTCTTTTAGCTTGATTCATGACTACGATCTAGTGAGGATCTTTTATAAGACTTGTTTGTACCGCATGTTTCAATTTGGTTAGTCAAATAAGAAAATCAACCATTTGCCCTTCAAAAATGGCCACAACTTCATGGTAAACTACTGTAAACCAATATTTTAACCAGATATGACATAGACCATCATAAAGACAATCAGATGGATGCAGACTGGAAAGCAATATTCCCCATTTTATTGTAGGAGGGGCATAATAATATGGAGTTTCATCAATATCAAATTTTAAGACATCTTTCAATACTAACATAAAATGTATTTTATGACATTTCCTCTTTATCTGTATGAGATGACAAAAACACACTTCTTCATTCAGAGATAAAACATAAAATAAATAGAAAACTATACTTACCTCATTATTAATATCAAATACACCATCTTGTATTTTTTGGTAAATCTCTTTAGCAGTGTTTATAAAAGCCTGAAATATATTTCAGATATCTTTAAAGCTATGCTTTATAACATATTATAATGAGTAATTTGTTATTAGATGTGATTTAATTTTTTTTTCTAAATAGTTTTTGGTTTTAACACAATAGGGTCTAAATAACAAAGGAGTAAGACTAACTCTTTTTTTTTAACTCCAACTGTAAAACGTGAAAGGTTCATGAAAAACAAGAATTCTGAGAGTATTGCATGGCAATACATAGTCCCCTACCGGGTAAAAATTCATTATACTGGAACAAAATGCAAACTTGTTCTATAACTTGTCATGTTGTAAACAAAAAGTAAATATCATGTCAATATCTTCAAGCATGACTAAAAACAGTGTGGAAAACTGATTATATGAGTGAATTTTTCAAGTCCAAAGACCATAACTCTGCACAATTTTATTAGACCGAAACAAAAATTTGAACTTGATCTGTAACTTGTCATGATAAAACTATATATATATATATACCAATTATCAATCAATATCTTATAAGCATGATGAAAAAAACATCAAATATGATTAATAGTTCTCTAAAATTAGATATGATGTAATACAGTGTATATCTATTTTCAAATTATAATCAAATGTAATTAATAGTTCCAAATATTTTTTCTTTCATTTGTCACAAACTAATATAGATTTGTAACTTATCTATAAAATGTCAACAAATTTTATCTACACAATGTAATGTATTGAAATATATACATTAATAAAAATAGATTATTATCTAATTAAAGGATTTCTCTTCATAATTTTTTTTATACATATAGCATTCAGAAAATTAGTTTATACTAAATAACAAACAAACCTGCCAAAAAATTCCTCAAATAATTTAACAAAGAATGTCTTTTAAAAAATGAGTTATCTCCCTTTGTACAGAAATATGGTTTAACATAGTACTCTAACATTAGATATGATCCAGCGTTATGGTCCATAACTCTGGACTAAATCATCAGACCAGAACAAAATTCGAATTTGATCTGTAACTTGTCTTGATAAAACTATATACCAAATATCGAATCAATATCTTCAAGAACGAAGAAAAAAAGTGTGGAAAGCTGATTTGCCGGACTGATGGATGGACAGACAGACGGAGTGCAAACCTAAAGTCCCCTTCGACTTCGTTGGTAGGGGACTAATAAATGGGGAATGTGTCCATAGGACACAGATGATGCCCTTGCTTGCATACATGTATCATATAAAGTTATAAAGGGACATAACTGAAGAACGGTAAAAGTGATGATACCCAAATTTGTACTTGATCTGAGTTTTGTGGTAATTGATCCGAGTTTTGTGGTAATAAGTATTGTGTATAAGTTCTAAAGTTAGAGAATGGAAACGAAAAATTCAGCAATTTTTCCATTTGTAAAGGGGCATAGCTCTAGAATGGTTAAAGTAACCCACCAAAATTCAAACTTGATCTGTGTTTTGTGGTAATAAGCATTGTGTATAAGTTCCGTAACATTTGTTTGAGGCAAACTAAAGTTAGAGAACGGAAACCAACTTTGGGACGTACGTACGTACAGACGGACAATGGTAAAACCTAATGCCCCTTCGCTACGGCCGGGCATAAAAACACAAATGTTTATGCCTTCCAATTTCCCAGCTCGTTTTGTTTAAACAACAAATTTACTGTCATATTTATTTTCAAGATTTTACATTATCATATACCGTCGAACCTTGTTATGTCAAGGTCAAAGGGACCAAAGTATTCAACTCATCCGAGGTCGAGTGTGTCATCATAAATTTGGAATGCATGAAATACGGTATGAGAAATGTGTAAACTTGATACTTTGAACAGTGTGCCTTTTTCGATATAACACTTTATGATTGTGTATTCAATCTCTGTATTTTTTTGGTCCTTCATTATAACTAAACACACAAGTACAGATACAACACGTACAAGTTATGCACAAATAAAATCAATATTATACACAAATATTTACAAAGGTCAGTCACTATAAATTATGAAATCATTCGCAGAAGGAAACAAGTTCTCAACGGTCTCTGATGAGGTCGTCTGCTTTACATAAAATTATTATAAATTATCATTATTGTCTTAAAATCCTTTTATTCATTGTAATTAATGAATTTCAATTCTAACGATTCATTTAATCTTGGCTTGGGTCATATAAATTTGTTCAAAATATGTGCAACACACTAACTTTCCGCTTGGATGATCAACACAGGTGTTAATTACTGTTCATACTAAACATGTAATTTTTACTATTATACAAGCAAGTATGCTAACTCAGCTTTAATCTGTAATAGTTATCCCATGAGGATGTGGTGTGTCTGTGTAAGTTCAGCCCGGAGGCCGATCTTACACTGACACACCAAGTCCGAGTGGGATAACTATTTTACATCCCAGCTCTTCTAGACTATATGAAAAAACATTTACGCTTCATAACATCTAGTTCAGAATGCCGTACAATAATTATAATATACTTTATATATAACTATATAGTATATACCCTTTATGAGCCCCGGATACAATGTTTAAATATGTTAAATTAACAGTGAGTTTGTATCCAGTTGTCCTGGTGTAGAGGTATGAATAGCGGCTTCATATGTTTAAGGTCTTGAGTTCGATTCCCCGCATAGACACTGGAAATTTAGTGGATTTTTTCTACATAAATTTAGAAAATTAGTCTTTATTCCGCATAAATATTTCTAAGTTTTATTGTGTGTTCTACATTCTCGCCAAAATGTTACAGAACAAAAGAAAGCATGCAGAACAAAGAAACTCAAGGTAGGGTGATCTGGTAGGGATGATCAGACTCAGATCACCCCTGTTAGAACAAAGGAGTTGGGATGTAACTTTTGAAAATGATTAGGTTAAATATGAAATACATCCGATTTGAATTTTTATCATTAGGTCTGCATCTTTCCAAAATTATTACTTTTGAACTTCGAGACATCGGGGTCAATACACATTAATTTTATATCGACGGGACTATAACATTTACCCGACTTAACCAAGTATTTGAATCAACCGAGTTCGCCTTATCAGAGGTAATTATGCATTGATCAAACAGGAATTTTACCGGAACCGAGAAATTACTTCGACTCATCCGAGTTTTCGACACAACTGAGTTCATACTATTAACAGCTTTTTGGGAACTAATCTTCATGACGTTATAAGTATCATGAAAATAGGTATTTGAGTATTCTGGCTATAAGTATTCAGCAAACAGGAAGATGATGAACTATGGATGTGAAGATGCCTCACATGGTATAGCATTATCACATTATTAAGCTTGATTCTAAATTTAAGAAAGCTCTCATTTGTAGTTCCTAAGAAACAATGTGAAAAAAGTTTCATGGGACAGACAGAGGTAAACCAGTATCCCCCTCTTTGCAAAGTATGGACATAATTAGAAGTATCCATGATTTTTGACGAAATTACCTCCTCTACATTGGCAGCTGTTTTAGCTGATGTTTCCATGAATATTAAACCATGCTCTCTAGCAAAAGCTTCTCCTTCTTCTTTCTTTACATCTCTTCTGGCTTCTAAATCACTAAAACAAACAAATAAACAGTTACAAAAATCATATCTTTAAAGGTATATTTCATATACATTATTATTCAAATTATAACCTACTTAAAGGAATAAGATGCAAGCCTTGAATTTCCTCTAATGTATAAGTATTACTGAAGATAGACATAGAGAGCTATAAAATTCCTATTGTTATTTTACAAGCATTTCTGGTGTTAATCTGCAGTTTACTTTAAACCAGTATAAGCCAATGAAATGCTAATGCAATTAAACTTATCATACTATTAAATGATTAAAACATCATTTAATTCTATTCTGAAATGCAGCTGCAAGAAAAATAAAACTCATGTTTTCTGACACTTAAAGAGCAAAGTTTTTTTAGTGATTTGCTGCCTCGAAAACAATTTTTTTTTAAAGTAATTTGTTTTAGTTGACTGTGAGAAAACACTGTTCCATGCATTATAATCATGTCATTATAAATATTTTAAAGCAATCCTGTTGAGACCCTGGATACCATTCCTCCTCTTTACTACAAAAGCTAGATTCTCCCCTAACCCTACCTCTCACCCCTTCCTACCTTTTATTTCCAATTAACATAATAACCATATTAGAATTGGAATGTTGTCTGGCATCTTCTAACCAGGTTGTTAAATGGTTAAATGTGTCTCTCCTGAAAATAGAAACATATATACATGTAACATGAAGATATTTAATTGACATTTGATCATCAGAACTTTTTTTAAAGTATAAAAATTTGATACTATACATATATATATTTATATGTTATCTATTATTCAAAAACTTCTTTAAAATGATGTATTTCTATACATATTTATTTTTAACAAAACTGATCTCTCATTTCTCTCTTAATTTTGATAAAAGTACTTTTCTCTATTCCTGACATTGTAATCACTTTTTATGGCATAACTTAATATTTATTGATTTACAAATTTCAAGCAATTTTCATACTATGACAAGTTTTACCATGTGATATCAAGTACACCATATATCGAAAAACACAAGTAGCATTCTTCTTTGAAACTTTATATTATCATTGATACACAGTATAACATCAGTTCTAGGCTACTATAATGAAAAATAGTTGTTACCCTGTAATATCAACAGTTTTTACCTTGTAATATCATATACTAGTAAAGCACCAGCAGCACCTCTGTAGTAAGATCTTGTTATAGATCGGAATGATTCCTGACCTGCCTGAAAAAAAGAAAATATATTGTTAAAAATTCAATGGAACCTTTAATTTTTTATGTCCTTTGTATTTAATAATTATACATAAATCTTGCCATAGACCGGGTTGATTCTAGGCCTACCTGAATTTTTCTGAGTTCTCACTAAGAACTTTACCATAAACACTAAAACAGTCCACGGTCTCCTCATTTTATAATACAAATCAATATCAACACATCAAAGACTTAAATAATATTTAAGTCTACTTGTCAAAACACAATGGGGAAGAATTTTGATTTATTGATGACTTATTTCAACTTTGACGTTAATTTTCAAAGTTATCATTGTATCAATACTCAAGTATATTGGGAGCATGTGGTAGAAAACTTAATAGCATGTACAAAAGATAAAAAATAATTGCCCTTTCCTCAAACAATAAAAGTGCCCTGCCATCCACTGGCACCCTGCACCTTTCAAATTTTAGCTGGACCACGAAATGATTAAATGGACATTAAACATGAAACTAGACAAAGTGATCATGTCCCGCAGTCTACTCTGAAGTGACTGTATTATAACAAAGTCAATGTAGGACTTTCTTTGAGATATTATTGTGTCTGGGAGACACAAATGATGCCCCTGCAGATGCAAAGTGTTATTTTAAAATTGACAAAGTTGAGCATGGGAGCACATAGGTCTAGGGTTCACTGCAGGAGGAGTTATCTGGAAACGCTATGCACCTCTTATGCAAGTATTTACTCCAAAAATGACAAAGTTCAACTATCTCCCAAAAGAGCAAATATTAATAAATATCAAAACCCTTAACCACATGCACACCTTCAATATATGTACAAACAGCCAGCAAAGTGAAAACTTCCTAGCAATTAAACTGTAGGAGGAGTTATCCGGAAACGTTATGCACTGCTAATGCAAGTAAATACTCCAAAAAATGGCAAAGTTCAACTATCTCCAAAAAGAAAAAAAAATTAATGAAAATTTAAACCCAGACCTCATGCACATCTTCAATATATGTACAAACAGCTAGCTGAGTGAAAACTTCCTAGTATTCAAACTGTAGGAGGAGTTATCCTGAAATGCTATGCACCTCTTATGCAAGTAAATACTCCAAAATAAGTGGGGAGTGTGTCCATGGGACACAGATGATGCCCCCGCTTGCATATAACGTTATAAAGGGACATAACTCAAAAACTGTAATAGTGATGCTACCCAAATTTGTACTTGATCTGAGTTTTGTGGTAATAAGCATTGTTTAAAAGTTTCATAACATTTATTTGAGGCAAACTTAAGTTAGAGAAAGGAAACAAAAAATACAGCAATTTTTCCATTTGTAAAGGGGCATAACTCTAGAACGGTAAAAGTGACGCCACCAAAATTCGAACTTGATCTGTTTTTTGTGGTAATTAGCATTGTGCATACGTTTCATAACATTTGGTTGAGGCAAACTAAAGTTAGAGAACAGAAACGAATATTTCAGCAATTTTTCCATTTGTAAAGGGGCATAACTCTAGAACGGTAAAAGTGACACCACCAAAATTCAAACTTGATCTATGTTTTGTGGTAATAAGCATTGTGTATAAGTTTCATAACATTTGGTTGAGGCAAACTAAAGTTAATGGAAACCAATTTTGGGACGTACGTACAGACAGACAAGGGTAAAACTTAATGCCTCCTCCGCTAAGGCGGGGGCATAAAAATGACAAAGTTTAACTATCTCCCAAAAGAGCAAATATCAATAAAAATCTAAACCCTGACCACATGCACACCTTCAATATATATACAAACAGCCAGCAAAGTGAATACTTCCTAGCATTCAAACTGCAGGAAGAGTTATCTGGAATAACTATATACCCATAATGGGAAGGACGGGAGTAAAACAATATGCCCCCAACTTTCAGTTGCAGGGGCATAAAAGAGAACAAGACTGTGGCTATGATCATTTCTAAAGCAATGCTAAAGATGATTTAATAGATTGTGTCATGTTCTTTGTAATCTTCTGTAATAATTATGTTTGTAACTTACTGTATCCCAGATCTGCAGTTTTATTTGTTTACCATCAATAGTTATCATACGAGCACCAAACTCCACACCTGAAATTATAAAAAAAGGAGAGATTGAAGTAGTTTTCAATTGCATAGTTTAGCAAAGTATAAATACAAAAAACAAATCCTGAGAATTTGTTGATGGTGACAGTCTTGACATGTAATTTACAGGCTATATTCCTTAAACTGATGTACCTGCTATATAAAATGTACTGGTAAATCATTTGAAAAATAAAATTCTCCGCTGGGAGCAGCTTGATAGGCCGCAGAGGTCGAACCCTGAACAGTTGGGGCAAGTATAGACACAACATTCAAGCTTGATACAGCACTGAATTTGGATTGTGATTAAATATTTGACACAGCATAAGTTTCTGACACAGAATGAATGTGGTCTAAGAACTTAATTTTTTTTAATTTACCTATTATGGTCCAATATCCAAAATCTAAATACATACACAGTTAGATTCAGCATATCAAAAACCCCAAGAATTCAATTTTTGTTAAAATCAAACTAAGTTTTATTTTGGACCCTTTGGACCTTAATGTAGACCAATTTGATTTGATTTTTGGTGTTTTAACGCCACTTTTAAGCACCGCTTTTGGGCTATTTCGTGGCGGCCAATTTTTATTGGCGAAGGAATCCGGAGTGCCTAGAGAAAACCACTGACCTTCGATAGGGAAACTGACAATCCTAGTCAATTAAGATTGGAGTCGAGTGCACCCGCACAAGCGGGGTTCGAACTCACAACCTCAGTGTTGACTGGCTAGACCAATTTGAAAACGGGACCAAGATTCTAAATACACATTTAGATTCAGCATATCAAAGAACCCCAATATTTCAATTTTTTATGAAATCAAACCATATCATTATTATTTGCTTTTATATATAAATAAATAAAAATAACCAACTTAAAATGGAAAATTTTAAAGAAAAAAAAAGGGAACCCCCCCCCTAAATTTTTTAAACCGCCTTAAAATTCATCACCCCAAAACTCAATCCCAGCCTTCCCTTTGTGGTATGGTACCTTGCAGTACAATTTTATAGAGATCCATACACTTGAACACAAGTTACATGTGTATTGTCTGGAAACTGTAAAAATGCTTGTTTTTTGGCCCCTTTCTGGCCCCAAATTCCTAAACGATTAGGGCAATTACCCCCAAACTCAATCCCAGCTTTCCCTTTGTGATATGGAACCTTGTAGTACAATTTCATTAAGATCCATACACTTACACACAAGTTATTGTCCTTAAACTAGAAAAATGCTTGTTTTTTGCCCCTTTTTGGACCCTAATTCCTAAAATTTTGAGGCAATTACCCCCAAACTCAATCCCAGCCTTCCCTTTGTAGTATGGTACCTTGCAGTACAATTTCAGAGAGATCTATACACTTGAACACAAGTTATTGTCTGGAAACTATAAAAATGCTTATTTTTGGCCCCTTATTCCTTAACGTTTTTGGCTATTAACCCCAAACCCAATTCCAGCTTTCCCTTTGTGATATGGAACCTTGAAGTACAATTTCAGAAAGAATCTTTTAAGATCCATACACTTACACACAAGTAATTGTCATGAAACTAGAAAAATGCTTGTTTTTTGCCCCTTTTTTGGCCCCTAATTCCTAAAATATTGAGGCAATTACCACCAAAATCAATCCCAGCATTCCCTTTGTGATATGGAACCTTGTGGTACAATGTCAGAGAGATCCATACACTAACACACAAGTCATTGTCTGGAAGTTACAAAAATGCTTATTTTTGGCCCCTTTTTGGTCCTTAATTCCTTATCTGTTGGTGCCATAACCCCCATAATCAATCCCAACCTTCCTTTTGTGGTATTGAACCTTATGGTAAAATTTCATAGAGATCTATTCACTTAAACTTAAGTTATTGTCCGGAAACTAAATGAGTCTTCGGACGATGCAGACGACGACATGATAGCATTATATGATGCAAAAAAAATTTTGCGGTCGTATAATAAATGGAGAATGTGTCTATGGGACACAGATGATGCCCCTGCTTGCATATAACATTATAAAGGGACAAAACCAGGGCCTAATCTAGGATTTTTGAGAGGGAGAAGTGATTTCTCCTTCCATGAGAGAGAAGGGAGAAGTGGTCAACTTCTTGGAGAAGTGTAATTCCATTACTGTTTCGGTTGCGTTGTGTTTTCGTTCATATGATCTATGACATAAATACATTAAGGACATTGTTTAATATATACAATAAAAATATACCTGCAGTAATTTTATATGATACTGTATATATTGAAAACTTTTAATAAAATAACTTTGAAAATGTAGTTGTTATTTATTGAGTCATATCATTTGTACTGTAAATTTGAATTTGTTTAAAAAATATCATGCATTATAGTTTCATGTGCATCTACCTCAATACGCTCAGTTTGAAAAATCATTATTCATCTAATTTCTTGTTTTCTTTTATTATCGAGAACTGCTTGGGAATGATCTAGGACTAATATATTAGTTAGTGTAATAGTCCCAGGAAGGATTGGGCAATTTTTTTTTTATCACCACTTGTCATAATTTTGTAGAACATTATTGAATCATCAATGTACAGGACATCATATCAGTTGTAATTTGAGATATCTCCCAATCCCATATTAATTAACTGATAAAGAAGTATGTTTTGTTATTTTTGTTAATAAAGATATCTCTCTTTGGTCGTAAAACAAAATATGCTGCTAACCACAAGCTGACCACGCGTCGTACATTTGCAATTAAATTATCCATCAGCAGGTTTAACTTTTTACATTTCAATTTTTTCAATTAATAGCAAAAAAAATCTCCTGTTAATTCTCAACCCTTAACCTACCGATTAGTACAACTGGTCGGCTCGTAATGAATGAGAATAAAATAAATCAGCTGAGTGATTACGCAACAGCCTCATGAGGAAAATATCGTAAATGATGACTCAAACAGATGCTTGGTTTTCAGTTTGATTAGTTTTAAATGTTAAATCCAAGGATGTTCAAATTTGCTGTTGTATTTATTTCATTTAATTGTCGATAGTATTAGTCCGTGGTCGTTTCGAAAAACTTGATTTTCCTTGTCAGTCGCCATTTTTGATTACCTGTGTGCCTTGTAAATCAAAAGTTGTCTCCCTTATACCAATTTTGATAGTGATTTGACTCCACTATGAAGTCAGTCAGCTGGCGAGTTCTAGCGATTTTCAAAATTTTCAAAAATTGTCATTTCGCTGGCAAGATTATGGCCTGGACATAACTCAAGAACGGTAAAAGTGACGCAACCCAAATTGAACTTGATCTGTGTTTTGTGGTAATAAGCATTGTGTATAAGTTTCATAACATTTGGTTGAGGTAAACTAAAGTTAGAGAATGGAAACTAATTTTGGGACGTATGGACGGACAAGGGTAACACTTAATGCCCCCTCTGGTGTGGCAGGGGCATAATTATGACAGAGATGATTTTTTCATGACATAAACAGCTGTCCCTGTTCTAATTTCCGATACTGCACTGACAAAAGAATATAAAATTAGAACATAGTCATGCAATGTACTTGTTACAGCTAGACTATAGGAGTGTTTAAAACCTATCGTCCCTTAGTGTCTCAGTGATAAAATATCTATCAAATACATAAACTTTATATACCAAGACATTTTTTTGAATACACAAACTAAATATTAATTTACAATATATATATATACCAGTGTGCAAATAGGGCATTTCTTAATTTGAAAGGCAGCTTAGTTACTCTTGATATAATATTATACAGTAATTGTTTTCCCAAAACTATTCCTATATATCTTTCAAACTAATAATTAACTTTATTTACTGACAACATTTCTTACCAATGGTGAGATCATGTACAGGTTGAAATCTCTTATCTGTAAACTGTAATAAGAGACAGGATTTTCCAACACCTGAAAAAAATTCATAGATTTTTAGTATAACAGTAAATAATAAGTACACTGATTCACCGACCTCATAACAAATGTCATAGTGTTTCCTGAAGATTTCAATAGGACATTGCAAGGTAAGTTTTTACCAAGAGGGCACACCACTTTTTTGAAATAAATTTACTTAGCGTATTGAATCTTCATAGTGCTCTTGACTTAATAACTTCAGTAAACTATTATACTGAGTGCAGCAGACCAGGATGTATAGGATGTTTTGTGTGGAATAATCAGGAATTTCCTTGCCACGAGCAAAAGCATTGTTTTTTTGCTGTACTACAGAATCAGTACTCATAACTATGCAATTTTTTCTAGGTCAGTATTTATTTTCAGTTAATTCTGTGTTTTTTTCTAATGAAACTGTGATTGTTTTAGTACTAAATTATAACTAAAAACCTAATCAGTTAATCTATAAACAGCTAATTATTTTTTAAATAACCTGACAGCTGATCTAGAATTGTAGTTGCAATAAAAACTATTGGTCAGAGATTCTTTATTTTTTATAAAAATCTAAATAAGTGTCAAAAGACAGCCATTGTAAGACCCGACCCCTCAACAGACCAATAGCTTAAAGGGTCCTACTAAATGAAAATATAAAAAATAATGAGTGATTATGCAACATCCCATGCATTGTAAAATTGTAACACAGACAATTGCCTGGTATCTCTAAAAATTGTATGCATTATAAAATTCATGAAGGAAAATGCTATGTTGTCTTAATTCCATTCAATAAACAACAGTAGTTGTACCCGATAGCTTTAAAATGATATTGAGTACTTTATTATTGCAGATACATGTACTTTGAATGACATATAGATATCATGTGTTCTGCAATATGACTAATCATTACAAAAAACAACTAGTCCTAAACATTAGCAACTCTGTGTGTTGTCATGTAAAATCAATTTTATTTATTATCATGATTCATATATGTACATGTATGTATCTGAAATTCACAAATGAGTTTAGTGTTTTCAGTGGAATTGCTTTACACAATACATGCAATAGTAATTCATAAAATGTTTATAAAGTATTAACAGATGTTAACAATTATTTCTTTTGTTATCACTTTCAAACTGCCACTAACAAATGACCTAACACCTGGTAAATAATTAATCAATGATCGACAATCAATACATTTGTAAACAGTACAGTGATTAATGAAGTCTATTTCAAATGTAGAAATGATATGAACAAAAAATGATTGACAATCCAAAATAAAGAAGGAAAAAACCATTGCAAAACCAACCCATTGGCATTTTTATGTGCTTCCAAATTGTCCAGGACACATAATTTTGTATATTGTTGATAATATCAATAATAAATGTGAAGCTTCATTTTAACTCTATTTACAGTGCATGTTTTTAATGTGTAATATTGACAAAAATAGTAACTTCAAATTATATCATAAACCCGTGATCGCTAACTCGTTGGTAAACAACCGTGTAAATAAAACGTGTGAAAAATGAAGCTAAATAATTGTTTGGTCAGCCATTTTGAATCAATATGTATTTTTCTCCTACGCATATTATGAAAAGCAACTTGCTTTTGTATCTGTAAAAATTCGATACCGTTCCTAAAACATGATATATTTACGTTACCTGTATCTCCTATGATAATGTACTTAAATAAGTAGGCATAAGACATTTTGATCGTTCTTTTTTCTGTCGATATTGGCTGATGATGTCAGTTTGTTGACGTCAATTTCTCACCCGGAAGTAGTCCCAGTTCAACTATAAGTATGGACTCAAACCGGAATTGAAAGATATTTCCGGTTTTTTTTTTCTTTAGCTGTGTGTGGATTTCAAGTTCCGTTTTGTTTTAATAGTTGTTTTATGTGTATTTAATATTGTTTTACTTGTGTTAGGCTTAAAAAACGCAAGTCTTAGCTTTTCAAACTTCTTGTCCGGTTTCAGAGTATGGCGTACAGTCCCTTTTCCTCTACATTTTTTGCCATGGCTACATTATCTCAGATATTTGCAACGTTTGCCAAGTCCATTTTGTTCATTTATTTGTAATAGAAACAAAAATGCATATAATTGGCCGGATTTTTTTTATTTTTCGTGTTTTGCAAAATCATCAAAATACAGTGCGAAATATCCTACGGCTATATAGTCATTAGTTATAGAAAACAGTTCGCTTAGTGTCTTCTGTTATCCATTCTAACATCGGACTCGGGCTTCCTTTAAACTGAGTTTTACTGTGCGTATTGCTAGTGTTTGTTTATTCTACATTGGCTAGAGGTATAGGGGGAGGGTTGAGATCTAAAAAAAAAAAACATGTTTAACCCCGCCGCATTTTTGCGCCTGTCCCAAGTTAGGAACCTCTGGCCTTTGTTAGTCTTGTATGGTTTTTTTTTTTGGTTCATGAGTTTAGTGTGACATCCATTTCCTCTGAACTAGTACATATTTTTATTTAAGACCAGCTGAAGCCTGCCTCCGGATGCGGGATTTTCTCGCTGTGTTGAAGACCCATTGGTGGCCTCTTGTGCTGTTTTCTGTTCTTTGGTCCGGTTGTTACCTCTTGGACACATTCCCGTTTCCATTCTCAATTTTACTATTTAAATAGATTTATAGATTTTTATATACAATTGCTATAAATCTGAAATTTTGGTTGTTGCTTGACTTTATTCAGTTTTATGTTTTATATGTGAATGATGATTTGTTTCATTTGTGTTGTGTACTTATTTATATTATGTCAGTATGTTTGTATGAGTGTGCCATGGCGTTGTCAGTTTATATTCGATTTAAGAGTTTGAATGTCCCATTGGTATCTTTCGCCTCTCTTTTATGCTATGCCGAATCAAAATTAAGTTTTCTGTGTCTAAAAGCATCCTTCAAATATAAACAATTTAATCCTTTAAATCATTTTGATATTTTCGCATAATGTTCTAATATATATAGCTCGAAATGTGAAAGGCTATATATCTAAAACTGCGTACGTAAACAGAAAAGTAATGTGTCTACCGTGCATGGTAACGGGATGTCATGTAAAAAAGGGGGATCCAGTACGATTTAAATAATCATAGACTAGCGCTATGCAGAGAAAGATATACATTTTATGATACACAAATTGCAAGTTATGGTTTTTTGGCAAAACCTGATGTAAAAATTAAGTAAGGTCACGGCGTGTTAATTATCCTGGACCTCGTTTCTTTTGAAAAGAAGCCAATAAGACTGTGATTTCGTGTGGTACACTGCATCTTTTTCTTCTATTCAATTCTTAAATCAATTTCAATGTCTTGATTCCGCGTGTTCAAAAGACATGTCTTCCGCATTAAGAATCGAAATATTTTGTATCAATGTATTGAGGGGACGACCAAAACTTGTTTTAGGGAAAAGTGGGAGGCATTGGGTAGGGGAAAGTTGGCTTGGGTATTCTTTAATATACGAGTTCATTTTAATTTTGTTGGTACTAAAAAAACTTGAGGCAGAGAGTTGTGGACATTTTTTTTTTCACATCAAAGGGTACTTTTTTCAAATCAGAATAATTACAAATGGTCGTACCTCAAGTTAGAGATAATTATATCGCGGAAAAGAACCAACCAGTGTTTGCTCTTGTACTGTTTCTATTTTCTCAACACTTTTATCTCTTCAAAATTACACAACAAAACCTTTTTGTTTTATCAGTCTTTTAAAAAAAAGAGGCCTCCATACATGTACATATATGTTATATATTGAGACTTGCTTTGAGTTTCATTCCAACGTTTGTGTGTGTGTGTACATGAAGGGAGATTATTTTGAGGATACGAAAGGGGTCTCTATAAAAACCTTTGAATCTTTGCTTTTGATAAGATGACAGTTTGACATTAAAAAATGATGTCACTACTAAAAGAACAGAACCTTTGTTTTGGATATTGTATATGAAAAGAAAAAAATGACACGCTCGTATATTATTGTTGAAGAATATTTCCAGTGTCTGTTGCTATTGTATGTAAGCATGTGATATTTGCAAAACGGCTTTTGCGAGAAATTGTTTGTGTTACTGTTACTGCTTTGTTACGAATATACTGATCTACCGTCGGAATAAATTAAAAAAAAACATGATTTACAATGACAATTGTCTATTTTAGAGTATATGTATAAGAATTCATCGAGAAATACCGTATTATGAAAATTATTGTTTTCTTGTTCTGTTCTTGGAAGAAAGTTCAGAAAGTTTAATTTTAAACTAAAATGCATAGAAAATCACGATCCGTTTCGCAAAAAGTCGACAGATGATACCCACGAATCAACTTGCTTCTTCCCTAAACTGTAAAAATCATAGATACGTGACATATATCAAAATTTTCAATAATACTTTTTTTATTTAGTTAAAAGTGAGATTGTCCTCACGATGGCTTTGACTGTTCTGTTTGATATTTTGCTCCATCTTTTCAATTTTTTTTTTTTTTGGTTTTACACATTTCGTTGATAGAAAATGCGTATCCTCTCATTCTGGCATTGTAAGATCTAATACCACGAACAAGTATCTAGTGAAATGAGACACAAGTAAAGTATAGATAAAGCAAACTTTCAATCTCGTTTAAAAGTTCAATTACTTTTATTATGTCGCTTAAACTTCAAAATATATTATATTATGCGGAAATCCTATGTTGATGACAATAACCATTTAAAAGGAATTTAGTAGGCTTGATAATAATATATGCGAATTAAATATGTTGAAGACGTTGCACTTTTAAGTAATCTTAATATATTATATAATTACGATGATTTGAAATCTCTAATTATACTGCAGTCAAAGTGAATGTCCGAAGTTCAACTAAGTGTCACACATCCGATTGAATATAAATTAAATCTTTGCCCAATATAACATGTACGACTAATCCTGCGATTTGGTTCAAAATAAGATAAACACCTAGTCTTAAATCCCCAGTACCGTATCAAAACCCACCAGCAAAAAGCCAGGAATCACAAGTGGGCATAGAATTAGGACATTTATAAAAGGCAAATTTTAATCGATTGCTGTTGTTTTTTTCATGCACGTAACGATTATGTCTTACTGATTCGGAATTGTAAGCAGACTCCATGCAGGATCATTTTTGTAAAAAAAAATCGTTCCATGCAGGTGTTCTAAAAATAAGCACTTTGTCGTTACGCTTAAACTGAATTGGTATAGATAGAGCCAATTTGTTAGTTCTTGACATTGAACCCATGAGAAACCCATTCAAACATTTGGCCTATTTATTTTATATATCTGTTATTTGGTCAACAAAATCATCGTTGTCACCTTGTTTTCATATTTTTAACGATCACCAGCACCGATTAGGGCGAAATCACCAGCACAGACATTCTGCAACATGTCAACATAAGTGCCCGTGAAATAGGGATGACAGGTTTAATTATAACTTTGAATCTCACTGTTCAGTTGTAAATTCTGTTTCCATCAAGAAAATAAAGTAACGTAAACAAACAAACCCTGTAGGCATTTCACATTGAAGTTGTTTGTTTTCATATTTGGATTACAATCACTTTAGATTGTATTATCTTTAGTCTTTGTCAGATGATAGTTTAGACGAATTCGTTTGTTATTGTGATTATTTAAACTACTAGGAGAATAGTTCCTACTACGTCGGTTTTGGCTTTCTAAATTACACAAGAAATCTTATAACAATTCAATTCAATTCAAATGTTTATTGCCATGTAAACTTCTTCAAATGTTTATTGCCATGTAAACTTCTTCAAATGTTTATTGCCATGTAAACTTCTTCAAATGTTTATTGCCATGTAAACTTCTTCAAATGTTTATTGCCATGTAAGAGAAATTTATGTATTACTGAAAAATTATTACCCCAGGGTTTTCGATATCATAAACTAGTCAAAACATTTACTAAATTTTATCATCGGTATAAGGACATCATTCGTAAATATAACTCAACATGCAGACATCTTATACGTTCTGGTATTTCACATCCAATCTTTTATGGTAATATTCTTGACAAAGCACAAAAATGTCAGTATTCACCTCAAAAGCTAACAAAACCTTTAAACAGACTTATTAAGAAGGGATATAGTTACGATACTGTTGTCAGGTCATTAAACAATTGTTAAAGATTGCATATTTTGGCTTTAATATTGATTCACTTATAGGGTCTTTGCATCGGAATTAACACATTTATTCTAAAACCAGTTGTTGGCATGACACGGGTTATGTTCTTCTCATATATTTTATGACGGTATAATACTAAACATATGAAGGTATAATACTAAACCCCTAACAGGAGGGATTGTGCCTGATATTCATATGATGAAGACATAATCTTTCAATCAGTTTAATTGAGGTCTGGAGCTGGCATGTCAGTAACTGCTAGTAGTCTGTTGTTATTTATGTATTATTGTCATTTTGTTTATTTTCTTTTGTTTCCTATTCTGACATCGGACTCGGACTTCTCTTATACTGAGTTTTACTGTGCGTACTGTTGTGCGTTTGTTTTTTCTACATTGGCTAGAGGTATAGGGGGAGGGTTGAGATCTCATCAAACATGTTTAACCCCGCCGCATTTTTGCGCCTGTCCCAAGTCAGGAGCCTCTGGCCTTTGTTAGTCTTGTATCATTTTTAATTTTAGTTTCCTGTGTATAATTTGGAGTTTAGTATGACGTCCATTATCAATGAACTAGTATACTTATTTGTTTAGGGGCCAGCTGAAGGACGTCTCCGGGTGCGGGAGTTTCTTGCTGCATTGAAGACCCATTGGTGGCCTTCAGCTGTTGTCTGCTCTATGGTCGGGTT